AAACATAGTACAATTGAGGCAGTGCTGTCACTTGTTCAGATTAGTTCTGAGGGTCTAGAAAAAAAACAAAGTGTTGGTTGTAGATTGTTTGACCTCACCAAAGCGTTCGACACTGTGTCCCATTCCATACTCCTTAGTAAACTTTCCTTCTATGGTGTCCAAAACCCTAGCCTATCTCTCATTGAATCCTATCTTGGAGATAGACATCAGGCTGTAGTGGTTAATGGAATTATGTCTAGTTTTAAGTTAGTCGAGTACGGGGTGCCGCAGGGCTCTGTTCTGGGCCCGTCATTTTTTATTATTTATATTAACGACCTTCCCAATCAGGTTCATGATGGATTTGTACATCCTTATTTATTTGCAGATGATTTGGCCCTCTCTGTTATTGAAAAAAGTGCTGAATCCTTGAGAGGTAGACTAGATGACACCTCTAATACCATAAACGACTGGTGCTGTGCAAATAGTCTATGTCTCAATGATCAAAAGACTCTTGAAATTCTTTTTACTTCTAGCCGTCTCAATGCTGCTAAAGCAAACCCTGTTAAGTTTTTGGGAGTTCATCTTGAGCCTGGGTTGGGATGGGAAACTCACATTGACACTGTTGTTAACAGAATATGTAGAGGTATTTTTCTGCTTAGAGTTTTGAGTATGATTGTTTCCATTGATGCACTTGTAACTGTTTACCATGCTCACATATTTAGTCATTTATCCTATGGCACTATTCTCTGGGGTAACCACTCCTCCGTTGTTAAATTACTAATCCTGCAAAAGAGAGCTGTACGTATAATGTGTGGAACTAGGCCTAGAGCACACTGCAAGCCTTTGTTTGTTCAGTTAAAACTACTCACTCTTCCAGCTATTTATGTTTTGGACTGCTTAATTTATGTGAAAAAGAATGTCCACAATTTATTGTTATGTGAAAATCTACATAATTACTCTACTAGGCAAAAGAATCACATATTTATTAAGTACAATTATTATTCCAGGACCTTAAAAAGTTTTGAGGTAACTGCACTTAAGCTGTACAATGTTCTTCCTACTGCAATCAAAGACCTGCCACTAAACAAGTTTAAAGACAGGATTAAACACTTTTTGGTTAACAGCCCTATTTATAACACTTGTGAATTTTTTGATCTGGACTATTCATTATTGTAGACCATTGCTGACTGTGTAGCCATTTTATGTAAATGTACCTTGTAATTTATGCATGTATGTGATGCATGATGCAGACGTAATTTATTAATTTATTTATTTCTTGTATGCTACTTGACTTTTATTGATGTGTGCGTTTTTGCAACATTTTGTAATTATTTTTTTTTTTTTGTGACGAGACTGATAGCATGTAATTGTTGAATGGTCAATAAATTCTTGATTCTTGATTCTTGATTCTTCATATTGAAAAAATAGTCTATTCTCTAGGTCATTGTCTTTGAGAAACTTTTCCAATTTGTAATAATTAAGGCTTTCCTCTCAAGAGGGTCCTACAGAAAACTCATTAGCTGCTTTATTTTGTCAGGGAGCTTATTGTAGAGTTTTAAAATCATGACCAGAAAAGTCGTTGGTTCTGCTATGTCTGCATAAAGGAGTGTCAATTTTGTATTTGCATCTAATGCAGGCCAGCAGATTTCATATGACACTTGCTATGGACCTAAGAGATTATTGCGCCCCTCTCCATCTACTGTGTGAGGAAATGTTTAGCTTTGTTTACTGATTTGTTTATGGCACTGAGCTAATGTATGGTCATCTAATTTTTCACATGTGGTAGACAGCAGGTTAGAGCAGATTAAGCTGGGTTTTCCTAAGCGAGGAAGCAGAGTGTAGATTCCACTCTCCTCTTATCTTAGGTCATTCAAGGGTGTGCTCTACCTGTCCGCCGCGCTAATGCAAGGGCTTAGGATCTCGTCATTGACGGCTTTGTTCTTAACTGATTAAAAATATATTTATGTTAATTTATTCATTTCTTATTTTTGTAGGCTTGTATCGTTTTAATTTTTTTGTAATAGTAGAATTTTAAGTGGGAAGTGACTGGTATATACTTCTAAATAAGCTTTTTCCTAAAGCATTTTACACATACAAATGAATTTTTTGAAAAAAATTTAAGCAGTAGAGTCAGAAATTTGGATCTAAGGAGTAAGGAACATTCTTTAGATGAAAAAAATTAAAAGTTAACTGAGTAATTTGAGAGGACTTAAATGTCTGCAAGCACTTCTTGCGGCGCTGTTCAATGGCGCAACATAGCGACTGAAGCCCGAGCTGCGATTTCCGAGCTGAGGTAGAGCGCACCCTTAATGGTACTGTTTTCCTACTGATCGACTCTCCACACTCCAGTCACTGTGTTCCGAACCTAGGTAAAACGGAGGGGAACAATTTATGGTAAGAAAGAATGCACAGTAGCTCCTGTATTTATTATTTACAATTAGTGTTATTTAATTGTGCTTGTATAATTTACAACACTTACATTGTTATTTATTTATATTTTAATATATGTATTTAGCAGATACCCAAATGGCGGCATGAGAGTATTTTTAATGCATGATGCTAGACTCAAAATATGTTATAATTTATTGTATTTATTTTTCTAACTGACCGCACTACTTGAAAAGCGGCCAGTCAATTTACAATTATTGTAAATGCATGTAATAAGTTTGTTCTCAATGGAAATAAATTCATTGATTCATTTATTCATATAGTGCTGACTTGTTGTTTTTCAACGTTTGTTCACGATTTCTTTTGCCGACTGCTTAAATACCAGAAGTATTTTGTGCAAATATCTCAGTCCTACATTAAAGATTTTAAGGGAAACGAGTCAAAATCATTAGACATACAGTCACAGTACCGTTACACTATTTAACAAAACATTTTATCATTTTACTTATCTGCAACGTTTTCATTTTAAACCTTTCCAATATATTGTGTAGCTTTGTTAAGAGTCTACTTCTGAAGAAACTTATACTATGCCTTTATAAAAAAGTGACTTCTAAATTTTCTTGTCGGCGAAGATACTAGAAATCAGATGCTTACTGTATAGTGTAGTGTATGTTATCTGGATACAGCAATACACAACCAATGTATGCCTTGTTTAAAATTATCTAATTTTAAATTTAAATTAACATTAAGTCTATAACATAACATTGAGAATCAGAGAGTATTGTATTATTGAAAAATACCTCCAATATTATAAATGATGAAAAGTTCAAACTATAAAAGGTATAAAATTACCTGAGTACTGCCAAAGTGACCCTGTTACTGTAGTCCTTATGGATTACTCATTTCGAGGAGCTTAAGTCCTCATCATCAGATATTGTACAAGAACAATGAACACTGCCACTTCCAAAAGTTCGTCAAGAGTTTAAATACAAAACATGGACACATAATAAATAAATAAAGACAATTTACGAACAATTACGGGTAGGCCTACCGACAAAAACTTGCAATGTCCGACCGCACAGTTGTAGGTTAAAGTCATAACTTAATCCATAAGGACTACATTAACAGGATCACTCTCGCAGTACCCAGGTAATTTTATACCTTTTAGAGGTTGTTCTGTGATCCAGAGACAAAACAACTTAAAATAAAAAGTTCAATGTTTAAGCATTTGAGAAACAAAATATTAACACTATATTACTTAAGTTTCCAAGAAGTTAGCAAACAGTCGAGGTTTCATTTCATCTTTAGGCGACAGATGTAGTCACTAATGTGTTTTGGAAATGGCTCAACTTTGATGTTTTGCTAACTTTGTCACTTCTGACTTCACTTTGATGATTTTGTCACCTCCGAAATGTCACTAGATTTGGTTTGAATTAATGAGAACATCTTGGCTTTTACTCTCTTTACTGGTGTTATAAATTAATAAGGGACATGAAGCCTAGGCATTAAAAAAGAGGGAAAAAATCATTACACACTGCCGGGTAGGGTAAAAACTAGATCCATATTAATTACACTAGTAAAATATGGAGTCCCACAGGGATCAATATTAGGACTTTTGCTTTTTATAATATATCTCAAGGATATACATGAGGTTCTGTCTTATAAGAGCTAGTAAAACTATTTAAGTTGATGAACTTCAATGACATATTTTAGTTACCATGTTAAAAACGTTAAACTTTGACAAAAGCTGCTACTTGTGACCTTACATCAATCTTTTAAAATATCTCTTTTTACTCAAATTAAAGGAAAAATAACTATACAAATTGCAAGTTAACTGATTTGTACACATCATAAATTATCCACAGTTTAATATGTGCTTATCTATCTTACTAATATTATAAATGTGAAAGTTTGTGTTTGTTTGTTTGAAGTTCAATCACGCATTAATTACTGGACGGATTGGGCTGAAATTCGGCATGATTATTAGCTCACATTCCCGATTAACATATAGGCATATTCTTATCTCAAAAATCCCTTCGGGCTCCGTCCCAGTGGCTCTAGAGTGTCCCATGTTATCCTTATGAGAACTCATATTTAAATGTCATTAAAGAATTTAGTCAGCTGTTTCAACTAAAAAGGTTGGTTCTGTGAAATGCAAAGCATTAAAAGTTATAAGATTTACCAACAGGGTGCAGCACTATTATTTTTTTTCATTTATAAAAACAGCTAATTTGAATTAAGCAGCAACAAAAAACTTATACGCAATGATAACTGTCTGTTAATAGTGTTATGTTTATGTTTTTAATTTCACGAATAATTTGTGATATTTTGTGACTCTTAAATAATTTACTTTTTTCTATATTGTTTGGGCGAAGTGGTAGAACATTATCGCTATGGTAGATGTGTTATACTATAGTATACCGTAAATTTAAAGAAGCAAATTTTATAATACTGTGTCCTCCCCCATCGCAAACGCAAAGCTTGAGTATAACTGTACTAAGCATTTTATACTTATATGCCAATCCCGTACGAAGGACGGGTACTCTGCTAGTTTACAATAAATATTTCACTTGTATAATATTGCAAGGAAATTTAAATAACACATTAAGAATACTATCAATATTTTTATTCATACTGGAAAGCATTATTAAAATATATGGCATTTACACATACACATTTGTATAAAACACTGATACAAGTCTGTATACAAAACCTTAGTATAGTATATAATAAAATCAGTATAGTCGGTGTTTTAAATTAAAAATAAAGGAATGCTCTAGGTTAAAATAGGATTACTTAATGAAATACATACAGAAGAATATCGATAAATTATCACATTTTTATCGATCAACCTCTGTTATTCGTCACCAAAAAAATTCATGATTCTTTATTTTTACAGTAAATTTTTTAAATAAGTTTTTCAATAATATACAGTGCATGTATCAGCAAGTAAACATTGTAAATAAAATTATGTGTAATTCACATACACTGTATTGTTCTTTTTTAAAATTATTGTAATTTTCCCAATCTACAATCAAATGTAATCTATAAGTAATTTATATTATTCATCTATTCCGTAAACAGTCATCGGGTGAGAGACGGTTTCAAGAGGTTTCTCTGTATGATAATTCAAAATAGCAATAATAAAGGTAAATATAGTATCACAGAGTCGAGGAAACAAAACATCAATTATTCAATTGGCGAACCTACGGAAGACCTGTGATGATAGAGCCACTAAAACATATCACACCACTAATACGTTTTGCAAAACGCTCAACGATTTTAAAAAGATGTAAAAGCACATTTTGGAAAGTACAGGCTAGTTGGACTCTAGAGGGTGGTGGAAGTGACAGCACTGACCCCATGCACCATCACCGTGGGAGGTAGGTCAGCCGTGAGTTCTGTCAAGCACTGTAGGTATTGGCTGCTGATCTTCACCTGAGGTGGCGGGGGAAGGTAGACAAACGTCAACGCCGTCTGCTCAGACTGCAGCCGCATGATTTGGTTCACGCTGGAAACATAACAATTTACATTTATTCAACGTTGTGGAATAGAAGTGATTTTGTTGTAGCTTTGACTATAGTTTGTTCAAATAAGGAAGGCAGTCTGGGATGAGACATGCTTGCGGCCAATAAATACAAACCTTATTCAATGGCCACACGTAGGCCCAAATCCCTGATCGTCTTCCTTATTTGAACAAACTATAGTTTTGGACTGCCTATGGTGAACAAAGATTTGGGCTGTGTCACAAGACAGGTAGGCCTACTGTTCGCCATTTAGCAGCTGATCCTTTATTACTACCGCTAGACTGGTTCACACTAAAAGGCACCTGAAAATGTGTCAAGCTCTTCACCAAGGCAATACTATGGGCTAATAAATTCAATCTAGAATGGCCTTAGCCTTCGGAGGAAATCAAGAAGGAAAGTCCTAATGGCATAGTTAAAAGGCCTAGCCCGAAGTAATGTGCCAAACAGTTCCAGGCTAGTGTCCTAGGATATGAGGGAGTTTTAGCAAATTTCCCTATAGGGAAGTAGCTATTTAACTGGTGTTCCATTGAGCCCGCGGGAGACCGGCACTACCGAGAGGACATTGAGCATCTCAGTGTGCATAAACACATTTTAACCTCCAACCCGCACCCAATTAAAGGGACTGGGAAGCCCAATAAAGACAAGAAAATTTCTTGAATATTATAAAATACATTAAAACAAATTGATATCGTAGTTCATAGTAAAACCCCAGTCAATTGGATACCAAATTTCGCACAAATCCCCCTATGTTTACATATTTTTATTTGCAACAATCAAATAGGTCTATACAAACTTTAATTGAATACGTAAATGTTGACTGATTTGCATGACATTTAGTATGAAATTAACATAAATTTTAAGAGAAATTACAATATTGTAGTGTTTTAGTTGTATTTCAGGGAGAACATAAAAACGCAGTTGTAAGTTTATACAAACAATAGTATGTTCTTACTTCAGTAGATAAGCTCTTGAAATGTTGTCAGCCACAACTTGCACGTCATCCGTCGTCTGCAGCACGCAGCCTCCCCGTAGAGACGCCAGCAATCTGGACCAATCTGCCACCTGACGGACACATGCAATGTTTTAAAAGCCCAACAAATGTTGTTGAAAAGAATCACGGACAAGAATAGTTGGTTGATTAGACCTTTACACAGGAGTGAACCTATGTCCCAACACTTCAAAGCGAAAGCCCACTAATCCGGCAGCTGAAGTTTTGGCACTTTCAATAATCGGTCTGAGTAATTTTTTAATGCTGTGCAAACTTTTGTAGTGATCGTCATACATCGGCAATGATTGGCAGATGTTGGGAATGATCATTCAGACTTTGGTAGTAGCAATTGGCAGGCATCAGTCAAATTCTTTATTTAGCGTTATTTCCGTTTTTTTCAACCGTTCAATAACCAAAGACATTCTAAAATCAGCAAACACCAAAGTCCTGAACTAAATAACGCATTAGCAAGCGTCTCCTGTAAAAATAAGTACAGAGGAAAATCTGGGTATTGAATGTCCATTCAAATTAGAAAATGTTTAAAAATGTTGACCGTGTCTGAGCTAAACTTTAAGAACAAACTAAATTACGTTCTTTACATAAATACAAGACAGTTTCATCGTCGGGTATGTTTGATGATACCTGATGTATAGAAGCAGAGATGCGCAACTGCTGCAGTTGCTGCTTGAACCTGAGCTCGTTGCTTCTCTGGTTGCGGAAGTCCGTGAGGTCTGTGATATGAGTTGTCCGTCCGTCACACAGAAACACTCTCAGCTTCAGGTGCTTCCAGCCTTGAACCTTGATACAACATGAAAAACCAGCAGTTTGAATGTTTAGAAATTTAATCTTAAATACATGAATTTCAATAAAAACTAGAAAAATTGTTAACACTAAGCAGTTTGAGTGCTAAGTTAAAATGTGGAGTTGATTTTTTTTTTTATTTATCATCAACCAGAACCCATCATTTAAAGCCTATAAAAACAAAACTGACACCATTCAATTACTACAAAAATATAATACTTAGCTTGAGAAAATAAAAAAATTACATTTTGTAACTAAACAATAACATTGTCCTTATTGTACTACAGCCAATCAAACTACAGTCAACAAAAATTGGCTCATAATTAACGTAGTTATAATTAATTTGAAAAAATGTAAATACCCCCGCCGCAGCAAACCTGCTGACTAAGTGAATTTCCATTTGTCTGAATTGAGTTTCAATCAAATCCATTTAAATAACATTGTTTAACCAGTACCTAGGTTTGCTGCTACAAGGAAACTAACTTTTTGTTTGCTGTAAACTGTCTGGAACTCTTACTAAGTTAGTTTTCAATCCATTCTTTCCAAATGTATTCCTGAACCAAATGCTCTTTCTTCCAAAATAGACTAAGCATATTTCAATAAATAAAACAACTTAAAACTTAATGATTACTAACTGAAACAACTTAACATATTAATCATTACCATTTGAATGATGCAGGCAAGTTGCAGCATGAACAGACTGCTGGTATCAAACGGATCCTCAGAATTAGGGTTGAAGAAGTTGACCGGCCAAACATCTATGAACCGGTATCTTCCCTGTCTGTCAACAAATAACAAGATTAACAGTCCAATTTGTAGTAAGGAAACACTACCTTTCTCTCCATGTTCTATATTGCAGTTAACGTTAAGAGTAAAAAATCATAACATTAAATAAATATCGCTACAGTAGTATCTCTCTTGACTCTTAAGTCTGAACCCAAATGAAGGGAGGAAGGTTGGTTTTGAATAAGGAAAATTTATCATTTGCATAAATAGTTATTTCTTTTTAGGATTTAAAGTTACGATATTAAGGTTACCTGACTGAAGATCAACTATGCATTGTTTATATACTGCAATTCTACAACTTTCCATGAAAACTTTTATTTATTATACTTCCAATTGTTATTGTATTTTTCTTCTTGCAATGACATCACTAGTTCAAACAGCTCTTGTAGACTGGTGACTATTTCCTCAATCTACTTCTAACAGACGGGCATTGTAAATCGTAGTTTAGTGTATTTGTAGTTTATTTTGTGTAGCGTCAACGGCACTAACGCCGAACCCTGTGCAACTCTTTGTTAGGTCACTTCTTTCTCTTTCTTTGTCTATAATACATTTCAGTTTTTTCGTTTTAAAGGTTATAGGCTAAAAACCTCCGTTAATGGACCGATTTTGATGAAATTTCATTTCCAAACCATTTTGTAGAGCTTAAAAAAAATAATAACTTGGTATTTGAAGCATTTTTGTATGCCTAATAGTTATGTAAAAAAATTTAAAAAGTGTAAATTAAAAATTTTTTAGGATTTTTTGAGAGGATAGCAGGATTACCTGCATGGGAACGAGTCCAGTTGAAAATGCTGTCAGTGACAGTGAAATATTCTAATGTTTTGTGTATATAGTTGTAAAGTTTTGTGTTTCCTGTGCCAGTTTGGACTCTTTCCCATTCAGGTAAGCCTGCTATCCTCTCAAAAAAATCCTAAAAACCTAGGCCCTTGTGCTCTATGCTACACCCTTAACCATAAATTAAAATTGTTATTCATATGGATATTATTTTAATCAAATTTGGCAACATTATTCATTTTACTAAGCAATCGTTTCATGAAAAAAAAAAACACCTCATTACCTTCTCAGTAGGAGCAAACCTAAGTACTCTTTGAAATTAAATTTATTTGGATAGGAAATTAATCTGACAATTTTAAGGGGATATTTTAGAATGATTTTAGTTAAAATCTAGCCAGGTAAATGTAAATTTGCTTAGTCAACATGTTTGCTGCGGCGGGGGTATTTTTATTTTCTTGTGCTGTTTAGTTGAATGTTATTTTTGTGGCTGAGACAGGTTGCATATAAATATAGTAAGGCAAAAACCACACTTACTGAGCGACAGAAAACTTGTCCAGGTTGTGAAAGTGTCGACACAAACAGACGTTTTTCTTCATCCGCAGCACGTCGCTGATCAGCGAGATGTACTCCGAGCCAGAGAGTTGCTTTTCCGAGGCATCTTTACGCAACGGAAACAAACTTCCTCCGTGGAACTCCTCTTGGAACCGGTTTGTGCGGTAAGGGGATTCCGCTCTGCAAACATTTCAAATAAGAATTAGAAGAATAGCATACACAATGTATTTTTTGTTATCACAGTTGCCTGATTTCTTGAAGTTAAGATGTTCCGAACACAACCTCACGCAACAAAAGTAAATCTTGCAAAATAAAAAATTATATTATTTATTGACCCCTGAAACTCATTGTGGATAGGGAAAAGTATAAACTACTATAATTTTAAGACTAAAGTATAATTTTCAAGCAAAATATTAAAAGTAAATAATTGAACATCTTTGCTGAACAACGTTGCAAGCGATATGTTTTGTGAAATTGGGTTTCATAAAGAACAATGATCCAAATAACATTCTCTACTGCATGGGATATTTCTTTAAGAAAATACATAGGTTGGCAGCACTAACAAGTGATTGAATAAGTGGGATACTGACCGTGTTGGCATTAGAACGGCCAGAATGTTTTCTGAAAATATTGACTTTTGTCACTTGCAACGTTGTTCAGCAGAGCTATTCAACTAATAAATATAACTAATCTCTATTTTAATGTGGAATTCCATTTTCATTAGTAATGAAAGTAATTATTAATACAGATTAAACTAGTTTATATTACTTCTCTTAACCATAGTAGGCCTATGTTTGTGTTTTATTTAGATTTTTTGTGTTTAGTTAGATTTTAACCTACGAGTAGGGTACAATCTGTATGAAAACAGTTCATTATCATGAACGTATGTTTAGCGGTCAACAAACACTTATAAAAACCAGTTTCAGATTTTAGAATGAAAGAAGTTAATGATAACATTTATAACTGTACAATTCAGAGTTGAATACAATATCCAATTTTAAATTTTTTCAACGCCGCAGTTAAGATAAGACTGTTTACCTTAGGAAGAAGTCTTTGGGTTGTTCTTCATCGTAGAAGCCCAGCACGATGGTGTTAGGCTTCATGGCTCCCATACCCGATATTCTGATGAGATGATGCATGCCTTCTCTCACACTACGAGCCACTGTGAGCTCAATGAAGGCCTTTACCTGTCCACAGACAAAGACTCTTCTAATCAATTTGTTCTTACTTATGCAAAAGTCATTTGGCATAGAACCTTATATTTACTATGGACACTGCTGGCTTGCCCAAAAGCTATGTAGGCCGTTCTAGATACACATAAAACATTAAGGTTTCATTATCTTTCCTTTAAAAAACTCTTCAAGATCGGATGTATTGATTGATACCTTTGGAGAAGGAATGAGCATTGCCAGCCGATGTTTTCTAAACATCGGTGGTAGGTTATTGATGCTTTTGTTCAACATCCATGTGTTTAGCGAACTATTAAAATCACAATGTTTTTCCTGTAACTAAGAGTAACACAATGAATACCTTCAGATGATCCACCAGGGACAGCCAGTGACTGCTCTCCACTAACGTCGGGTCTGTCTCCAGGTCTGCAAACTCTGGTCCCACCTTGACATGTCCCAGCACATACAGACCACTCTTCTTCAACACGTTGACAAAGTCTATGAGCGCACAGGACGACCGTGGATTGACCACCATCAGCAGGATCTGGGGACGCCAAAACTTGACGTGATCCTTCCTGGAGTCCAGCATCAGCAAGTACTTTCTCACCTGAAATTGCAATTCAAATCTATTAAAACTATAATGCCTGACAATTGATTTTAAAACTACTGTTATAAAAATGTGTTTTTACTATGGCAAAAGATTTCACTACCGGATAATCTTCCTGCTGCTTGGATTAGCCTACAAATAAACAGCACAAAATTGTTGTGTCTGTCTTGTGTCAACTCATTTAAGGTGTAAAATTTAAATTATGATCAGAAGTTGAGAAAATTACTATATTATAAAAAGAGTGATAAACTTATCTCATAAAATTACAAGCACAGTTCTCCCAGACCGAACCATGGTACAGACCAAGAAAGTCTGAGCTAACAGAAGTTGATACAATCGAAAAATAAAGGAAACACTTCAAAACCACGTAGTACAATATAAACAAAAAACTTTGACAATTATTGCAGTACTGTATTTAAAATCTTTAAATACAAATTTGAGCAACATTGGAAGAGTGATATGAAGGGTGACAAAAAAAAGAGAAGAACAAAACTGCCTAAGTAATGAGCCAATCTATTACTTGACTTAACAATGAAACAAAACAAAATATCAGTTGGCATTAATAAGACAATACAATGTGACTAGCAATGTTAACAACAAAACAGTGGTGACATCTATCTATCTATAATATTATAAAAAAGAGGTGGTTGCTGTATGTGTGTATGTGTGTATGGGAAAAGTAAACTCGAAAAATACTGGTCGGATTGGGCTGAAATTTGGCATGATGATAGCTCACATTCCCGATTAACATATAGGCATATTCTTATTTCAAAAATCCTTTCGGGCTCCGCCCCAGTGGCTCTGGAGTTTCCCATGTTAACCTTATGAGAAATGGAATTATTGAATCTTAACAGCTGTTTCAATTAAACAAGTTGGTTCTGTTCTATGATGTTCAATAGCATTAAAGTTACAAGGATTACCAACAGGGTGCAGCACTATTATTTCTTTTACATTTATGACAACAGCGACAACAGCTAATTTGCAACCAAAAGGTGAGTGAGCGTAGCGAACGAACTTCAACCTGGAGGCGAGTTAGCGTAGCGAACGAGCTAACCTGAAGGCAAGTGAGCGCAGCGAACGAGCTCCAACCTAAAGGTGAGTGAGGGTAGCGAACGAGCTCCAACCTAAAGGTGAGTGAGCGTAGCGAACGAACTCCAACCTAAAGGTGAGTGAGCGTAGCGAACAAACTTCAACCAGGACGTGATTGAGCCATGCGAACGAGATAATCTTGAAAATTAAGAAGTTAAACGGGGCAAAGCCCGCGGGTTACAGCTAGTGTTAAATATTAAAGTTGTAATAAATATGAAAGTTTAGCTTTAGCTCGGTACTGAGCGCTTTCACCTTACTAGGCTAGCCCTAGAGCGTTGCAGCATTATCACTGTACTAGAGTTAAGAAGAATTCTATTTTAATTAGAAGATGTAGTAATGTTAGCATTGTTAGCTATATTCAATATTAAAGTGTCCCAACAGTATTCTAATTTCCAACAATTTGGGGAATAACAAATGAAAACTAGCAATCCACTTGTTTCTAAGACAAACATTGAATCTGCAACATTCATAAATAGGTTTGACTTGCCTGATGGAAGATAAGAGCTTGAGAGATGGAGCCCCAGTCAGCACTGCGGGAAGGAGAGAAGAGATGCAGCAGAAGAATCAGCAGCACACACAGCAAGATGCTGCTGAACGCATACAGGGGGTTGATGATGAACATCATGATCAGAGTCCCCACCAGTCCAAAGAAAGCTGTGTACCAGGTGAAGAACTTGAAGGAGGGCCTGCACAACAATCAACGATTTATTAACTGACATAACAACAATTATGTACATCAGGGTTAGTAGCAGGCGAAGCTAACACAATGATCTTTGGATTTTCTATTCCAATTTGTAAGGAACCATTTTTTACAATTCTTTGGGATTTGGAATCTGATCCTGTCCTCATTTCCCTACCGTTGTTTTAACCTATTGAATAGTTTCAGGCTTTCTGTGTGGTTATTCTATATGGTTTTCCAGATTTAGCAGGGTTTGTTTACTAATATTGATATTTGATACTAATATTGAATATTTGATATGTGTTAAGGACTCTCACCTGAGGACGGGGTCAGATTCCACATCCCAAAATATTGAGGTAAAACTTGTTATAGAATTTCCCTATAGGGAAGTAGCTACTACCGTAGGTGGCACAGTAAGACCTGGAGTCGGGACCGATATACTTTTTCATTTTGATGTCCCTAGAGGCCAAAAACACTATTCGTTCAAATTTTTATATATATAGATTTTATATTTAAATAAATACGTCCGTGAATGTGATAACTCGAGTAATTTTGTCCGATTTTTATGAAATTTGGTTTGAAGGTGTAAGGCGGGATAAACTTGAATGAGTTTGCAAACTAGCATGATCGGACCATGGGAACGGGGTTTTATGGGGTAAAGAAAAATAGATTTTTTACATTTTTGAACCTCAAAACACAAAATTTCTCAATTTTTTAGGTTACAATCACGATTTTGAGAAATTCGAAATGCAATCAATTTTGCAAGAAGATTTTACCGGTAATTTAATACACAAGAAAATATGGAAGGAAATAAAATTCCATTGTTTCTTGATGTGGAAAATAAACTAGTTAAATTCAAAATCAACCTAAAGGCAGGTTTTCCTTGCTCCTGAATTCGGCAAGGAAAATTCTGTGGTTAAAATACTCGCACAAAATTGACTATCCTGCAGCTGTTTTTGGCGGCTAAAATCGGCAGTTGAAAAGACGTGCCTTTAGCAAGTTAAATGCAGAATAAAGCCCTTGTGGTGCCACTAAACTGTCTAACACAATAACCATGTGTTCTGTATTTACTTTAATCATTTGTTTATTTTTGTTGTTATCCTAGCAACCTAGGTAACAACAGTTTTAACAACAGTTTTTCTGATTTGAATCTAGTGGATTACACTACTTAACTATTCTCTGTAAATTAAATGACCTTTTACTAGAATGATTTGTTTTAGTGCGTCTATCCGCTAGAAATGGTGACCCCGACTAACAAGTAAATTATTTCAAACTAAATTGATGTTTTTCCTACATTAAATTTCAACCTTCTACCAAAACTTCATTTATTTTTCACCTTTCCCCAAATTATCGTTTTACACCATGGACCAAGAACTTTTGGAGCGCTTAGCTCAATTAGAGAGTGAGAATGCCAACCTACAAAGACAACTTCAAGATTTGAATGGAAGACAAGAACAAAATCACATTTCTGTACATCCTCAAGAAGCCAACCTACCTGATCTTCCACCAGTTCTACCACAGCATCAGCCAGATCATACAGCCCATTCCGACGAACGACATGAAGATCATCACATCCACCGGGTAAGCATAAAACTTCCACCATTCTGGAAAGAGAAACCAAGGCTCTGGTTTGCCCAAGTTGAGGCTCAGTTTACACTGGCTCACATTACGAGTGAAACAACTAAATACTCGTATGTAATTTCACATCTTGATGAGCGCTATGCTAATGAAGTGGAGGATCTTATAATAGATCCACCTGTTGAAACTCCTTACTCTACTCTTAAGTCTGAAATAATCAGACGGTTGTCTCTATCTGAGGAGCAACGCATTCGTCAGTTGTTGATGGAGGAGGAACTAGGTGACAAAACTCCTTCTCAGTTCCTACGCCACCTTCGATCACTAGTAGGTTCGACCACAATCCAAGATAGTTTACTGAAAACTATTTGGATGCAGAGACTTCCTGCTCATGTACAAAGTATTTTGCAAGTCCAAACAAGTGCCTAATCTGACACACTTGCAATTACTGCCGACAAAATTCTAGCAGTCCAACCTAACGCATCTTTTTGCCATTCTCTCACTAGTATGCCTACATCTTTGAATGCCGTTAATTCACCAAATCCTAAATCTTCATTTTCTGATGACCCAAAATTAACTGAAGTTTTATCAAAATTATCTGCTTTGGAGTTGCAAATGAAAAATATGCGTAAAGATGTTGATTCCCTACGTGACAGGCGACCTAGGTCACGTCAGAGGAGTTTGTCTAGTAGTCGTTATCACGCAGGTAGCTCCTCTGACACTACAGAGCAAACCAATCTATGCTGGTACCACAAGCGTTTTGGCTATCAAGCTGAGAAGTGCATTCCACCATGCAATTTCACTTCTCCGACAAACTCCAAAGGCAGCCAGTGATGGCGTCAGCTGACTGCCAAGCTGGAGGGCGCCGCCTACAAATCGTCGACCGTACAACTAATACAAAATTTTTGATTGACACTGGATCCGACATATGCTGCCTCCCTAAATCATTCGTTTGTAAGAACCAAAAGCATATAGAATATGAACTTCGTGCAGCAAACAACTCTGCCATTCACACCTACGGTATGATGACATTAACATTAAACTTAGGGCTGAGACGAGCTTTTACATGGAATTTTGTCATTGCTGATGTTAATACAGCGATTATAGGCTCTGACTTTTTAGCACACTTTGGATTGCTTCCTGACTGTCGTAATCAACGGTTGATTGACAGTGTAACAAACCTTTCTGTTCTTTGTCAATGTACCTCAATCCCTCATTTCAGCATCAAAACTATCACACCCAATTCTCCAACTTCATCAATACTGGCAGAATTTCCCATGATTACCCGACCCTCTGGTACACCAAGGAAAGTGCTCCATTCAACCTTGCATTACATCAAAACGACCCCTGGCCCCCCAGTTTCATCTCGTCCACGTCGACTCGCCCCTGATCGGCTTGTTATAGCCAAAGCCGAGTTTGATGCCATGCTCACCGATGGTACTGCACGTCGATCTGATGGACCTTGGTCATCACCCCTTCACATGGTCCCTAAGAAACCTGATGGATGGCGCCCCTGTGGAGACTACCGTGCTCTCAACGCTAGGACTATTCCTGACAGATATCCTGTTAGACATATCCACGATTTCACCCATTCTCTCAGAGGTTGCAAGTATTTCTCTGTGATCGACCTAGTGAAGGCCTACACACAAATCCCTGTCAACCCTGAAGACATCCCGAAGACAGCCATTACAACCCCCTTTGGATTGTTTGAATTCCCCTTCATGTCCTTTGGCCTCCGCAACGCAGGACAAACTTTTCAGCGTTTCATCGATGAAGTAGTTTTTGGTTTAGACTTCTGCTTTCCTTATATAGATGACGTCTTAGTTTTCTCTAAGGATGAGACTGAACATGAAGCCCATCTACGAACTCTATTCAATCGGTTTTCTGATTATGGCATACTCGTTAACGTAAATAAGACTGTTTTGAAAGCTCCAAAGGTTACTTTCCTAGGATATGAGGTATCATCTGCTGGTACTCGACCACTTCCTGAACGTGTTGAGGCTCTGCAACAATTCACCCGTCCCTCTACTGCAAAAGGTTTGCGTCGTTTTCTCGGCATGTTGAATTTCTACCGCAGATTCATTCCTTCAGCAGCCAAGCAACAAGCAGCTCTCCATGATGCCCTCTCATCTCTACGTGGAAACCAACCTGTAAATTGGACTCCTGAATTGGATGCTGCATTCTTATCCTGCAAAGAACATCTCTCCAATGCTACCTTGCTTGTTCACCCTGACCACAAGGCCCCTCTCGCATTGTTCTGTGATGCCTCGAGTACCCATGTAGGAGCTGCTCTCCAGCAGATGGTTGACAATAAAACATGGGAACCTCTCTCTTTCTTTTCACAGAAACTGACACCAAAACAATCCCTTTGGCCAGCCTATTACCGTGAGCTTTTCGCTGTATATGCCGCCATTCGTCACTTTCGTCACTACCTTGAGGCAAATCATTGCATAGTTTTCACAGACCACAAGCCAATAACATTTGCCTTCAGTCAAAAACGTGAAAAACTACCTCCTGTTCAGCAAAACCAACTAACATTCATTTCACAATTCACTACAGACATAAGGCATGTTTCTGGATCGGCCAACCTAGTAGCTGACGCATTTTCTCGTGTAGATTCATTGTCAACTACGGCTCCCAGCATTGTAGATGCCAAAACTTTGGCACATCATCAAGACTCTGACCCTGAGCTACAAGAGATCCTTAAGGGAGAGACATCTCTTAATTTGAAGCTTGTCAAAATTCCTGGAACAGACCTTGATGTATACTGTGACACAACCACTTCAGTACAACGACCCTTTGTCCCTGAGCCCCTTAGACGCTCAGTTTTTAATTCTATACACAATCTAAGTCACCCTGGCATCAAAGCTTCGGCAAAACTTGTTTCTAATCGCTTTGTTTGGCCCCGAATTCAACAAGACTGTCGAAACTGGGCCCGAGCCTGTGAGAAATGTCAACGTGCTAAGATCTCCCGTCATGTATTTACACCCCATGGATCGTTTTCACTCCCATCATCAAGATTTGATCATGTTCACATTGACATCATTGGACCACTTCCACCATCCGGACCATACAAATATTGCCTAACAGCTATCGACCGCTACACCAGATGGCCAGATGAACCAGATGGTTCATCCATTGAAAACCATCACCGCAGAAGAAGTAGCTGAGGCTCTGGTGATGTGCTGGTTTTCTTGTTACGGCTCACCCTTGCGCATCACAACTGATCAAGGACGCCAATTTGAGTCAGCATTGTTTCGTGCCCTTGGAAAGACCTTCGGTGTAGAGCGAATCAGAACTTGCGGCTATCACCCTTGTGCTAATGGTTTAGTCGAGAGATTCCATCGGCAGTTTAAGGCAGCTCTCATGTGCCACAATGATTCAACATGGCTTGAAGCACTTCCCATCGTACTACTCGGCATTCGCAGCGCATATCGTGAAGACCTTCAGGCATCTACTGCCGAATTAGTTTTTGGCCACCAACTCCGTCTACCTGGAGAACTTCTAGACCTCCCTCAAGACACAACTCGTGAGGAGGACCCGGCTGACTATGTAGTTCGCTTACGTCGACACATGTCAAATTTAAGACCTGTGCCCACATCTTGGCATGATAAACCAAAGACCTTCGTTTTTCAGGAGTTAAAACGGTGTACTCACATATTTTTGCGAGATGACTCTGTTAGACGATCACTACAACCACCTTATACTGGACCGTTTCCCGTGGTATCTCGTGATGATAAAACTATGACTATAATCCATCGTGGTAAACGTGTGAAGGTGACGTTGGACAGAGTAAAGCCCGCGTATCTATTGCAAGATCTTACTCCTTCAACACATACACCCATCCATAATAAACATTCCAGAAATCCACCCTCCACAGTGTTCCCACTCAAGACCCTACTCTCAAGCCAACCCAAGCCTTACGTGACCCGATCTGGTCGTACTGTGAAATTTAAAGTGCCCGGTCTTCCAGACTCCGCAGGGGGCTAATGTGGTGCCACTAAACTGTCTAACACAATAACCATGTGTTCTGTATTTACTTTAATCATTTGTTTATTTTTGTTGTTATCCTAGCAACCTAGGTAACAACAGTTTTAACAACAGTTTTTCTGATTTGAATCTAGTGGATTACACTACTTAACTATTCTCTGTAAATTAAATGACCTTTTACTAGAATGATTTGTTTTAGTGCGTCTATCCGCTAGAAAGTTACCAGGAGAGCATTCACAATTCCAATTACAAAACAAAAGGGTTATCTCAACAATAAATAAAATAATATTAACACACAAACGGAAAACCGTAAACACTGAATTATCCAACCTATATTATAATCAAATTTTGTAAAATTGAATATTTTATCTGTTGTTTTAAATATAGGCTTTAACATTGACAGAATAAGTTGATACATTGCTTTCTGTAGATATAGACATCCATTATATATTTTAATAACCCGTAAGAGTCCTAGCCAGATTATGAGGATTGGATAATTTCTTCAGCTCTAGCTATGATTTTTCCACACGTCACGTCAACCTTCATACTTTGGGGTTTTACAGTAACAACAAAAAAGCCTACAGATTCAGAAAAACCTGTGGACTATGAAAATTTCTTCTTGTGAGCTTTTTTTCAATCGATAAAGATAGCTTGAAACAAAAAATTACAGTTAAAAAATACTTTCATCATAAAGAGGCAGTAAGGCAACAACAAAAAATATGAAACCTACCTGAAATTAGGCGCAGATGCAAGTTCCAACCCGAGACAGGCCAAGTTTGTGGCGAGGTAGGAGAGAAGGAAGAGCACAGAGTTGATCTGAGCGATGAGGTTAAGTGATCCGATGAGGAGAATGACCTGTACCAGGGCCCAGGAGGCGAACACAGCCACTATGGGGTTGTTGCGATAAACCCCCGCGGACACAAAGCACAGCAGACGACCTGCAAGTAGACAGCTGTGAGCACGCGCACAGTTCAAAGTTTTACATGAATAAAATAATGTAACAAATCCAAATTCACACTCGCCTTAGAAAGCATTGTAGTAGGCCTATCGTCGTCGTGAAGTTCCAGTCCAGGTAGCTGAAAACCTAATGGTCTGAGACTGTTTTAGGACCAGATCCTCTTCAGCCAGGGAAAGGATTGTGGCAACGGTAGGGACGTGTAAATAACAAAAGAGTGTAGTAACGAATTGTAATTCCGCCGCAGCTGCTGGTTAGGGTAAGGTTCGTCGGGTATTGTTTTTGAGAGAGCATGGTTGTGGGAGTGGTTCAAGGTTTGTCAGGTGGGTTGTTGTGGTTGGGTTGAGTGTTGTGAGTTTATTTATTAATTATGAGTGGATAGCTGGATTTATTCCTATTCATACCATTTGATACTTACTAAAAACAGGGTAACACAATTAGTAGGCCTACCACCCAAATTGGTTGGCTAAAATGTTGATAAGACACATATTTTGATAATTGAAGTTCGGAATGTCAAATAGCAAAAACTTTTAGAGGCTTCTGTCACTCACTATGCACATTATCAAGCTAAGTTTATACAATTTAGAAGTGTTTCTGAAGATTACAGAATCTACAGAATCTGGTAATATCATCATTTTGAATTAGTGATGGGTGAAGTAGGCTATAGGCTTATTCTTTATTCAGGGTCAAAAGTGCCAGTACGGCTGTGTTACCAATTGGCAATTACTTTTAAAAACTTCCCAGTTGTAGCCTATTTCATTAAAGGAGAACATAGGTGAATGACCCACAGAGTGTGCTACAGTCTGAGTTATATTTCCTCTATTAGTACCTAATTGTTACTGTGATAGTTGATGTGACATAAAAGATACTATGGTTCTTATATCCTTTTGGTTTTTCTTGGATAAAAAGTTGACGTATTCAACACAAATCAGTAATTTACACCAGTGCACTCAGTCGTTGACTCAATTCAACTACGTTTATTTACTCCAAAACTGGTTACAATTTTCACAACCGAATGTCATGTCTACTTTCCATAGTCGAAGGTGTAACTCACCATAAACGTTGTCCTTAGCAAGAGCCTCCAAAACTCTGCTTGAACCGATGAGGTTGCTGAGACTCGCAGAGAACGTTGCCGTCAGTATCCCGATAGTGATGAAGGGAGGCCACACGTTGACAGGCAGCATGAAGATGTAGTTGTTCTGCAGCAGAAAGCGAGAACACGACGCAGCTGTTAGCAGTGCCACAACAACGTAGCACACCATCGTGAACAAAACTGCGGATAGTGTGCCTCGCGGGATGTTCTTGGCCGGGTCTTTCAGCTCTCCTGCAAACGTACCGGAAATTCTTCTTAAATTATAATATTCCCATTACACTAATCTTAAACATGTATAACTAGGCCTTGATAATCCAGACCCTCCAGTAATCCGGCCAAATCCTGTCCAAAAAAAAAAGCAGAGACTAAAAGAAATAGTATGTTTGTAAGAATAATGTAGTATAGAACAATTCTACTGTACTGTACTTCAAATTAAATTACATTTATTAATGTACCAAAAATCCGATTATTGTATAGTAGGTACAATGATTTTAATGGTGCACTGCCGGTACTAGCTAGTGACGACGCATCAGAAGACCAAAACATGGAACTCACATATGCACACATGCTAACTGCACATAAAAAAAGGTCATCCATCGCTAATAGATTGTATTATTTATTGATATTATTGGCTGCTAACTTTCTGCAGTAACTTTGGCTGTTTCAAATTCACTAAAAAATGATAGCTTTAATTCACTAATTTAAATGGTCTCTTGATGGTCCGACCTTATCCTAAATCCGGCCAACTGGCTGCCAAATTAAGTCGTATTATCAATGTTCTATAGTAGGCCTACAAAGGTTTTTTTTATAAAATGGTAAGTTAGTTAACTTTAAAAAGATTTGCAATTATGTGTGATTTATTTGCAGTTGTTTGAGGCTACATTATCTCATTTTCCCACCTCTTAAAATCATCTGATTTTAAATGACAGAAACAACTAAAGATTTTAAGTTATAAGTTTTGAACAACAAGATTTTTGTCATACAGAGAACTTGGTAGGAATTCTTGTACATACCAGACATATTCGCTCCAGCCATTATCCCAGTGACTCCACTGAACAACACTCCAAACACCGTGGAGAAAAAGACGTCCGCAGGGTGTTTGGAGTCACTAGTGTAATCCTTGCCATAGTCCGGGTAAAGGTTGCTGTGAAGGGTCTCGGCGGAGAGTCCGGTGAATGAACCGTTCACCAGATTGGTGCTATTCTGCACTATGTGGTTAGCTTCTGGGATTGGGATCTGAATACAGACGCAGTTGTTGGGTAAAACTATTCTCAACATTTAATAATTTAAGGGATGTATATATTTTTATATATACTTTTGGTAATATCAAAGGAAGTAGCATTATCATTTAAGATTTGTGACCACTGCATCGTTATGTTATCGTTATAGGCCTTGATGGCCCGATGAAACATTCCCACCTTGATATGGATGTCTCATTCCCATTTTAATTGGTTGTATGATAAACAATATTGAATTTTTTTAATGTACTGACTTGATTAAGGAGCTAATTCACCACATTACTTTAAAATAATTACAAAAAAATTACATAAACTGTATAATGAGAATGCTAAGTTCAAATTCATGTTTATTTTTCTTCTTTAGGCTACTGTTCAATTAATTACAAGAATGTTATTGATTTCTTCATTGTAAATCATTAAATTCTTCAGCTGGGCTACCACGATAGTAAAAACTTTTGCCGTTCTTTAAAACTTAGATAGAATCCGCTCTGAACCGTTTGGTTCCATAATTTGAATATATTCAACAGAATTAATTTAAAATGTTATGATCAAATTAGGGGGGTAGAACAAGAGCATAGACAAATATAATAAATATAGACCGTCAGCTGTGCTGCGGTTAGCATAAGTTCTGGCGTCCACCGCTAGGTTTGCCGTGTGGTTACGGCGCACACCACTGCAGTGTCTGCTGGTAATTTACGGCTACTGCGCTCCTCGCCTGCAGCGGTGTGCGCCTTAACTACACGGTACTCCTAGCGGTGGGCGCCGGAACCTTCCTTTGACAGTCTATATTTATTCTATTTGTCTATTACAATAGTCACATGTTTCTGTATCATTCTGAAGTGACAAAATAATTGTACAAATTGCCTATAACCTAAAAAATATTCTTACATAGGGCCTCTGGCATTTTTAGCCTATATTCTAGAACATTTTTAAGCACAAACTCAGAACCCATACACTCTTGTTATTAGGAAATTAACTAAAAAAAAAACATTCCAACAACAGGTAAACCATAAAACTCTAGAAAGCTATTAACTTATGCTTCTTTGTTTCCCACCGCCCAATATTGGTTAACATAAGTAGCTAACTGGTTTGATCCTGAGAAAAGTCTGAAGCTTTTTTATGGTTCGAAGAGGCCCAGTTGTCCTTGATCATTGTAATTTTAAATAATGGTTTTAACCAGCTGATCTTAGTAGAAGAAGGCTTTTATCTCATTCAATCATCGTTCACCCTTCCTTTACTCATCGTCTTCAGACCTTTTCCACTACCACTAGTGGAATGTGGTTAGGTTAGGTTAGGTAAGGTTAGGTTTTTCTAACTCTATACTAACCTAACCAAAGTTTAACTCACTACCAATTCTATTGCTAATAATATATTACTCTAACTCTAGTGGTAATGAATTAACGGAAAAGGTCCTCATCTTCAAGTATTGATTCTGATATGTCGGCTTCACATCCAATAAAGTATAATCTTGACTAACCGACACTCACCTCCCTGGCGGGTTGAACTATGAAGCTGTAGAAGGTTGAGGCCAGCGAGATGCAGACAGTCGCTAGAATGATGACGTTTGTCTTGGCAAATAACCCGGCACCAATCAGACACACCAGTAGATTCAGCACATTCAGCACCGAGCAATACAGGAATCTCCACCAGTGACCATCCGGCAACGGCCCTGTACCTTCTACCAGGATCCCTGCAAATAAAGTTTTTCCTTTAAACTTTTTTGTCTACACCGGAGACAATTTAAGTTACGGAATAACAATACTATAAGAAAGCGGTCCAGTCATAAAATATTTGTGGATGAGGCAGGGATTTAACCTCTCACACCGAAGTCCAAGACACTAAACTACTAGGCTAGCAATACACCTTTTTCTTTTTCATCAGGATAAAAAATGTAAGCAGCATTTGTTACCCAATAGGCATAGGTTGGAGTTCAGGGTTTATTTCAGCACAGTGTTGTATCATTTCAAAGAACAATTCAGCGTTTACTGGTTTTCTTTTAGCTAGCACGATGTATAGAGAAGGAATCGCAGCATTAGAAAATAAAGTGTCTTTAAGGGAGAGAGCAAATCAAGGAGAGGAAACGTTTAAGGGGTTCTGTTTTTTACACTTCTTTGTTAGCTAGTAAAAATTAGGCTAGGCTACATGTTTTTTTTTCAAATTTAATTTATTAAGATAAACCCCCTGTTGTTAAATGGCAAAACAGGTATTTGATGTTGAATTCCTACGAGGCAACATTCTCTGGCAGAAATACATTTTATTTCAATACAAAACCCTATAACAACAACAATAAAAGTCGGAGACATCTTATACACATTTCAATTTTTTCCATTGCCATTGAAGGTGAGATCAATTATCAATTATCAATTAGTTAAGATGGGGACGCCACTATGTGCGTATTTTAACCCAAATATGAGTGAAGGATGAGTGTAGGATGAGTGGCGCGATCTTGTAGTCTTGTTAGTGACTAAGGCCGACATGTTCCTTAGACACAGCTGTTAATTAATAGCCCATACAGCTAATGGCAACTAAGGGACCTACAGTTTATAGTGGAATCCGAACCACATTTTTCCTTGTAATTTACGAATTGGTCTAATTACCAGGATAGTACTGCGGATAGTCGTAGTACTCACTAGTGCGGACGTTAATCCACACGAGATCCCTAAGAGCCAGGTTTAGTGTTTTGCGATATCGGTTAACAAACTTGTAAAACTATTTCACAAAGTCTACTCCAAAAGTAAATTGGGAAAAAATGTGACTGTGATCACGTGAACACAACTGTTAGTATTAAATCAAACTTCTATGACAGTCAAAGGAATCTGCTCTATCAGGTCATAATTTTACTGGGAAAATTAGCTAAAATAAATATAAAAGTGATTATTTAGCAATATATCTATACAGGTCAAATGCTGAACCATAAACGTAAGACCTATATTTGAATAAATTTGCATCTTCTATGGTTTTCACTGGTGACATGATGATGCACAACAGTAAAAAACAAACAATGAGGCATGTCATGGTGATAGTTTGACATGTGTGACTAATCCAAGATAAACACTTAGTACACGATTGTCAGTTTGTATGTTTATACTGAGTAATAATTTAACTCAGTAAATATTATTAATATTATAAATATTATCAGTAAAATCCTATATTATAGGATTTTACTACAGCAGATGTTTCATATTCAATATTTAAGCATTATCAGGCTACTTGAGTTTTAGAAGCCCTACTTAGACCCAACTTACACTGTTTTACAATTGTGTACTTAAAGAATTCACACAATAACTTATAACCTCATAAAATCAAAAAGGTATAATTTGAATCTAGATAAATGTACTAAAATTGCAAACAAAAGCCAGCTATAGGAATAGATTTTTTTACAATTTGGAGCCTTTGCCTTAAATAGCTTGAAAATATGAAACTAAAAGATTTGCGATGATATAATAAAATATTTTTTTTATAGTAGGCCTATTTAAACACTTGGCAAACATATACGAAGAGTATACCTGGAATACAAAATTTATGAGTCTAAATAAAAGAAAGATGATTGGAATCAACATGCAGAGACAATCTGTATATTAACACAAAATTTTGTGTTTTTTCAACTTTAATTATTAGCACAAGTAAACAATTTGAAAGATGTTTCAAAATTACCGAGAAATAAATCTCATGAAAATTTAAATTTCTATCAACAATAGTTACGGTAATCATAAAGTAATATAGTTAAAATTGAATAAGAATATTTTTAAACAGGTATAGGATGAGAGAAAATTTTATTTGATAATTTCAGTGTTTGAGTTAGTTTTTAATTACTTTCAGAATAATACAATAGGTAGGCCTACCAATAAACACTTGTTATTCATTCTGTCCAAAACTTTCTAAGTGTTCATTAGTCTAGTTAAATGGTAAATTTATTTCGCCATTCACACTTACTTAAAGGTTATATCAAGATAACTATTACACGGAAATAAAAATCAAATTGTCTGACACTAGGAAAATGAATGAACAAAACTCGACATGACCACAGATTTATACAAATTACTGTTGCAAACAGGTTACAACCAATACAAACTACAAACTATTGATTATTATTTTGTTATAATAATGATTCAAAACATTAAAACTAAAAATGTTACCTGCAGGTCCAAAGTTTTCCACCAAACCTTCCGCACAACCCACAATGTAGAGAGCGCTGCTCACAACATTTGCTAAGAAGAACAACGTTCCGATCGACCCGCCAAACTCGGGTCCGAGAGTTCTGCTGATCATAACTATTATTCTGTTAAGGAACATCGGTATTTGCACAAAATATTAGGTGAATGTGATTTTTAAGGTCTATTACAAGTTATTTGGTACGTTTTTTTTTAGCAAGGGAAAGCAGTGCACCAGTACGGTATTCAGATTTAAATTTTACCATGAGACAATAGGCTTCCCTAACTACTTTTAACTAACTATTACTGGTAACCAGCTGTCACCAATATCACTATGTCAATAAAATCTAAATGTTTGTGCATTCATACTGTTTTAATGTTTGTGTCATGTTCCTTTAATTGTGTTTTTGATGTGTTGCCAATAAGTTTGCCATGAATTGAAAGTTTTTCTTTGTAACAAAACATTTAAGTTAGAGCAATCTTATTCATTTGGACTATTTGAAGGAGGTATGTAAACCATATTTTTGTATTAAAAAGATAGTCCAGAGGCCAAAAACATGAATAAATGGTAGAGGACTTTCTGAACATACAATGAGGACAAAAAATATGTGTAAAGAGCTGATAAAGAAGGTGTACAGGATCAAAATAAGTGGAGGCAGTTATTTGCTGAGTTATCAACGTAAAATTGACGGGATTGGTAAATTTAATTCTTTGATATTTTCACCTCAAAACCAGGCATTTTGATACTTTTTCTTATCCTTACTGGGTGTGTGTGTTTCCACCAAAAACATGTTTTGTTAATTTAGATTTTTGTACAATATAATAAGGAGAATTTTTTTTATAATATTCATTATTTAATTATTAAATGGATGGATAGTCCATTGAGTTTAAACGGTAAAATTTTTGATATTATAATTTAATATTTGTAAAGAATAAAATTGTTAATTATCTTTACAGAAACAGATCATAGGATTTGAATGAGTAACATCACATGATTCATAGATGAAAGGTTTTGAAATATTTAAACTATGATTTCAGATAGAGTGCTTCAATTTGCTATTTTCATTGGAAATAAACATTGTTCTAGTGGTAAAACACTGTGAGAAACTTGGCTCGGGAAGGCCAATGTTGTCACTGATAAGATACTTATCAATGGTGGTTTGGTTTTACTCACTGTCTCACTGTCACAAATGCAATGTTTCCTGACATCATCAAAGCTATCATTTTATCAAATGGAACAAGCTGACCCATTGTCTGACAATGCAGAACAAAAGGTGGTTCAGTTCAAAGTTGAATATAAAATTGACATAAAACTATTCGTTTCTACTTCTTTTAACATTAATTGTCTGGCTTTATTTTCTTGTGTTTTAATATTTTTATAAACATTTTGTATGGGTTTATTTACTTTCTTTCCCTATACATAGTATACCTATGGAGAAAGTATTGTTTTTGTCAACATTTTCGAGTTTGAGTTTTGAGTGGATATACCCGCTCAAAACTGTAATTTACAAACTAATGGGAGAAAGTATGTGTCAGTTTGCTGATAGGCTACAGTTTATTTTACTAAACCCTGTAGCCTATAGACTTAAATCTGTAAATTATTTTCTATGTACATAACATCTTTTTGTAACTATATGCCTATATATGGTAATGGTAAATATGTCATTATATATTTATCATTACCAAAAGGTTTTTTAGAGCAAATATTAAGTACGGTAGGTTAAGGATTATTAAAATAGGATTTAACATCAAGCAACTTCAAATACAACCAAATTTGAAAACAAGGCTCATGGTTTAGGTGATAATTTAATTCCTACTAAAGCTAGTAGTTTGGATGTACCTATATCATAATTTTTTAGCAAAAGATTTTCTTAATAAATAGTTAAAATGTAATGACAAAATGAATGTATATTAGGTGTAGTAATCCTTAACCAAGACCTAGAATATTGAGTAGGCCGGGATTTTTGTATTTTTCATTGAACCTGTGTTTTATTTTTCAGTTAAGATTATGTATTTCATTCGCATTAATGGGTTAAAAATCAGGAGTGGAAATCTCTAAAAATTAACTTAACGCAAATGCATTCATTAAACATATAGTGATAGAAAACTGACCTCCAACTTTATGACACCATAATTCTTGAATTAACAAAAATCTTAGCAAAGTAAACAAACATAATTTAGGCTGATGATGACAATAAAATGTAAAAGGGAATATGTGTAACACTTGTAGTAGCCTAAGTTAATAACATTTCCAACCAAATTGATAAAATGAACTCTTTACTCACTACTGGTACTCAATTCTCTACTGTACTCTTTACTGGAATTTTGGCAATATGTTACGCATAGTTAGAATAACTTCTTGATCAGCACCGTACGTGTTATTAAAACTGAAAAGACAAAAAGATATACGTCTAATAACACTAGTAATTATAGATTTACACTTGTCCTGTTGACTCAAACGGCGGTAAATACATATGATAGGTGGTAAGTGCTGATGAATTTCGATTGGAGTCACTGCAATCATTATCAGACCCAATAGGCGAATCAAACTAGGCGAATCATTTTCCTATTGGGTCTGATGATGATTGGAGTGTCCAATGGAAATCGATCCCCACTTACCATCTTACCATCTTGTGAGTCAACAGTATAAGTGTAAATCTATTATTACTAGTGTTATTAGGCGTATATCTTTTTGTTTTTTCGGGGTAGTTTGAATCACAGCTCCAATAATAATTTTAGGTTAAATGTCGGGATGATTCCCAACTAAATGTTGGGAATAATCAGGCAAAGGAATTAATTGTAAAACAAGGTAATTAGTCTATGCTAGTCATATTCCACTAAGATATTTTGAACAAAGTAATGTAAAACACGGCTTTACGATATTTAAGTTTGCATTGCAACCAATTCATTTAAAGGATACAATAAGCACCGCCTCCCTCCACTGCTCCGTTGGTAGAGATTGCACATATTGATGCTACAGTAAACAGCAAGATACCGTAAGCAATGGCAAACTGGAACAATGTTACGAGAAGACCAGCGTTGCCCACCAAAAAACCTGTAACAAATATTATATTGATTAAATTGTATAAATTTGTTAATCTCTCATTGTGTTTATTTTGGAGTCTACATCATTTTAGTGGTTCTTCTCTGTAACGGTTTGGGGTAAGTTCGTAATGTGACAAATTCATTTGTCCAACAATCAATTAATACAGGAGTTGGGGGTTGAAATCAATTATAATCTTTGTTAACCATCACTTCCAGGTTGTAAATTCAGTTGATTATATTCTAGTTAGGGAATATCAATAGCTTAAGAATCTAATAGCCCTATGGAATAATCTATTATATCAATGAATGTAACAGTTGATTTAACTGGTGGAATTGTACATATAAGTTCTACCAGGCTTTTAAGTTAAAACAATACCGTACGGTAACATCCTTTAACACAAGGACTAGTAGCCTAGGGATGTTGTGAAAGTTATTGTGATAAGCCTTTAAGCCTATTATTAACCAAGGCTAGATGTAAGTGGGGTGGAGGTTGGCCTATTTTGACACACTAAAAACATAAATATAACGTTCAAAATGTATGCTTAAAGCCCGTAAACAGACTGCAGGTTTAATATAAGACTTTAGGATACTAGATACTTACCCACTCTCAGGAAGAGCAAAGCACTAAACATTGATAGAGCAACAGGGCTGAAAACCCCTGCAAATGTCCCAAGAGTTCTGCCACTTGGTGTTTCACCAAGTCCGCCAAATTCAACGTAACCATTTTCAGATGACATCCCTGTATTTCTTTTAAATCCACATAATCCAGCCAAACCATGCCAAAATCTCCTTGGCAAAATCAATGGTGCTTTATCATTCGTTTTATCTAAATTAATAATATCTGAATCATTGGTAGATCCTTCAGTAGGAGCCAACATTTTGAGTGAGTTAAGTTATTTAAATTTCATTTAAGTCCTAAGCTGGTTTTTATTAAATGTCTTATTTACCCCGGAAATCTATGCTGGTTATTTATTTTGGGCTATTTAACTTAGTTCTTGCCGGAAATTATAAGAACAACATGAATACGGTAATGGGGTCCAACTAGTACTACAATTTGCACAAAATACACTAAAAAGTTTGATTAGCACAGAACAATTATCACTTTTTCTTGAACGAAGAGTGGAAGTTTCACTTAGATCTTTTGGCTCTTCTGAGAAACAATAAAACAACGAGAACGAATGAAAACTCTTCCCTACTTTCAACTGAACCTCACTCAACACTCAACTCTTTCTTTCTCGCAGACGCATTGTTTGACGTTTCGTTTGGGTTTGGTTTGACGTTTGCAAATACAGTAGATTTGCAAAACTTCAACATGCTTATTTTCTCAAGCTAGGGCACACGTACCCTAGTTTGCATGAAGCTTCATCGTACTCTTGTTTTAGTAACTTGAATGGTATTGGTTCTAGCAATGAATATAAACATTAATTATGAATAGTTAAACATAAATTAATTATTATTATATAAACTAACACGTTTCTATAGACCTGTTTTTGAGCTTCTACAAAGAAGCTCTACAAAGTGGTTTGGAAAGAAGTTGCTAAATTTTATATTTTTAGGGTCAAAATGGGGAAAACTAATTTTTACCCGATAATACCTCCTATAAACCCCTGTTCCCATAGTCCGATCATGCTGGTTCGCGAACTCGTTCGAATAAACGTATGTTTACACGTTTGTACCAAATTTCATCAAAATCGGATGACTTTTGCTCGAGTATCGCGCTAACGGACATATGAATTTGAACGGATGGTGTTTTTGGCCTCTAGGTACCTCAACGAAAAACTAAATCCGTCCCAGGTCCAGGCCTTACCATGAGTACTACGGTGATAGCTTTTTCCCTATAATATGGGAAATGTGCTTAAAAAAATGAGAACTCCAATATCAAGGGGAAGATGACAATACAGTAACATACGTTTTATTGGGTCTGAAACATAGTCCCTTAGTAGATTTTCCATCCTTATGGAACAGCTGAAGCCAATTTTATTGTTAGTTCTGTCCGGTTTTCTGTAGATGTCGTGTTTTGTTTACAATTTGTTTCTATTATTTTAGGGTTAGTTTCTCAATATTTGTGTCTCACTGTTTGGTCTTATAGCTAGTGGACGAGTTATTGCTTATGATTAGATAGTTTTATTTGGTTAAACGAGGTTTTAAATTACTGAAATAACAAGAAACAAATTGTAAAAAAAACACGACATCTACAGAAAGCCGGACAGAACTAACAATAAAATTGGCTTCAGCTGTTCCATAAGGATAGGAAATCTACTAAGAGATTATGTTTATCTATGGTCTGACTTAGGGGAGGTACGAATGAGGCATTAGTTCAAAATTCCTCCGTGAACAGCGCTGTAGTAGGGAGTACTTGGCAATGAAGGTTTACTAATCGCAAAAATAGGTCTGTTCATAAAATAAAATTATAAATGCCTCAAATTCAATTTTATAATTTATTAATTATAAAATTAAACTATCATAACCTAACCGAACTAACCAAACTTGCTGATAATGAAAAAATATAACAAAAGTTTAGTAATAGAACAAATAATTCTGTTTATTAAATAAAACTAGAAATTGCTTAATTAAAATTTTATAATGACTTAATAATAAAATTAAACTGTCATAACCGAACCAAACCAACCAAACTTGCTGATAATAAAAAAATCTTGGACAAAAAGTTAATGCCACCAGCGGGAATTGAACCCGGGACCTTCAGCGTATCAGCCCGGCACGCTGACCATTAGACCACCGAGGCCGATGGCTAAGAATCGTTTTGTTACGGTAATGGCGTTCCCTCAGCTAATAAGAAGCCCACAGCTGTCATCGTAGCCTCTTTTATACCTCCCCTGAGTAAATACCCGTTTTATTTAATTACATGTCCACATGTTATTTGTTTTTGTAAATTTTTACTTTCAGGTTTTTAAATACAAGATTCAATACAACACTATGATCTTTTAGATTAATATCCAGCCTATATCATTATTGACTATATATACCTATAGGTATAGTCAATGCTATATGTGCAATTTCTGTATTTAATGGCCAAATAAATTATTTGATTTGAGAATATTAACGAGATAAGAAAGGTTTACAGGTTTCAGACAGAGAAATTGTTGACATAACCAGATTATATTGTGCTAGATGTGATCAATGGACTTTGTGACACATCCATATTCTAAAATTCTTCCAGTAACGATAAAAAATGACCTCGAAAGTTGAACATATTGTTTTATCTATGGTTGAACCCTCTCCTCCTCCTCATGGAAAGAAATCAAACTACCCTTTTTTTGTGGTTATGAAGGAAAAAACCATACATATGGTAGATATTGTAGAAGAAGAACCAAGTCAGTTGTTGTTTTCATTTATGTTGTCTTTACACTTGTCAGTTGTCAGTACGTCCCTCCTCTAAACCTAGGTTAAGTTATTAATTGTTTTGTTAGTTTGTGTGTTTTTTTACAGTATTGTAGCATTGACTGTTATTAAAAAGATTAAAATTAAATATGATGTAAGTCATATAGAAAACAAACAGTCCGTTTACTCATAATATTTTCTTAAAGCCAATTCGATAACCTCGGTTTTGTTTGTTTATGTTGAACCGTTCTTGGAATTTCAACTAAAATTATCTGCAATGTAAGTACTAACATAGGCCTAGATGAGAGAGTTGAACATCTAGAAACTGCCGTTTTTTTTTTACCAAAATTAGATATATCAGGCTTTCAGTTTAAATCTAACTAGATAGACATTATTTTATCTCAGTGCTCTAAGTCATGCCACAATACACTATGGTAGGCCTACCTACCTAGAATGTAGTTTACGCTATCACAGATTCAATAAAATTAAAACCTGCTTCCTCTTAGGAGAGATTACAGGGCTGCATTTCTGTAGAGAACTTTCTCTAGTATGAAATTAAATTTATTACTTAATAATGTATCATCACTTTATCCACTGTTATTTATTTGGTACTTTAGTATGATACGGAGGCCGCACCCTTATACAGCACGCTGCGGTGGTTATGTTAGGTTGGGTTATTATAAATAGAAAGTAACTTATGACTTACTTAGTATCGTTCTAACTAGGCTAATTCATAACAAAATGAGGAAAGTCCTACAAACATATTTATGATAACCCAACCTAATATAACCGCCGCAGCACACTGTAAAATATGTGGCCTCTGAATGATACCAAAGTACCATTTATTCATTCATTATTTGGCATTCATTCAATGGCAGAGCATGAACAAAGATTTATTAAAAGAAATCCTACAACTACAATTTAGTTATTGTTTTAGTTGTTAGTCAAAGGTCTTAGGTAACATTCTTTATAGTAGGCCTAGCTTTGTGTCCGATACAACTAAGTTTACTCATAGTACATTAAAAACCCTTGACGATGCTGCATTTACGGTGAAACATGTAATTAGGTCATTCAACTGATCTCTACAACAAGTTGAATTAGCTGACGAGGTAAATAGATTCGTAACTTCTCAAAGAACCCTTATTTCATTAGGCTAGGCATATGTTCTAACTTCCTACAACCAAATTTACTCTCTTTTCCCAAAACAAATGGGCCTCTAACACTAAGTTAGCTCTTTCCACACAGAAGTAAGGTACAAAGGAAACTTGCTTATGGAATGACTGTGCACCTCCAGCTATAGTCTGTTGTGCCAGAAATATAGTTGTGGCAAGCAAGGTAGAGCCTAAATGGCGAGTACCATGCGGCAATTCCTATCGCACATGGCATTTTGACCTTCCTCTACCATGAGCTTAGTAGGAATGGTGAGGGAGGTGGTGTTGGACTGCTCTAGACACCACTTAATCGTAGGCCTACTATTGAAGGTTTCCTCTGAACCTTACTTCTCTGTGCTCTAACTTAGACAGGTAAAATCTTCATGAGTTGCACATCAAAACAAAGTGTTGAGAATAAAGGTGAGATTACAGTAACTTTAAAGACTTTTGTCCCAAGTAGTTGTCTGGTTTAAAGCCTGTAATTTTAAATAGCTCTCAACATCATTGCATTTTATCTGAACACCCAGGATTTCTTTTTATAATTTGCTCACAGAATTTGATTTAAAACTGCAATATCCTTGACCAGTTTTGTTTAACTTACTTTAAGTTCGTATTTATCAAGGTGTAAAGAGGTTGAAGCATATATTTCAGTCAAGAAATACATAATTTATTTGTTTGATAGGTCTCAAAACATCCTCCGGGAGTATGCAGAAGAAGTAGACAAACTACGTCAATTAGGAAAAGACCTGGACTTGTCAGAGGAACAAATCAACCAGATTATTGAGGACTCCTTCCATTTCTTGGAGACGGAAGGCAGTTATGATCAAGTTGATCGTCCAGTCTGTCCTCCATCAAACCACTCTCCTAAACGTATCTGGATAGTCTCTTGTGTGATATGTCTGCTTTTAGTGTTTTCTGCTGGCATGTTGCAAAAATCGTCTCTGTTTGGGTACAGAAAAGCAATTAACAACTATGTTGAACGGAATGTTCAAGAAATGATATATCCAGGAATGAAACTGTTTCGTAAACTTATGCTTCCAGTCGTTAATCAGTTCCCCTCTCTAACTGGTAAGTTAAGTTTAAGTTATGGTAGGAAAAATAATAGTTTTTAACATTTATAAACAGGTTGAAAATACTGGAATATAAGTAATAGTTATTGGAAATAAAGGTGTGGGCTATTGGGTTTTTTGTTAATCTGAGACTCTTAATGATAGTCCATTTGAAAAAAAAAATGTTATTAGACATTCAAAGATCCAACATTCGATCAAATCACATTTGATCATCATTGTCATTTATTTGTCATTGTCATTGTGATTTGATTGTCAATTATCAAAGTATCTATAAAATTATGTCTGGATTTTTATATGTCAAAACTTCATTTAAATACCACGATTCTTGAGCAGCATTGTGAGGTGTTGTTTCAACAACAATATGACTCATGATAATGCTGGATGAATCTACCAAACCCCCTGCTAACCTTTTTTGTATCAGGGAATCGCTGATTAACTGATGTCAATCTTATGTGTTCAGCTTGGTACGATGAGACGTGTCTGATTGGCAACCCATATTTCCAAGTATCTGACATGGAATGTTGGCCGTGTGAGGGAGTACGCAGTGTTCTCAACCTAACAGGCAGCCCTCTCAATCATGACAGCTGCCATTCTGGTCTACCTTTTGTATATAAGGTTTGTTTAAAGTAAACTTTTAACAAAATCCTAAATAATAACTTAAGTCTGAAATAAAAATTGAAAATTCCTAAAGAAGCTTACCTAGTCTGTACCGCCACAAGTTTTTTTTTTTTTTTTTTTTTTTTTTTTTTTATTAGAATGGGATTTTCACTTTCAAGGAACTAAATAGTCAATTAACTTTCTGTAATCATACATAACGTTCAAAAATGGCCCCATAATAATGCTGTAACCAGAATATTGATTGTATCAGTGCGTTAGAGTAGAAACACCCTCCTCTACATTGATCCAAGCGTTCAGATTTAAAGTGACGTCATCAGGCCCTCTCGTGTTGTGATTTTTATGATTTTTACGCCCCTCCCCCTCCAGTAGGCTACAGCAGACTCCCTCTTATCCGGACACCTTTTAACCGGACATCGGTTTAACCAGACTACACTCGGCGGAAATTACATCTCTTTAACCGGACAATTTTTATCAGCACATTGGTTTAACCGGACTAGATCGGCAGGAAGTGGGCGGCACTGAAACGGCTGTTCTCGTAGGATAGATTTGAGACCAATGATCACGTGTCTAAATACAATGCTCTCATAAATTTATTTTGAATATCACAAAGTTACCACATTATTTCGAATAACCACAGTAAACGGTCAGTTTTAACGAGTTTTTGGGGACGTCGGTTTAACCGGAAAAACCGAAATCCGGACTGGCCTCGGTCCCGAGGAGTCCGGATAAGAGGGAGTCTTTGTATTAAGTTACTGTTAGATAGGCCACGCCCTTTTCCAAGATACCAGCCCCAATGTCAACCACGTGTTTCCAGGGTGATGTCGCAGGTATTTTTTAAACTATTCAATTACAGATTAGCGAATCACTTATTGTCTTACTATTTATATCTAAAATGGCATAATATGTGGAGTAGACTCTTGAAAGATTTACAAGAAGAAATATTAACCCATGTGTTTGTGTTGGGTTTCGAATCCTGAAATCAGTGTGATAGGCAACAGAGCTTTCCAACTATCCACCACTGTGACGTACCGTTGCGCTGCCCGTGCTGCAGCATGGCCTGTTTTTTCTAGTGGGGCATTGAATGGAGTGAGATTATCAGTAGCTTTGTTACTGACTAAGATCAGCTGATTCTTTAGATTAAAATCAGCTGTGGATTTATTAAAAGCCCAATGATCAAGGACAGATCTGGGCCCACTTTCAACCCATCAAAAGCTACTGACTTTTCTCAGGATCCAAAATCTTTGGAGGTTAAATTGTAGATTGCATTATTTTCCGTGATCTTTAGTAGTAAAACTCCAAATACTACCAGCTTTATCAACAATAATAAACCTTGCAACCAGCTGTACAGTTAAGATTGTGATGGAATACTACTAGGCCTAATTATTTTCTTACCTGACGGTACTGTTATTTTCAGGAAGAGGCTGTCAATGAGATAAACTATGAAACCCTTCGTCAAACTTATCTTGAAAACAAAGATATGTTTGATCGAGATGCGCTTAGAGTTGTTTCTCCTGGGGAATTAGAGACCATCGCGGATGTATTGGAGGATGAGCATTTCCAATCAACCGAACTCAGTGACTTACATATTGCCTGGTAAATAAATATTTGTCTTTTACAAAACAAGTTTGAAGACAAATTAAGTTTATAATGTCTTCTGTGATTGCCGAATTTTGATGCTTATGTTTGGGAACTAAAAGTACATAATTAAATTTTGGCCTAATAGATTTCAATGGTTGTAAACAAACTTAGTTATAATTTGGAATAGTTGTAGGGTTAAATAATAGTTAAGATAGCAATACACCCCACAGAGCAATATATAACAAATTAAACTTTTCATTATGAATCACACAGTGTGCTAAACGGGTACTTTTTTACCATTAACTGCAAAGTTAACAAAGTAAGCATTGTTGTTTTTAGACTTTTAACTCGGTATTTATTTGGTTTGAAATGTTTTATTTTGTACTATATCATTTTGTTTTGCATCCATTAGGATTAGTAGGCCTACTTGTAAATAAAGACAGCTCCACATTTTTCAAACGTGTTTTTCCTAAGATGATTATAAATGCAACCAAAAGTATTTTCCAAGTCGATTAGACCAGTCTTTACTCTATAGATTTATACAAAGGGTTTACAATAGTTTACAATGCAAATTCAATTTGCAGGAGGCTCAACAGGCTAGAGCCAACTCGAGCCATTCGTAAACTGTTTGGGTCTCCGCAGAATATTCCTCCCTATACAACAGGCTCCACGCCAGAGAAGTTTGTGTTGCTAGACGAGCCTAAAGCTTCTCCGTACCCCCTGGTCAGTATTTTAACAGCTAAGTATATGTATAAAAAAACAGAGTGTGCCTCTGTTAAAACTACAAGTTTTCACTAGGCCTATATATATTTGATCCTATAAAAGAGTTAAACTGACTACAGTCCTAACTGACTACAGGCCTAACTGTCAGACCAGCTCTAAGTGGCATGCCTCCCTACATGTGGGAACCTATCAAAAGTCTTGCTCACAAGCAATCCACAGAATTAACAGAATCAGTTTTGAAACAGTATACCCAAGAAGCTATTTACCACGAGAACTCCCTGTCATCCTATGTAAAAATAATCATGCTGACTCACCCTAATCTACTACCATCTGTAAACCTTATCATCCAACAAGCCCTAACAAAAATGAATGAGAATGCAGGAACAAAACTAAAAAAGCTGTCCGTCCTCTGCAAAAAGCAGTTCGAAAACAACATAGCTATAGGCCTACATACCAAGCCTAAACAAGCCCCTTTAATAAGCGAAAAACCTAGCCTAGCATCCCTGTTAGGCCTACCTACACCGACTGGCCCACCACACCTACCCATATACAGGTCCAACCTAAAAACTCCCAGCCACGAGGAATCTGAATCTGTTACAACAACAACCAACCAGAACCTTCAAGTTCACAATATCTCCGACCACGTTCTCTCCAAAAATGAAGAAAGCCTCCTTTCCAAGGGCCTAAGCTTCTGCCCAACACCACAATTTAACCATTTTGAACTCATCAAAGATGTGATGACCATGGCAAGAAGCCTTAGACTTAAGAATCATTTTGCCAATCAAAATCTTCCGACACCAGATCAGATCCTTCCTTTGAGAAATCAGTCCAAGAGGCTGCCCAACCCAACCTAACCTTGGATGAAAAGCAAGCCTTGCGAGATCTGAAGAACAATAAAGACATTGTGATTCTACCAGCCGACAAAGGTTCCACAACCGTAGTCATGAACAAGACAGATTATGTTGCAGAAATTGATCGTCAACTTTCAGACTCCACAACCTATCAACTGTTGAATGAAAACCCTACAGAACGCTATAACTCGGAACTTCAAGACCTCATCAAACGGAATGCCTCTCTGAACCAGCTAACCCCAGAAACGGTCAGACTGCTGACGCCAGAAAACCCATCCACCCCAAAATTATATATTCTCCCCAAAATACACAAAGATACCTTCCCACCACCAGGTAGACCAATTGTCTCAGGATGCGGTTCTCCCACAGAAAGAATTTCGGCTTATGTGGACACCTATCTCCAGCCTATAGTACAAAATCTCCCATCATATATCAAAGACACAACAGACTTCCTTCTTAGACTTTCTTCAGTTACAAACAAGCTCACACCTAACTCCATCCTAGCTACAATAGATGTTACATCCCTGTATACCAATATCCCCCACACCCACGGACTTGCTGCAGTTGAACATTACCTTGACAAAAGAACTAAAGGTGAACTCCCTAAGACTTCCTTTATCATCAGCCTCACCAAATTCATCCTTGAAAAGAATAATTTTCAATTCCTGGACCGCCACTACTTGCAGATAAAAGGGACTGCCATGGGTACCAGGATGGCCCCCTCATACGCCAACTTGTTTATGGGAAAACTTGAAAATGACTTTCTGCAAAAACAGACTTTACAACCAACTTGTTGGTTCAGATACATAGACGACATCTTTGTCATTTGGCCCCATGGAGAAAATAGCCTCAACCATTTTTTAAATAGCCTAAACACTTTCTCAACATTGAAATTCACTTGGGAGTTATCTGAAACTGCGGTTCACTTTCTTGACGTCATGGTGGAACTGAAAAATGGCTCAATCTCCACATCTGTCTACACCAAACCCACCAACCACCAACAGTACCTACACTATAACAGCTGCCATCCCAACAACACCAAACGCTCCCTACCCTACAGTCTTGCCTTAAGAGGGAAACGAATAAACTCCGACAAGAAGAATCTGATAACTTACAACAAACAACTCCAAACTGCTTTTGAAAATAGAGGATACCCGACACAAACAGTCTCTTCGCAAATAAAAGCGGCCCAAAATGCTACTGACAATCCACCTAAGAAAACCAAAACCACCTACGATGTCAACCTGGTGACTACTTACCACCCAGGTCTCAACAGGCTCAATAACCTTTTGAAAACCGGCTACAACATGCTTTGAAGCTCCACCCAGACCAAAGATCTCTTCCAAAAACCCCCCACCATAGTCTACAGACAACCTGCCAATCTAAAAACCATCCTAGTCCATCCCAAGTTACCCGACCCGTCCGTTGAACCACCTCCAAGACTGCCCCCAGGTTCCTACCCATGCAAAGAAACCAAATGCAAGACCTGTGGCATCAACATTCCTGCAGAAACCTTCACCAGCACATCGTACAACAAAGAGTACAAAATAAAAGACCACATAACATGCAATAGCGAAAACCTGATCTACCAACTACAATGCAAACTCTGTCAAGCTCAATATATAGGCCTAACCACCCAAACTCTTAGGAAAAGGATGAATAGACATAGACAGGATGTTAAAACAAACAAATACAAACCCATTGCAATACATGCAGCAAACCACAACTTAGACTTTGATACATGTTTCACCACAAAAGCCATAAAATCCCTCCCCAAAGACCAATGTAACAGCTCCCTACTCAGAAGGTGGGAACTAGCCTACCAATACATCACTGATTCCAGAAACCCTCCTAACCTTAACATCAGATAATTCACCCAACCCTTCCCTCAGCTAGCTTCATTTTTATAAAAATCAACCACCATATGTATATATAGGAGTGTATGTGTATATAGATGTACATAACAACAGGAATTTTAATTTAATTTTAAACAACAGTTGGCAACACTATTGTGGAACTTTTGAATTTGAACTGTAACTGCCAGTTTTCTTTCTTCTCCCTTCTGATGAAGTCCCTAACTGGGACGAAATATTAAGTTTTTCTGTGTTGTGTCATGTGTTTTATGTGTAATCAAGGCTAATCTGGACTCTATCTACCAGGTAAGCTAGCTGATCCCTATCCTTGTACATAATAATCTTAAACTGACTACAGTAAACCTACTTTTTACTGTATTCCATAAAGCGAAATTGTTATAAAATATTGCTTATAAATCAATTGGAAAATTTGGTGGGTAACATGAATTGCCTGCCGTGGCCCAGATACTTGACTCGAGTTATAGTCGCGACATCAGCTGTAAAAATTAAGTTAAAAAAAACAATTCTTGATTATTTCACAAAGAAGTAAAATACAGAGGGAACTTGCTTATGGGACAACCGTGGGCTGTCAGCCTTAGAAGGGCCTATGTTGTGCAGGAAATATACTTGTGAAAAGCAAGGAAGAGCGTGAGTAGCAAGAACTTTGTGGTAATTCCTATCGCACAGGGTCTTCCTCCACTGTAAACATTGTAGTCCATGGTGGTGAGAGGGGTGGTGTTGGGTTTTGCCCTAGACTCCAGCGACTAGTGCTTGACACACACTTGAGTGTACCATTGCTTGTTTACGTGCCTAAATTGAACTGGTATACACCTCAGCTGGAACATCTAAAAAATACCATGATGGCCTTCAGAACTATGTTCCTTGTTCAGCGAAGCAACTTAACCGAACTGGCATATAAGAAAAGCAAGCAAGTTTACAAGGAGGCGGTTAATAAAGCTAAACTTAATTACAATGCTGAATACATAGAATCGTCTGACAACAAGTCAAAGGCTGCTTGGACACTTGTAAATAATCTAAGGAGCAAGAGCGTCAAGTCACCAGAGATCCAGATTCCCCCAGAGGAGTTTAACTCGTACTACCTTTCAGCTGTTCAGGAGGCCAGAGACAGCATCATTCAACCCCAGACTACGGCGCTTGACTTCATGGAAAATTCACCTTTGCCTGAAAAAAACTTCAAATGGGAGGAAGTGTCATGTGCAAATGTGCTCAGTGTCGTGAAAAAAAATGAAAAAAATCTAAAAGTAAAGATATCTTTGATCTTTCTAATCATCTAGTCAAATGTGTAATCGAGTCCATTTTGCTTCCTCTAACCTTTTGTATTAATTTGTGTCTTAAACAGGGTATTTTTCCCTCTAAGCTTAAAATATCAAGAGTCGTCCCCCTGTATAAAAAAGTGGTGAAAAATCTGTGCCAAAGAGTTACCGACCGATTTCTATAGTACCAGTTTTAGGCAAGGTTGTTGAACAAGTTGTAAAACTCCAGGTATGTACCTACTTTAATCAGCTGAGCCTAATTAGTGCTTCACAATTTGGCTATCAGATGGGTAAGAGCACTACGAGTGCAGTTCTATCAATTGTTGATGATTTAATCAGTTGTTTCGAGGATCGAAGCCTTGCTCAGATCACTGCCTGTGACCTGAGCAAGGCATTTGATTGTGTCGACCATTTAATTCTTTGTCAAAAGCTACAGTGTCTGGGTTTTCATGGCGTTCAGCTTGATTTCTTTAAGTCGTACCTGGAAGGTAGATTCCAAATTATAGATGTTGCTGGTAAAAAGTCATCTGCTTCTCATGTCAAATTTGGTGTACCACAAGGTTCTGTGTTAGGGCCTATTTTATTCCTTGTCATGGTTAATAATCTGCCGTCTACTATTAAGTCATCGAAAACCATCATGTTTGCTGACGACACATCTTTCCTTACAGTAAGTAAAGATTTGCCAACTGTGAATGGTATTGCTGATGAAACTCTTAATCAGGCTGTTACATGGTTCAGAGCTAATGGTTTTAAACTTAATGAATCAAAAACACAAAAGGCAATATACTCCTTAAATAGTAGACTAGCTTATTCAGATGAATTTGTTAAGTGCATTAAGTTACTAGGGGTGAAAATAGATTGTAACTTAACTTGGAATAGCCAAATAGATTTAGTTTGCAGTAAATTGTCAAAAGTTGTATATTTGTTAAAAACTTTAAAATTTTACGTTCCTGTTACTTATTTATTGTCTGTTTATTATGCTTTGTTTCATTCTTTGTTAGACTATGGTATTATTTTATGGGGAAACTCTGGCATAGTGATGTAAAACGCCCGGGCATTTATAAATCGGGGCATATGCCCAGGATAAACGCCTGGGCAAATGCCTATTTTTCATAAACGCCCGGGCATTTATGGATTTTTCATAAGTAATTCATTTGGGACATTTCTTATAATAGGCAAAAAAATGCTTCTATTAAAACAAATTATGAATTTGTTTGGATAAATAAGTTAAATAAAAATCTTGTAAAGGCATACAGACAATTATAAATACAGTAGGAAACATTAGGCTAACAATAGTATTTTAGATTTTACCAACCTAATTCTTAAAGAGAAAATAAAATATAGTTATACCTGCATAGGAAATAAAACCAGTTACTATGTTGAAAATGATTTATATTCATGAAATAACTATGACATCCGGTAGTACGCCTGGCCTAGTTGACAATACAAAATAAATACTGTAATTTTGGTTTCTTTTATATAGGTAGTTAAAAGGCTAAAAAATTTAAAATAGGCTAAGCTTTTTTAAAAAGTCCAACAGTTAAGGCACTTTTAACTTAAAGAGTTAAGGTAAAGAGTTATTTTTTCAGCAACCCCCTACAAATATCATTTTGGATAACAAATTAAAAAGTTATTGTATAGGCAATGAAAAAAAAAAACACCTTGTTTTCATTAATTCCCAAGATTTACAAGAAACATTATTTTGTATTTTAAAACAATCAAAAACACAAAAACCCCTCTTTTCCATAAACGCCCGAGATGTGACTGATGTGGGCATTTATAACTGCCTCAGGCAAATCAAGAGTAAGGGTTAACAGTTATATTTTACAGTAAATTCTTTCAAATAGGTATCACTTAATATGTTAAATTAAACATTTATTTGTACAGTAGAGTCCCGTTAGTCCGAAATGGTTGGGACCGGGCCCATTTCGGATTACCGAATATTTCGGATTAAACGTTTTTTTTTTGTTTTTTTTTATTTTGAAAAAAAAAATTAAATTTTTTTTATTTTTTGAATTTTTTTCGTCTTAGGACGCAGGCACGAGCCCGGGATTGTTTTTCACATTACTTAAGGCTAGACCTAGTGGCTGCAACATTATCACTTACAGTAATAAAATCCATTTGTGATTTGGCGGACGAAAATGAAAAATGTTTAAGTAATTACAAAAATGGTGAAATATTTAATTAAATACTCTACAAAAAAGTCTGTCTCACCCGGCCGCTACATAATACGTTGACAAGGTACAGCTAACTGTGTTAAAAGTTTAATAAAAAAACTTTAAAAAAATTCAAAAAATTTCAAGTTTTGAAAAATTTAAAAAAACTTAAACAAATTTAAAAAAAATTTCGAAAATTTTCAAAAAATTTTCAAAATTTTAATTTTTTTTTATAAAAAAAAATTTAAAAATATATTTTTTTTGTTTCGGATTAAGCGGAATTTCGGATTACCGAAGTTCGGATTATCGGGACTCCACTGTAGTTTAAAGCAATGACAAGCACAAAAAACGCGTTATTCTCATAAATGCCCAACATTTGGGCATTTATAACTGCCGCGGGCAAATGCCCTCATAAACGCCCATTTATAAACGTCCCGCCCACTGGGCATTTGCCTGCCCCACATCACTACAGTCTGGCAGGATAACTGATGTTTTGTTGTTGCAAAAGAAAGCTATTAGGATAGTAACAAACTCAAAGAAAAAAGCTCACTGTAAACCTCTTTTTACTGAAACTGGTGTTATGACTGTTATCTGTTTGTACATTTTTAGGTTATTGTTATTTATAAAATCAAATGAATCAAGTCTTGTTTTTAATAATGACATCCATTCCTATAACACTAGAAGTAGTAGAAATGTTCATATTGATCAAGCTAGGTTAGCTAAAACTTTAAGAAGCCATTCATGTGTAGGTGTTAGACTTTTTAACCATTTGCCTTTAGATATAAGATGTTTGCCTTTTCCTAGTTTTAAAAAAAGCCATTCACCTTTTGCTAGTCAACAATCCTTCCTACTGTATTAAGGAGTATTATGAAAGATGTTTGAATCTGTGATACTGTTAATCGTTTTTGTAGGTAGCTGTGTTATTGTTATTCATATAGGCTAAATCTGTGATATTTAATTTTATTATTTTAATAATTGTACTTGACAAGGTTGTATGTACTGTAAATTTTGTGTTCTTAGACCAATAAATCTCTTGACTCTTGACTCTTTACTGTGTGTAATAATTATTTTAAGAAATCAATTTTTCAGGAACAGTTTTAGATTTTGTGATGACATTAATAAAATTAACATAAAAACCACTAGGCCAAAACAGAAATAGCCTTTAAATTCCAGCCATTGGCTCAGTTAATAAAATATAACCGGTTAATGGTTAAGACTATCCAAAATGGCCTTGTCTCTTAATTTCGGTCGATTTTGATCTTTATGTAGTCATTTTAGATAGTAAAGTGAAGACCAATGTGGTATGTTGCCTATACAGTCTTTGTATAAATGTTTGACAAATTATTAAAATTTGATCATACAATCATAAACTTTATAATGTGATGTTTGTTTAAAAGCAAGTTTTGGGAAAAACACTTTGATCCAGTTATTTGTGTTAGTATTTAAGTTTGTTTTGTAAGATAGCGAGCCAATAGACAAAAAATGTTTGTGTTAAAGCCAACAACCGAGGGGTCTACTGTGTTTGTGGTGCAAGCTAGTGGCGCCAGGATGATCGTATTAACACCTGCGCCTGAATGCAAACATCACTGCCATCGAGTGTCCATTGTACTTCAGCCCAGACATATCTGTGCGTAACATCTATTTATATCCCATCTTATTCAATTTAAATAGTGTATAGTTTAAGTAAGACATCATTACCGTGTAGTTTGCCATGATAATGGTTGGGGAATCTTCCAAGATTCTGTGCCCCATATCCATGTGATGCTGACAATATAGAATTTTTCTGACATTACTAAGTAGGGCAATTCCTGGAGTCGATTAATGATTCTATATCTATATATTTAATACGCTAAATGTTTTTTTTTTTTGTGGCAACTAATTTGAGAGAACGCCTGAACGTTCAAGCCCCACCAATGGATTTTATGTAAGTGATAATGCCTCAACCTCTAAGCATAGTCTGAAGTACAGTAAATTGAACACCTAAGCTAAAACCTTGTAGCAAATAATAGCTATTTACATTACAAGTGTAGTAAGAGCGTTTTTACATCACGCAGGTGAAAGTTGTGCAACGAGCGAAGCGAGTTGCATAATTTACCTAAGTGATGTAAACACGCTCTTGCGTAACGTGTAACGTACAAGATTTTACCTGACCCGACAATATACAGGAGGTTACGAACAATATTTTTCATTACCCATTTCACTCATCTTATAACAGTAAGGTTCATTTACAAACAAAAGCTAGGTTAGGAAAATTCTCCAAAACATAACAATAACAATAAAATTCAAGCACACAGCTGATTTCTAGCGTTAAACGTCGTTGGCTCCATAGAGTTATATTTTTTAAGTTATCCACTCAATGTTATTTAAATGGGTTTCATTACATCACCGAGTGAGTTTTTTGATACTTTACATCACTCGAGAAGTAAGGAAGTTGTATACATCACGCTTAGGATAGGGAAGTTTAACATGGCGGGTTAGGTAAATTATATATTCTATCCAAGCTTCGGTTTTTTGTTTCAGTGTGGTACAACTGGTGGTATTGGCGAGCTTCAAGCTTTCCCCTGGTCATCAACAGCAAACTTAGCATCACATATGTCGGATCTTTCTTCTAGCACTGTAGATAATTAATTTATAAGTATATTTATCTCTAGTCACTTTTTTTATACAAATCTATTTTGGTATTAAAGTTTATACTTTTTCTAGAACTATTTTGTTGATTCCTTGACCAATTTCTGGTATAACTTAAAACAGTTGTAACAATGAGGCTGATTTAAATTTGATTCATCAATCACTTTCTCAGATTTTAAAGTTTAAGCTTGATTTAAGATTAGATTTTTTGTTTCTGTAATGGTATTCTCTTCTGGGAACTTGGGTACCGTACATGTACTGTATTACCAGAATACTTTAAAGTGGCTCTTTTTACAGTATTTAATACTTTTAACTAAAATGGCAACCATACAAATGTAGATATTTTAAGCCAAGTATGAATGGAGATGAGTGGTGTGATCTTGGAATCTTGTTACTGACTAAGGTCGACATGTTTCTTAGATAGGACTGTTACTTAATAGCCAATACAGCCAATGGCAACTAAAGGACATACATTTTATAGGGGAATCCAAACCACATTTTTGCCTTGTAATTTACGAATTGGTCTAATTATCAGGATAGTACTGCGGATAGTAGTAGTACTCACTAGTGTGGACGTTAATCCAACTCAGGGAGTATCTTATCCACAGATAATTTAGATTAGTTGATTTAGTTCAGACTACTTAAAACTTAAATTTTACCTTCTCTTCCTAACTCCAACTATAATAAAACAGTGCAAAATTGACATAACACAATGAGTGATATTAAGTCTGTGTATTTTGCACCCCAGAGTCAGATGAAACTGCTCTAATAGGCTCCACCCCCAATTGTATATCTACTTTGTGTGCTCAATGCTGCACAGCTTGTGCTGTGGTCTACTACTGGTCAATAAGTCTTCTAAGAAACAAGAATCTAATGTTGTAAATTAATTTATTTTCATATCCTGTTGATTTTAAAATTTTAAGTGAACTGGTGAACTTTTAGACATTGTAGGTTATGCCTAAAGCCCTATTCATGATTCTAAACAAAGTTGAGCACGACAATCCTTCCTTTGCGTGTGACACTTATGTCAATTTGGTTTTGCTATCTGACAATGCCGTATTATTGGTCAAACATGTAGGTTTAATCACAGAAACAACAGAATTTGTTATGTATTGAAACAGAAACAAATTATGTCAGTGGCTCGAAAGTAAACATGTTTGAAGTTTGAATTATTATTTAAATGGAACTACAGAAGATCACTAACTCGACAGTCAACAGCTGATAAGGTGCAAGCAAAAATAAGCAATTTTTCCACAACAATTTAGTTTTATATTTAAACTCAACATTTAATATTTGACATTACTTTGAAGATCTTCAGAGTTAGGCCTAGACTCAATATCTGAAAATTCAAAATATGCATGTAAGTGCAGTACCTAATAAATTTGTATGTAAAAGTTAGTCTGTTGTGAATTTATTTTTTTAAACCCATTAATTTCAATAATCTGGATAACTTGACAACCTCAGAGTCCACAAATAGTCGAGTTAGTGAGTTTTCACATTATAAAAAATCTTACAAAGCAGATTTTACGGTTATTATTGTCAGAATTAGGCCAGTTAGTAATTTGTGTTTAATGGCCTATACAAACCCGTTTACTGTTCTAATATTTACTGAATGTAGGCTTAATTTATTCAACACTATATGATTAGTTTTTCACCACTCCGTACTGAAAGTAGCTATTTTCGATAACAGCTGATATCCAACAAAAGTATTTTCCTACAGTTACCTAACAATGTACATGTTCTCTCACTGATTTGAGAAAGCAAAGTGGCCAATTCGCTCATCAGTGAGACAATGTTAACATTGTCTCACTCTAATTACTTTGTCTCACTCCAGATTTGCAACGTGAAGGCACGAAATAGTGAGCGCGTAACATGCAGGCAACGTCGTATGCGCGCGAAATACGTTGGCAGCACTGGCTGTAAATCAGCTGGTCAGCTGTTGTACTGTTGTATTTGTCACTTCACATTAAATGTTATATTAAAAGTTCACTTTTGTGTAAAAATAGGTTATGTTTCTTCACCAATTTATTTGTTTTGTGGTAACTGTAGGAAAAGTATAATGTGCAACTCGAGTTCAAAGTGCATTTGCCTCACTCAAGAAACCATTCCTCACTCACCTACGGCTCGTGAGTAAGGATTTCTCTCGAGTGAGTCAATTGCTCACTTTTCTCACTAGTTGCACAAATAACTATTGTTTCCCAAGTTTTAGATTAGAGCGGGGGGAAATGATTTAAATCACCTGTTTTCATTGTGCACAATCTAAATGTATACAGAAACAGGCATTAGTTTATTATGTTGTGTTTTTAGCAAAGTGCGTGTTTGAAATTGTTCAAAATCTGTCTAATATTCGTGATGATTTGATTAATAAAGCTTTAAAAACCTTCCACGAGAGAAATCACAGAAATGATATGAAGAGGAATACAGAAAGTCTACGGACTGGTACAAAGTACAAAATTTTAAACAAACTAATGTAAGTGACAAAGTATGTTTTTCTCTCGCATGAGCGTTTCTTGCTCACATTTAAGTAATCCGTAGAAGTAATAGGAAAGTAAATGATACAAAGTCGTTAACAAAGAGTCTGTATTTAAAAAAAATATGTAAAAAACATTTTTTACCTGTCATATGGCTACAAATACTGGTTTTCATATCTGATGAATGGCATCAATGAATGCTTTGAGATGGTCTGGGTTAACATCTGGGTATATTCCGTGTCCTAGATTTGCAATGTACCTTTGCTTCCCGAACTTTTCCACCATTGCCTGGGCCATTTTAGAGATTTCTTCAGTAGGAGCGTAAAGAGCACACGGATCAAGATTTCCTTGTAAAGTGATGTTCAAACCTACTTGTTTTCTAGCGATTTCCGGATCAACAGTCCAGTCTAGACCTACCACATCGTAAGGACTGTTGGCTAACTCTTTGATGGCGTAATGTGCTCCTTTTGCAAACACAGTCATTCGAATATCTCCTATTTTTCTTTCTTGGATATTGAATTTCACCCTTTCACAGACATCAATCAAAAACGGAAGAGCAAATCTTCTAAACATTTCAGGTCCTAAATACTCAGCACTCGACTCAAAGACTTGTAACAGTTGAGCTCCAGCTGCTGCCTGTTCCACAAGATAATCGATGACAACATCGGAAATTATTTGAAGCAATCTTCTGCTGTCTTCTGGATAGCGATAAAGCCAAGCTTTTACTTTTGAAAGTGTCTTGGATCCCCCGCCCTCAATCATATATCCCATCAGGGTAAAAGGAGCACCAGAAAAACCAATAAGGGGGACTTTCCCTTCTAGTTTATGTCTAGTCAGTGTAATAGCTTCTGAAACATAACCTAGCTTTGCTCGGACGTCCACAGGATACTGCAAAGTTTCTATATCCTTCGGAGTAACTAACGGATTCGGTAAGACTGGTCCTACACCTTCTTTCATTTCTACTATCATTCCTAAAGCTTGAGGTACCACAAGAATGTCTGAAAATATAATAGCAGCATCTAAATCAAACCTACGGATTGGTTGAAGAGTAATTTCTGCCGCAAGCTCTGGAGTTTGGCAGATTGTGAAGAAATCATGCTTTTTCCGAACTTCACGGAACTCAGGTAAGTATCGACCCGCCTGTCTCATTACCCAAACTGGAACTCGATCAACCTCTTCTCCTCTAGCAGCTCGCAATAAACGGTCGTTCTTCAAAGGAGGAAAATTCATTATGAATCCTTTTAACCTAAAACAAATATTCTTTTTCAGCACAATATCACAATTTTTAGATGCAGGTTCATTGATAAGTTATGACATATGTACAGCGATTTAGAATCAAGTTAAAATAAAAATGAAAAATATGGTGTTGTAGGGCCTATATGAAATTATTTCAAGCTTTGAAATGAAATATATGTTATAGGTTAGCATTATAAGTTGGGTGGGCACAGTTCCGCACAGAACCTGTGTTATATTATATTATAAGATTCATTTTAATTTATATCGATATATAAATTGATTGTGATTCCGTTCAATATTAATTTTGCATCAAATTTAATTTTATCATACAGTGGAGTCCCGATAATCTGAACTTCGGTAATCTAAAAGCCCGCTTAATCCAAAACAAAAATTTTGTTTGTGATAAAAAAATTTTAATTTAAAAAAATTTTCATTTTATTTTTAGTTTTTTTTTGTTATTAAACTTTTAACACGGTTGGCTGTACCTTGTCAAAGTATTCTGTAGCAGCGAGAGACTTGTTTAATAGAGTATTTCAGTAAATATTTTGCCATTTTTTAAATTAGCCTAACATTTATCATTTTTGCCCCAGGTTCCAATCCCGCCAGATCACCAATAGATTTTATTAAAGTTATAATGCTGCAGCCCCTAGGTCTAGCATAAAGTAATGTGAAAAACAATCCCGGGCTCTTGCCTAGCGTCCTAGGACACAAATGTTTTTAAAATAAAAAAACAAAAAAACGTTTAATCCAAAATATTTGGTAAACCGAAATGGGTCCGGTCCCAACCATTTCGGACTATCGGGACTCTACTGATATTATGATATAAAAACAGAAACAAAACATAAAAAAAGTTGTTTCAGCTAACTCAATTATAAATTTAGGTTAAGCGTCATTGTAAATATGTTAGCCTAATTAGGATTATCGCTTACAATTAAGTACTGTACAGTAGAACGTTGATAATTAGGACGTCAAAAAGAAAGAAACGTCAATAATCCGGATTTGTCTCTAAGTAGCAAGAAATTAGATTTTGTACCGTCTTTTAAAACAAATTAACAACTAAGCTGCAAAAAACTAACCACTGGTATAGTTCAAAAGCATATAACACATTTTTTGTAAGCTCAAACATATGTACCTAGGCTACCTAGTGTCTGATTTTTTACTGTTCATGGTACACATGTTGCCATAAATGAAAGATAAGTTACAGTCCTTAAACATTAAAAAAATGTTTTGAATATATCTCTCTTTTACCCTCTAGGACCTTTAATAGAGAATATACAATTTAAAAATTGTTTACTCAAATAGAGGGTGTTGGCCCTTTTTGAGCTAATTTTGATTAAATTAGGCCTATCTGGATAGTTTGATAATGCGGATGGGGTCCAGTACCAATTACCTAATCTGAATCTTTGTTTCTTCATAATATTGCCAAACGGCTTAATCATTTTCTGATCTGAATCTTGACGTACTACTGTATAAAGATTGGAAAGACCATAGTTATGGTAGTTGAATCCCTAAATATGGCAGTCCTACAACAACCAAATTTTGTGTGTGTTTAAGTTATCAGGAAAATAAACATTCGAAGGCGGGCGATTCCTGTAAAATGCACTAAACTGGTACGGTACAAATAGTTAAACATACAGGGTGAGGCAGTGAAGTGACACGATTCTGACACCAGCCGACGAAGAATTGGTGGCTAATTAAGTGCGGGGGAAACAATGGGTAGACTTCCGTATCTGTTGGCACAAACAACCGAATGAAAATATTGACTAGGGCCTACGTATTAGATTGTTTCATAATTAGATTATTAGAATAATCGATACATTGATCGATATAATCTTAGGCATCTAGAGCCAGGTGGAAATTTCAGTAGCCATGGAACGTTGGACAAGCGCACAACGCGTGTTTGCTGTAAAGACATAGGCCTATTACAAAAACATGGATAGTGTGGTTTGTGCTCAGCGTACTTTTTATGTTGTGAGTTCAGTATCTATCGCCACAGGCTCCTGTGCCATCAAGGAAAGGATGTCCTCCTTTGAAGCCGTTACAAGACACTAAAAACGCTTTGAAGCGCTACTATTGCAGAAGTTTTGCAAACGCTAAAAAACGTCATGGGTGGATTTCACCTCAGAATTCAAAAATGTGTGCAAAACCAAGGACGCCATTTTATTGACATTGCATTAAAAAAATAAGTTGATTATTTTTAAGGTAAAACATTAATTTTCACTTAGCCTATGTAGCCTACTTGAGATTTTATTAAAACAACTTAAGTTACTTATCCTTTTTTCTAAATGAATAATTTGTGATCTCTCAAAATCGTGCCGGTTCACTGTCACACCCTATAAACTTATTTGATATGAATGTAAAATGAGTCTTTCCAACAGAGGAATTTTTTTTTAATAATAAGGTAAAACACAGTACAATCTACAGTACTGTATTTACTGTTGTTTTACGGTAAAATCTAAAATCTGCCTAATTAAATTAATGTTGTTGTCCTCACTCGATTTAAGTTTAACTAGGCTAATTATTTAGTGTTGAATTAGGCTAATTAATTATGTTGAATTAGGCTAATTAATTAGTGTTGAAAGTTCAATCTTTTGGCCTAAGATTAATTTAGCTTAGTTTGTACAATTTGTACATACCACTGAAATAGGACACAGCGATTGGAATCACAGTGTGGTGCTTGATTGATAGTGCAGTTGATCTATAATGTAAGGATCATTATCATTTAAAGTTGATTCCGAGAGTGGTCATATACTTTAACCTCAAACACAAAACAAAACAAACATGACTGTGATCAGTGACGTCGACGAAATGACAGTTTCAGTTTCCAGTTTCGTCTGTTGCCCGCCCAGTCGTTTCGTTCCAATTAACTCACTCTAATCCAGTCTGGTTGGTTTAGGTGTAGAATGAACTGTGTTAACAGGCTACAAAGAAATATAATAATATTAATAATTATTCATTATCATTATCATAGCAGATAAAGTACGTAGCCACGGCCGCCTTTAACTCCAGGCCGCGGCCTTCGAACTGGCAACGTCGCAAGTGGTGTTGTAACAGCTGATTTTTTTGGAAGCAACTAATGGTATTTGTGTATTTATGAAAGATTGATTACTGGACTATGAACATATTGACTCCGTTTAAAAATGTACAGATATAGATTTTAATTAATATTGTTTCAATCTTCAATTCTGTATGTTTTATTTTCAATATTTTAATAAATTTATGTTTATAAATTAAAAATTAAATCAATAAAGTGCGAATTAATGAGCTGATGTCACCTGTCTGCTATGTTAGCTTATGGGACGTCTGTCACTGAACAACACCACTTGCGGTGTTTTATACTTTATACTTTCTTATGAAATGGCGACCATACTATGTAGGATGTTGCCAATTCTACCAGGCCGCGGCCTGTAGTTAAAGGGGAACGCGCCAAGCCGCCACCACGTCAACCCGCCACCAAGTCAACCAGCCATCAAAAAGAAGAAGAAGTTTGAGGTGGCGGGTTGACGTGGTGGCTCGTTGTCGGGGTGGCACGTTGACTCTAGCGTGCATGACAACCCGCCACCTCGGAAAAATGTGTGGTGGCGGGTTGTCGTGGTGGCACGTTGTCCTGGTGGTGCTTAGACATGTTCATACACGTCAACCAGCCACCTCTTTAGTGTGGTGGCGGGTTGACGTGGTGGCTGGTTGACGTCTACGTGCGAGGTGGCGGGTTGACGACACCGAACATTGAGCGTACACGACAACCCGCCACCTCATAAAATAGTGATGGCGGGTTGACGTGGTGGCACGTTGTCGCTTACATGCGAGGTGGTGGTTTGACGAGAGTTAACATGGGGCGTACACGTCAACCCACCATCTTTGTTGGCAAAAGCCGCTGTTGTCTGTGTATTATAAAATGCATCACTTTTTGCAGTTTACATGGACTTGTGTTATCTAGTTTACTGTTAAGTTAACTAGACATTAGTTATTGTGAATTCATTAATTTTCGAGTCGTTTTCCTAAAAATATCTGCCATGGAAATAAAGTACACGCGCATCCACGCAAGACAATTTTTCCTTTTTATCAACGTTTATTGTTTAAAAAACTTTTGTAATATAAACTCACTACAAATTAACGACTTAGGGTCATTCTAGAATTAAAATAACAATATTTGTTATGTTTTCGCATATTTTTATTGAAGACAAAAACATGAAACCATAGATAAAACATACTCCCTTAGTAGATTTCTCATCCTTATGGAACAGCTGAAGTCAATTTTATTGTTAGTTCATGTACGGTTTATGTAGAGGTCGTGTTTTGTTTACAATTTGTTTCCCGTTATTACAGCCATTTAAAACCTCGTTTAAACAAATAATACGATCTAATCATAAACAATAACTTGTCCCCTAGATATATAACCAAACAGTAAAGCACAAATCAAGAAATTAACCCTAAAATAATGGAAACAAAGTTTCATCGACACTAGCGCCTTTGTGTCTAGTACATGAACTAGACACGAAAAACGTGCTTCAAAATTTACAATGGGATGAAAAGTCTACTTGTGTTGGTTAGTCTATGATGAAACTTTAGTAATTTTGAAAAATAAGTTATTAGTTTCTTAGGATTTTTTGTAGGTGTATACCTGGTATAATACCCATACTTATTTTCTTTTTCAGCATTATGACAATGAATTACAAAATAAGTTACCTAACAACTTCATCAATTAATTATAACTAGAGGTCGTCCAGTGGTCGAAACTCGACCAAAAATTTGTAATTTACAGACTTCTCTATTTTCGCCCCATACTGTAAATAAAACATGTGATTGGATGTTTTGATTGACTTCAATTTGTATTGATTTTCTGTTTATATTTCGTTGTTATTTCGTCGCCAGCATGGAAACCCATAAAGCCCATGTTATTTTTTTTCAAATTTCAAATTCATTTTTGTGCTTATTTCTGAGCCTATTTTAGTTTTTAAAGAGATTCTGCACACCTACAGAAAAATATCTTTCTAGCAGTATGCGAAGATTTTTCCTGCGATGCACACGAGCTGAGAAAAAAGGTTTTAAAGAAACATGCTTGCCTATTAATATATAGATAGATTCACGTGTAAAAAAAAAACATGAAAAACGTTAACGTTAAACGTGTGAAAATTATGAAAATGTATTGTTCGGTTATAATTTCTCTTGAAACCGTATTGTGGTGAAAATAATAATACATTCAACCAAAAACATAAAACAAAATATACACCGTTGATACAGAGTACAACAGACTAAAATGTACTTTGTGTGGACTAGCGCGCACCTGTTTTTCTATTTAGAAGAATTTGAGAAAGGATACAGAACTATAGACTCGACCCAACCTGGTAACGTACTTTGACCTCTTGAGTCAAGGGTATTGCCCAGAGAAGTGCATACCAGATAGATATATTCCAAAAATCTCATTAGGAGATATCTTAAACCAAGATTTCTATTGAATTTATCATGCTCTGCTTGAAATTCCATTTCATGCTTCAGGAAATACCGTACCGTTACTTTGGTATTATTCGGAGGCCGCTTGTTTTCTAGAGGGATTTTTTACCTAAGACAAAAAAAACATGATTAGAAAGAACATACTTTAATTAACTTACTGTCCAAATATGAAATGATTGCAATTGCAATTAGCGGTTTTTGAGTTCTGCCTCCCAGAAGGCAAGATTGAGTTGAATGCGTCCTCACCCCTAGCTGCCACACGAACTCCGCCGAGTAGATACTGAGTAAATACTGCGCGCTGTAGCGGTTATGTTAGGTTGGGTTTCCTCGTTTCATTATGAATCTAACAATACAACATGAGTGACGATACCTGAGATACAGGCGGTGACAGGTGATGCGCGCGCTCCGGCCATTGGTCAACGACCTGAACTTGGCCTACTTGGAGGGGATTTGGCGATGGTATGACTCATCTGGTATCATTCCATCCATAACGAAACTAAGAAAGTTCTACAAACATATTTTTATGATAACCCAACCTAACATAACCGCTGCAGCACGCTGTATAAGGGTGGCCTCCGGATAATATCAAAGTAGCATTAATACAGTACTTTTACTCTTGGCACAATGGGTTCGGGGCATTCCACTAATGTACTGTTGAAAATTGTATGAAATAATTTATTCATATTTAAAAGTATCTTTACTAACTAAACTAAATCTGTGTACAGCTTGTAAACAAATCAAATATAAACAATAACAATAATCACATAATAATGACATCTATCATCTACTAAATCTATCTATACTATTATAAAGAAGAGGTGGTGTTTGTGTGTTTGTATGAGATAAACTATAAGCTATACTGAACCGATTGGACTCAAATTGGACAAAAATCAAGCTACCGCTCCGAAGATTAGAACTACCCCCCCCCCCCACAATCGATATTGAACTAGTATCTGCTCTCCACGGGCTTTCAAAATTCTGAGGTGAGAGATTTTTAACTTATTTAATACGCAAGCAGGGTTTTCTGTGACATTTACTCCTCCGAACCTACTAAACCGATTGGCATGTTTTTGACGTCATTTGGAAAGAGCGTAACGTGAAGTTGTGCAGGAAACTTTCTTTTTAGGGAAATAATTAGGGTGAGGCCCCTGGGGCCCTCTACAGGTTCATATTTCTCCATAAGATTCATGGGAAACAGACATTGTTATGTAACTCCAGCTGTTGTCAGAAATTAAAAATGAGAAGAAGAACATATGTTAATTGTAAACATTATGTAATTTACACAACTATGTGGTAGGTTTATTTATGCAATTGATTATTGAAATGAAGAAAATTCTATAACCATAAGTTATAAAAATTATGTTATTGATATATTTTAATGTAAACAGTAGGGTAATTACAATGTAGGGCATACATTTTTGTAAAAATTTGATTGCTATTTGTTTAAAAATTGAATCTACTTAACAAGTGTTTGGATTAGGTAGTATGGACTTTTGTATAGTTCCGTTTATTCACTAATTGTAAATAAATTATAACTTAAAGATATAATTGACAGTTGGTAGGAAGATGATTACACTAAACAGGTCGCCAATTGTTTTCAGATAACGTATTATCTCGTCACATTATGGTATTTGGTAAGTGACTTTTTAGTACAATTTTAAAGAAACGTGTCCAATATCATTCAAAACAGTGATTTGGATTGTTTTGTTTTTGTCTAAAAATCTTTCAAAAAGTATAATCCGACGACAAAATAAAATAAATTAATACAAGGAATAGAATAGTTTTATCAACAGCAGAATATTAGTTTGGTTCTCTTTTGTGATTACTACGTGAAATGAAAACAGTAGGCCTATTTAGGTTGGAAATTAAAGGACAATCGCGATCTCGCAACTACGGGAAAGTGAACTGACCTGAGTGACCCGACACCTTAATAACTGGAATGGCCTGTCGATGTAAAAGAAAAATCTAAGAAATGCCAGATTAAGTCCATTCGTAGAAACGTGCGAGGGGATTAACGGGACACCCCTGTATTCTGTTCCCTAATATTTCCTTTAAAGTTCCCAGTACTGACTGTTATGGGTTTGTTTATATTAAAAAATCGGCCAAATACTTTGCACCAGGTGTCCATGTCTACATTTTACAACATGCATTTCGTTCACCTTTCCCAGTAATAATTCGTGGTTCGTTCCTGATTTTTTAATAATGAGGCATACTGTGCTATTGTTCTAAATACATACGAGAGATATTCAAAAAGGCAAAAAGAAAGAAAAAAGTTTTGAGGTAATAACAAGCCTATATTTTAATCAGGAAAGTGTTATCATCATGCCAAATTTCAGCCTAATCCCGATGTGCCCAATGAATTGTTATTGAGTGATTGAACCCCAAACAAACACACACACATTCATTTGTAATATTAGTAAAGTAGCACTGTACTCCAACGTATGAATCAGGCCGTAACTTGAAATAAACGCTTAGGCCAGTTACATTTTTAACATCCAAATGTAATATTATTTCGCCATAAACAGCGTTGATCAGTTATTAAACGGAGGCAAATGGTACCAAAAGTCATTATCTTGCGAAAAAAACATTTTTTTAACGAAAATCAGGTTAACAAAAATAAAGGACTTTGGCTTTGACTTTTTTCAGGTTATAATCCTAAGTCAAATTTTTATCTAATCGTATAATGAAACTGCTTGATGCATAATTAAGGTTCAAATGAATCAGTAATATTATTTTAACCTATGTAGATACGATATACTGCGCATTGTGAAAATTGTTTAGTCGAGGATACATTTACACATAAACATAATCATTATTTAAATATTTAATTGGCCAACACAAATGTTGTGATTATTGTTTTGAAACTGCTACACATCCGATCATCAAGTTTCGTTGGATAGGTCGTGACATGTAAATTTGCCATAAAACAAAACACATTAGAAATTCCATCAGGGCTCTGCCCCAGTGGCCTTCAGCCAATTGAAAGCGTCAATATACGTGATTCAATTTATTTAATATTACGGATTAGAAATGACAAAATAAATGTAAAAATAAACGGTATCAGCATTCTGAAAAACACTTTCTCCCATAAGCTTGTTAACATCCTATATCATGGGAAAGCGGTGATAGTATATAGTTCAAAATCACAAAAGCTGAAATAACATTTGGACCATAATTGTTACAGCAATGGGGTGTTGTACTATTTTTTTAAAACATAATTTGTTTATGTTTATAATCCATACCGGGTCTCTTCTAGTATTCGTGGTCTAATCACAGAATACCGATAATTTCACCTGAATTACCTTTTGAATTCAAGTGAATACAATTTTCTTTGCGTCTTGCTTTCGCAATCACCATTATAAAATGGCACAAGACTATCCCTGACTATCGCCGGTTTAAATGTATAAAATGCATGCTTTTCACACGTATGTTGCGTGCGCACGTGGTGGTAGGTGCGCATAAAAACTTATATATATCTATATTTATACGCCTAATGAAAATAATTGTTTATTCACTGGCAATTAAGTAAAATTAATAACTATTCTATTTTTGTTTTTGGTATATGTTTTTATCATCTCATATTAATACGCGAGGACTGTGTTTTGTGAACACTACTCCTCCCTTATTTGTGGACAAATTTCAACTTTTAAGGTGTTGGTGTTAAAGGATTCGGACCAATTCGTAGTTTTGCATTAAGGTTTTAGAATTTAAAAAGTTCCTACCCTTAAGGGCGTGAGACCCTTTCAAATGTCGGGTTTTCACCATGTTAATAATTGCATTACCTATCAATCTTTCTTCCGAAAATAAGCTAAAATGTCCAGAAATGCTATTTAAGAGTTAGGTACATTAACTTTCTCTAAATTAACTGAATCAAAGTACAATATATTTAATGCTACAGAATATAAATCCAACCGATTTATTTATTGATAAATCCAACCGCGAGGTGGTGGGTTGTCGAGGTGGCACGTTGTCGCCTATGAGCGAGATGGCGCGTTGACGGCACCGAACACTGAGCGTACACGTCAACCCGCCACCTCGTAAAAGAGTGGTGGCGGGTTGACGGGGTGGCACGTTGTCGCCTACGTACGAGGTGGCGGGTTGCCAACATCGAACATGGAGCTTCACGACAACCCGCCACCTCTGATAAAAACTGGTGTTGGCGGGTTGTCGTGGTGGCATGTTGTCGTGGTGGCTCATTGACTTGAGTGTGTACGACAACCCGCCACCTCGGAAAATTGTGTGGTGGTGGGTTGTCGTGGTGGCCTGTTGTCGAGGTGGCGGGTTGACCTGTACGTACACGTCAACCCACCACCTCGGTTTTTTTGTGGTGGCGGGTTGACGCATCTGACCAAAACACCAAGGTGGCGGTTTGACGTGGTGGCGCATTGACAGCGACCCAGTTAAAGGCGGCCGTGACGTAGCTCATGTACGCTAATATACAGTAATATGGGCTAACCAAACCACTTCATAAAATAATTTCATAAATAAAAAATAGTTTATGAACTGTATAGTCAGTACTTTAACAGTGAACGAAACGGAGCTAATGAGAATTGAGAGATGAGCTTCAGTTCAGTTCAGCTGCGCTGATGCAAAACAAACAACAGCTGACCAACTGAGTTGAGTCAACATTGTGATTGTGATTGTGACTGTTTTTGTTTATTAGTCAGAGGGAAATGCAAAGTTTTTATTTTTTAACCTTATTTTTTATGTGATAATGATATAGGCCTATTCCATATTTAACTCTCATGACATGTCACTTAAAAGTATAAATTTATGATAAGCTATTAATTACTTCGTTCAGTGTAGAGTTCAAATAGACCAACATTTGTTTACACTGTGCTTTAGTGACCATGATTCTTTGTGATTAGGCCTAATTTGTTTGCAGTAATGGAACAACTATTATTGGCAAGTGCTAGGGATGATAGGTCTATTCATCTGGCCAACCTTTCGCTTGAAAATGAAGTGGATAGCAGCAAGGATAGTAAAATATTAATTTCTCCTTCCCTGAAGCACGTTGTTACTTGGAGTCTAAAGAATTATTATTTATTCATTTACTATGTATCAAAGGAGTTGGATACTAGCAATAAAGAGGGTTGTAAACTTATCACAGTGTGGAAAGAAAAATTGGCTGATACGCTAAGGTCAGTAACTTGAAATCCATCATAGCCTAGCCTTATGCGCTCTTCCCAATAGAGTATCATGTAGGGCCTAGTCTAAGGCTCATGAATCTTAGGATATTAACCCTTTGAGTGCCAACGTCCGGGGAACCGGACGTTTTTAAAACGAGCCAAAAGTGCCGACGTCCGGCCGACCGGACGTTTTTAGAATGAGCCAAAAGTGCCAACGTCTGGCTGACCGGACGTTTCGTAATGATCGAACAGTTGTCATAACGACCGAATGGATACTCGGATTCTTTAACCCATATATTAACATTGAGTCGAAAGTTACTAGATGCGATACATCGATTTTCGTTGGTCGAAATATCGAAAATTCGATTTTTACAAAATTTTAACCTAAAAATCGCCAGATCGCGCTCGGCATTTTTAGCGCGACCTTCGGGAAAAATCATCGGCATTTTTTGAGCGTTACTTTTATTTCTCGCCTGGCACTCTAAGGGTTAAGGTAATTACACACAGAAATCACATTCTGCAATTATATTGCCACAATCGCCTATCATTGTCTAAAGGCCAGGGACACAACTTACCGGCAAAACCGCCGAATTTAGTGGAGCCAGAGAAAGTTGAGATAAGTTAAGTTACACAGGAAGGCATGGGGAAGGCCACGCAGCTCCGGTCTGGCGGGAAAATGCTCTGGCGAAACCGCCGGATATTCTCTAATCAAATCAAATCAAATCAAAAATTCTTTATTCATATTGTATATACATACATGAATAGTGTCAGACTATAACTAATTTGTATGCATTTTGATTTCGATTTACAGAAAAGTAGGAACCGCATACAGTTTCATTTTTTTATTTTTTTTCCATCAGAGCACCTCAACCTTATTTATTTAGTCGTTTTTACATTGAAAAAACTCTTCAAACGAATAATAACTTGTTTGCAACAGATGATTCTTAACTAGTTTTTTGAAATTATTTTGGTTTATTTTACTTTTTAATTTTGTAGGAAGATGGTTTAAAAATTTTGATCCCATAAAGGTTCCCTTTTTTTCAAAGAAGCTGAGGTTATGTTTTGATAAATTTATATCATTCTTATTTCTAGTGTCATATGAATGGACATTTTTTCTAATTTCCAAATTGTGTAGTTGATTTTTGACACACATAATACATTCTACTATATACTGATCATAGACAGTCAAAATATGTAGTTTTGAAAATTTATCCTTCACAGTTATTCGTTTGTCCAAGTATAGCATGATTCTTATAGCTTTTTTTTGGAGTTTCAGAACTGTATCTAAATTTTGTTTAGACGTTCCTCCATAGATTGCCAGACCATAAGACAGATGGGAATGTATATGCGCAAAATATATTGATTTTAGGGTGTCCAGGCTACATAATAGTGACATACGCCTCAAAACATATAACCCTGAAGAAATTTTTTGTGTTATGAATTGTGTATGATAATCCCATTTAAAATATGTGTCTACGTAAAGCCCTAAAAATTTAGTATGCTTTAGATTTTCTATTTTTTCGTTTCCAACCAGGATGTTTGGTTCTATTGTTTCTTTTCTTTGTGAGGCTGAAAAAACGATTTGGTTGGTTTTTTGACAGTTTAAAAAAAGTTTATTTTTAAGAAAATATGATTGAACTTTACTCAAATTTTCATTACAGGCCAGTTCAAGATTTTGGTAATTTTTAGCTGAAATAATTAGGTTTGAATAGTCTGCGTACAATAGTAACTGGCTTTTGGCTTCTATGTTTGATTTTAAAATTGAGGGCATTCCACGGACATAGCAGAGAAATAATAATGGTCCTAAAATAGATCCCTGAGGAACTCCATGTTTAATTTTTAATGTTTGTGATTTATTTTTAACGACTTGGTTTCCTTTTTTTGAAACTATTTCAACATACTGAGATCTATCGGAGAGGTATGATCTAAACCATTTTAAAGGAACATCTGGCAGGCCCAAAACTTTAAGCTTCTTAAGTAGTATTTCATGAGACACGCTGTCAAATGCTTTTGACAAATCCATGAAGACACTGGCTACCTTATCCCCCTTGTCAATAGATTCAATTATTGTTTCCGCAAACCTCAGCAGAGCTGAAGTGGTTGATTTTCCTTTTTGGAAACCATGCTGTTCTTCGTCTAAAAGGTTATATGATCAGGTACATACCTTTACGTCAACAGTTCCATTTTTGTAGTGAATAACTCACAACATGTTTCGCCTATTCAGGCATCGTCAGGTGATATCCTAGCAAGAATGCTTTGTCTTCATCCATGATGGATGAAGACAAAGCATTCTTGCTAGGATATCACCTGACGATGCCTGAATAGGCGAAACATGTTGTGAGTTATTCACTACAAAAATGGAACTGTTGACGTAAAGGTATGTACCTGATCATATTAGTCTAATAAACAGTTCAGGGGCTAAATCATGAATTTTAATTAAAAGGTTATTATTTTGTAAATGCTCAAACAATCTATTATACATCACCCGCTCATATATTTTTGAAATAGCAGGTAAGACAGAAACAGGACGGTAATTACTTCATTCAGTTTTTTCACCCTTCTTAAAAATGGGCACTACTTTGGACATTTTTAAACTTTGAGGAAAAACTCCGGTTATTAAGGAACTGTTAACTAAGTGGACTAATGGCTTTAACAAGGGTTTTACTGTATTTTTAATTAACTTTAAAGGAACTTCATCGTGGCCACTTGATAACTTATTTTTTAAGGACAAAATAATTTTTTCAATCTCTGCTTCATCAACTGGTTTACATTTAAAAGGATTCAAGATTTCAATATGATTTATGTTGTCCTGTAAATTTATTCCATTGGGCAACGTTGAATTATTTGAGGTATCCTGAACAAGATCATCTATTACATTAATATAATAGTAATTAAACAAGTTTGAGATGCTCAGAGGATCACATACAGCTTCACCATCTATTTTTATTACATTGATTGCTCCTCTTGAGCTATTAACATTTTTTCCTGTCTCTTCATTTATTATCTCCCAGGTTTTCTTGCAGACATTTTCAGATTTTTTAATTTTTGTATCATAAAAAGTTTTCTTAGCCTTAACAAGTTTATTCTTGTAATCTCTATCTTTTAATTTACAGTAATTAATTATATCAACATTACCACTAAGTCTAGCATGTTTTGATAGTTCAACTATATCCTTTTTCTCCATCATCAGCTCTTTAGTAATCCAGTTACTTTTCCTTTTATACAAGTATCTTTTGATTTTCTTTTTTGGAAAAACTAAATTAAAATTATATTGAAAAATGTTGTTAAATACATCAAACTTATTCTCTACTTTTGATAAATATAATGGAAGCCAGTTTTCATAGGAAAGAATATTTTTAAAAATATTCATATTATTATCTGAAAAATCTCTACATTCGACATATTCACTGGGAAAATTTAATTTCTTAGATTTGGGTAATGTTAGTTCTAAAATTTGTCCATCATGATCGGAAAGAGATGTTATGATTCCAGTAACATGTGTCAATGACTTATCTATATTTGTCAAAATATTATCTATAGCTGTGGCAGTATTACTGGTTACCCTTGTAGGAAAATTTACTAAATAATTAAAATTGTAACTTCTTAGGATGTTTTTGAAAGTTTGAACTTCATTTGTTGTAATTAATACATTAAGGTTAAAATCTCCAGCAATAACAAAATTTACTTCGTCTTTTAAAGAAACTAAAAGTTCAATTAACCTATCTAATCTACTTAAAAATTCTAATGTTTGTAATTGAGGTTTTCTGTAAACTCCTACCAGCACAAAAGACCATTTTTCTATTCTATATTTAGCCAGACAACACTCAAAAAGCTTGTCCTCGGTCAGTTCATCAACTTTTTTTAAGGTTAGGGGTTTTGAGTTCAAACTCTTCTCCGACAGAATCATCACGCCACCGCCAGAGGTGGTTGTACGAGAGTATGCAGAAGTAACAGAAAAGTTAGTTAAATTAAATCTTTCTATTTCATATTCTTTCATGTTGTGTTCGGTCAAAACAATTATATTGGGTTTAATTTCTTCTAAAACAACTTCTAATGGTTCTTTCCGGGAATTTAAATGTTGAATATTTTGATGAAAAATTGAAAATGTGTTTATTTTGTTGCTATTTGTTGAGTTTTGATTTTTAAACTTTAGTCTGGATCCTTGAAAACTGTCGGCGAAGAGTTTAAATCCGGTTTAGGGTCAGGAAGGATCCGGTGTGGTTGATTAGTTGAAGGGGACTGGGTCGAACTATAACTATTGCTTATATTTAAACTATCACTCACGACACTTTTATCACTGCTCTGCTTTAACGCCTCACAGTATGTGAGGTCGCCGGGCACCACTTTAACTTCTTCACCATGTGTTGACATCTGGTTTGTAAGTTGGCCGTCAGCTCCAGGTGCTTTACAATCAGACGAAACCATCTTAGTTGTGTTTGTTGAGTTACCAGAGCCCCGTGAGATCTCCTCCGAAGGTGAAGCAGGCGGGTTGATGCAAGCATCAGTTAGAATATTTGGGGCATCAATTTCACAACAGCAACTGTCTATTGTCTTCCTTAGCTGATCCAGAAATGCAGTATGTGATAGTCCATTCCATAATTTTCGCTGAGCAGCTGGTTGATCACATGACACTACATATATCGTAGCATTAGTCACTTTGTGCAGCTTTACAATATTTTTTGCAAAGTGGTTGAGAGGTATTAAGTCACGCACACAGCCCATAGGAGAACATATTAAAGTATCAAATTGCTTTACTTTAAAATCCTCAATCAAGTGTTCAAACGCCTCATCATACGTTGGTAGTGTTGGCTTTCCTCTATATTCTTCCTTTGTGACAAGACTGTAGACTGTGGCACCCCCTGATTCAGTCTGGCTAGTCAATCTTGTGTTGATGAAGTCTGTGTCCTTAGGCCTACCAAATACCTTACGAAACACAACCGCTACACCAGCAGACATGTTTCTGTAGTGTTGTATATCTCTTGAAATGGTATGCGCAAATGCTGTGGTAGGGGCTTTTTTGTTAGCATTAATCACTTCCCACATGTTAGCTTCGATGACATTAATGGTATTGTTTTTTATGCAAGTAGACTGTGTTTTTTCTTTAGATCCAACAACAGTGTTAATCATTGGAACAAATATTTCTCTTATCATTTTGGATATTTGTATTTTTCCTTGTTTGTTAAAGTGTAGTCCATGTTTCGCCGGACCGGCTGTTAACTTATGCCAGCCCAGCGGTTAGCGGGGCATTGTAATTTATGGAGATGAACACACACCGGCGAATCAGCAGGACCTGCCCCTGCCCCCACTCCTCAGTCGGGGCTCAACCCTCAAGGGTGGTGGTTGTATTACTTTATTTTAGCGCAGTGTCCCAAGTGGTTAATTTAGGTTTTTTTTAAAAGTCAATTTAGTTTTCTATTCCATCATGGTTGGATGTAAAGTAGATATGGATTTATTTATAAGTTTAGTTCACAAAAACCCATAAATTTGCGATGGATCTCAGGAAATGTACAAGGACAACAACATAGGTAACCAGGGACAGCTGGAGACAAATTTGTGGCGTGCTCAATCCAGCCTTTGAGGATATGGGAGAAAGCAAAAGAAACAAATAAGCACAATCATATTTATTTTTGCTAATTTGGTTTAAATTATGCCTAAATTGTAACGTTTTAAAATTGTTTTGAAATTAATAAAGCACAAGTTACCATACCTACTTAACGATGAAACAGTAAACATCGCGCACTTTGATATCAGTGCAACAATGTGTTGTTACCCTACCAAATAGTATTTTTTATTAAGGTTAAAACTTGTTTATTTGTGTTCTTCGATAATAGCTTGCGAATGTAGGGACAGACATTCGAAAATAATTGACCTTCCATCTGGCGCATCACGGAAGTTATCTCCGGATCACTACTTTTTTTGTTATAAAAACCATAGTAGGCTATGTGTTCGGCAGGGCTGTCTCCTGATTTACCTCACGCACCTCTTTTTGCGGAATCGGTTTTTTCTACTCTTACCCCTTTCCCAGTTGTCAGTCGACCTTGGAGAGTGGTTCGTGTCACTACTAGAAGTAACTTCTGTGTGCGCACTGTGACATTTCAACGGGTTTCCCGGAGCCTCGTTCCTTGTGCGTGTTTGACCTTATTTAGCAATATTATAAAATAACTTCTTGATCAGCATTGTACGTGTTATTAAATTTACGGAAAGTAAATAAAAGAAACGTCTTATAACACATAAAACATATATTTACGCTTATACTGTTACTCACAAGACGGTAAATACAAAAAAGATGGTAATTGGTGATCGATTTCGATTGGACACTCCGATCATCATCAGACCCAATAGGCGAATGAGATTCACATTATTTACAAATTTTTTTGTCTGTAGTTTTATTTTCAAATATAATTTTAAAAAAATTTTAGTTTAGTACCCATATTCCTTACTCTTTTACCTGTTTATAATGCTTTAACTTAAAAATTTTCAGTGTTTGTTTTTCAAATGATGCCAAATACCTGGGTGTATTCATCAAGTCAAAACATCAAAAAGTTGTCATTTACAATTTAGCTGAGCAAACAGTCGTCAAGAGAAATGAAGTCCAATTGGCAGACATTGTACAGCCTGGCAACCTTTCTCGAGCAAATGCAGATATTTGGGGTGAGTTTGATTTAATTATTAAGGGCTACTCCCATAAATTTAGATCAAGTCCTATGAAGGTTGGTAATCAATAATGATATTTATACTTTGCTGAAAGTGTGGAATATAGGTTAAGACCAATTTTTGAATTGATTACAGAATAGGACTGGAAAAAGAGCTTATAAATTAGTAGACGTGCGAGATTGCTGCATCATTTCTTGGCTGTTGAGCCTGGGCTATATTCCCATCCCTGACCTTTTATTCCCCCGGGGAACACTGTCCCATTTTCTTATAGCTGAAAATTTGTTGGTTGTCCTATTCCTAGCAAATTTGGAAGTAAACTATATCTAAGCTGTTTGAAAAACAAGAATCCCACAGAGAAATTGTTGAAATTCAAAATTTAAAAAAAGTCTAGACATTTTATCTTTTGAAATTTTTTAGCCCCAATTATCAATGAGTGGTTTTAGGGTTCCAACAGGACAAATCAAAAATCCTCTAAACCCTAGGAGTCTTAATTATTGCGTGAAAAATGATCGATTAACACTAGATTATCGGATGACAAGCTAACAGAGTCTTACTGTAAACAATACAAGAACCATGATTGGATTAGATTTTTATGACACACCAGGGTGCGTGATTTAAGGCGTAGATGATTAAGATATGGCTGTTTAGCCAGGATCATTTATTAAAATCCCAGTAGTCAAGGACAGCTGTGTCCAGTTTCAAATGATTAAAAAGCTTTGATCTTTTCCAATATTTTCCATCATCGTATTCCTCTAAAAATTGTTTTTCCAGGTTCTGCAGTTGCCACCAAAGAAGAAGAGATGTTGGTTTACGTCAATAGAAACAATATAGTTATATACACTTCACACTCTCTTCAAAGCTTCAATGTGATACATAATTCTGAATGTGTCCAAAACTATTTAGTCAATTTGGATAGCAATACCAATTTATATTATTCAAATTCACACTCTTTCTACTATCTCAACAACACAGGAATACTTTGTATCCTTTTTACGACAAGTGTAATTATAATGAAATATTCAGGTTACGATTAAAATTAGATTAACACAAAGTGTGGTCCTTGCACCCTTACACAATCGCAAGTCAATAGGGCTCACTGCCCAGCAGGAACGAGTTTGAGGTTAGCTTTTGTACAAGGTGTGTTAAACCCTAGCAGGATCCTACATCTAGGCCTAGAGATCCAATATTATTGCGGTCACACCATTTTTGGTTTGCAAAAGTCGTCCCCTGCTTTTTAATGTATTTAACAGTACTGCATATCTATGTGTGATTGTACAGTGCTACTACCTATTTTTTAACGTTATGTAAATATGTTGAACAACTTTAGAAAACCACGCTTCTCTACTGGGTCTCATCTGTTAGCTATGTCATAATTATTTAAATATTTTCCTACATTCATCTGCCTTCAGTGTGCTGTCCATACAAAGATCTTCACTAGCTGTCTCACCATTACGTGTCCGCAGTAAATGTATTAATTAATAGCTTAATAGGATTTTATATCAAGAGAACATATTTTAGATGCATAACAACTTATGCAACTTCATTTTTTATAAAAGTTTATAATAATATTTTTAAACTATCAATGTTCTATTAAGTTCATTGTAAAATGTGCAAGTTTACATTTCCTTAGCTGTATTCAGACATTTATCAACTTCTTGATGGAAGCTTGACTGGTATTTTTGATGTCAACAGAGTTTTGCCAAAAAATCTTAATTTTTCCAACATTTACGTCAATACCTTTGGCGACAGACTTGCTGTAGTGAGCGAACACAACAAAATATACATCTTGGATATTTCTAATGCAAAAGTGCCTCAATCTTTTTCTTCTCATCAACCGTACAGGTAAGTTTATGCTGCACTATTTACAAAATTGAATGTAAACTGAGTACAAGAAAATAATTCTACTTTACTTGACTCGTGTAAAAAAAAGTTGCTTTTTCCACCACTGCATGGAATTGATCAGTGATCACATTGTCACACCGGTAACAGTACGTAAAGTAGCTCATTTCTGCTTTATTCACCCCCACTGGCTCAATCAGCTGATTTCACTGTTGTATTAACCTTCGCTCCATGCTGTTACGGATTGGCCTATATTTCTATGCGTGCAACCGGAACTGGTTGGGTCAGGCAAGAGGGTTTGTGGCGGTGCTTTTTTGAAAACATCAGTTCTTTGTTACTCATTGTGACTAACTTATGCATTAATGGACACTAGTAACTATTAAGTGAAATCATTAATCCCACTAAGCTTAAAAGAAGCTTATAAATATAAAAGGCTTATTATAAAAACAATATAAGAAAGCATGTTAAATACAAATCTAACTATAGTAAAAGAAAATTGTCAGGATCTACTCTAAACTAGTTTATTTATGACAGTAGTATGGTATTTTAAAACGTTTTTATTAGCTCGCTTTCTTGTCCGGTACAAATTTTGCAATCAATTTTATACTAACTTCCCAATGAGCTAGAGACTTGAAACTTGAAATATAGCTCACAAATGGAAGACAATGCAATATTATATCATTTAATTTTCATACTTCCTTTGGGCTACGCCCCATGGGCTTGTTTTTATTAACTCGCTTTCTTGCAAATTTTGATACTTCCCAATGAGCTAGAGACTTGAAATTTGAAACATAGCTCACAAATGGATGACAATGCAATACTATATAATTTAATTTTCATATTTCTCTTGGGCTAACGCCTCATGGGCTTGATTTCATTAGCTCGCTTTCCTACAAATTTTGATGTAAATTTTAAACAAAGTTCCCGATGAGCTAGAGACTTGAAATTTGAAACATAGCTCACAAATGGATGACAATTTAATATTATATAATTTAATTGTAATATTTCCCTTGGGCTACGCCCCATCGGCTTCCAAATTTTCCTTGTTTACATTTTGAAAGAATGTAAATACTGTACATCAATTAATTTAAGTCAGCTGTAAATACTTAAATTTGACAGTTCGAAAAGCAGAAGTTAAGAGGTGCAGGTTATGCTCCCAAGAGATTATATATATATATATATACAAACAAACATTTCAAAATAACAATAAACAATCTAATTGCAGATATAGAGGTGTTTGTTAATAATTTCAATTGTTATTTATTTAGTATTCTATAAAGTAAACAATAAATTTAATATATTGATGATTTTATAGTTAGTAGGTTGGCCATAAATTCAATCTAATATATAATTATATGAAAAGAAAATCAAATAAACCTTAGATTTCCCACATGCCTCTGTCTTAATCTGATATAGATGCTTGAAATAGACTTAACATACACAGACACACACATTCAAAACTAAAAAGTGGAAAATAATTTATGAATAAAAAACTTTTTTAAAACAAAACGTTTTTAAATGCACTAAAAAGTAGAAAATAATTTATAAATATATGGAGAGTATAAATACTTGTAAAATTTAAAACGAAAAACGTGGGGTGCATGCAATAACAGCATGTAATATCTCTATTGCATGCACCCCACGTTTTTCGTTTTAAATTTTACAAGTATATACACTCTCCACATATTTATAAATTATTTTCTACTTTTTAGTGCGTTTGAAAACGTTTTGTTTTAAAAAAGTTTTTTATTCATAAATTATTAACTGTTAACTGTTTTTACACCTAGTTGTTTAACTAGCTTCTTTTTATTTTTCTAGTGCCAAAGAAAGTAGTAGCAGTGTCTCATCGTTCAAAACTTCAGTCAGCAAAATATCTTCCAGGTAAACAATTTCTTGTGTTTCTACTGTTAAAACCCAACCTCACTGTCGTCCTATAAAAGGTGTCTACCAGTCAAGGTAATCAAAGAAGTAACGGTGAAATCACTGATTTTATAGGCGGTAATGGAAGTCACTGAAAAAATAATAATTTTCATTTCAAGGTCCCAAAAGTCACAGAAAAACTCAGGCCTAACTAAAATAAAGTTTCCCAGATTTCTCTTTATTTTGCAACTTTCTGCAAGCAATAATTAAATAATACAACTGGGAACAGGCAACCAACTCAAATTATTAAGGCGCAAAATATTGTGTGCTTGACTATCTCAAGTTCAAGTCACTGAAAAGTACTGTCTTATCTCTGTACCGAAGGTCATGCGTTTTAACCCCACCTCCCCAAAGTAACTGAAAGTTCATTGAAATTTAGTTTTTTCAACTGGTAATTCAATGGTAAAAATATAAAAGAAAGTAAAGATGTTGAGCATTTCAAAGTATATACTTTTTGTTTGGTGTAAAAGTGTTCCGGCATTGAATATTTTGTATGAAATTTAATGTTTTAAATTAAATGTTTTTACTCTTTGAACTGAACACTGCACCCAAATAACCAGGTCTAATGTTCTTATGTGAATTTCTCCACTATTGACAGAATGGACTCAATAAAAAGAGAAACGGCAGCGAGAAAAATATCTTCAATAGCAAACGCCACGTCAGCAATGTCTAATTGGGCCTCATATCTGGAGAGACTCAGAAACGCAAATACACAAGATGGTAAGTGAGTTATACCGCTTATGTAAATGATTCGTCAAACCGATCAAAACTTATTGGCTCATGAAAGTGTGTCACACCTTTTTAGTTTACACATTTTAGTACAGCATAATGTTTTATTTTGGTTATATTTTTTACTGTTAAATCATAAATCTGACAAAAATAATTTTCGTCATACTGCAGCAAAAACAGCTGTTTTTAATAAATTCTTTGCGGGTAAAGTAGCTCTTTTACTCCCTAGGGAGTAAAAGTCATTTGTTGTAAACACAGTTTCTAACATCGATCATTAGCAATCGCACGTTTTGAAAGTATGTATCGCTTGTTTTAATGGGTTATAGCTTATTGTTACACGCTTGTCAGCAGTTTTTTTTTTTTTTTTTTATATCATATCGATGGTTTTTGTACATAAACACAATCGTAATAGCCCAAATAATGAAAACAAGTTAGAAGTGGTTTTGAGAGGTTATCTCTACATGAAGTTTTTTGCTTGTTTTCTAACTTAGTTTGTTTAAATAATGATGCATGACCAAATATAAAGTTCATCAAACGGGCATTTTCCGACATCAACTTGAACTTGGGACGAAAAGAGTGCCCAAGTGATGAAATAAAAGAAATATACTATTGAAAGACATGTAGGCATGTAAGCCTACACAAATGAAATATAATTGAAGTTTGTACATTGACAATGTGTTCACAAATCAGTTATCTGTACTAACACAATTACTGTACCTCTGTAATAATAACATTATCTCTGTCTGTGATGCACTGTACTACACATGTATAAATATTAGGTATCCTCATTTTGTTTGACAATCCCATAATATTTTTAGGTGATAAAATCTTTAGTTATCAATGTAATATGTTTTGATTTGTAAGTGTAAGTTAATTTCTTTTTTATACTTCTGTATTGTTATATAATCTGTGTTTTTCACTTATTAAAAGTACATTTTAGATTTTCATAGTCCAAAATTCTGTACATGTATATGTTGTTTGTATATTTGTTGTTCCTGTCCTGGGGGAAGAGTGGACCTTTGGTCTAACTCTGGGCAGGTTAAATAAAGAATTTGTCATTTGTCATTTGTTCAAACCAAGATTTAAGATTTGTCTTTGTCCTTAACAAGATGATGCATGTAACAATATGATTATTAAATCTAAATCTGTTAATAAAACTAATATTATGTGGATGGACAGTGTAAACTATCTTAGTTTCAAAAAAAGAAGAAACATTCTAAAATCTTATAAATTATTACTAAAACATATCTTATAATTTGACTTAAACATTGTTAAATCTCATTTTAAAATCAAACCTCAAAGAAAACCTATGATAGACTACCAATATAAACAGAACAAATAAACAATTTAAAAATCAACATTAAAGCATTTTCAATATTAGCTTAAACCATAGACAAATAAAGAATAAATATAGACGATAGCAGTGCATATGTTCTGGCGTCCACCGCTAGGAGTGCCATGTAGTTATGGCGCACACCGCTGCAGGTAGCATACGGCTCATTGCCTGCATCGATGTACGCCGTAACTACAGGGCACTCCTAGCGGCATATCGTGGACCCTTCCTTTGACAGTCTATATTTAATTCTATTTGTTTATGCTTAAACTTTGTATCAATATTTAAAAATACCTTACACTGATCCTGGTTCTGGTTACAGGCACTGAGGAGGAATGTACCACTTTCATCTGTATATCTGACATTACAAATAATTTCACCATTCTAAGTGTCCACTTTCATCAAGAGAGTCTTGGAGTCTGGACTATTTCTAAAGATGAAGGCTATGAAGGATTTTATAGGTACAGTATGTTTTCATCATTATCTTGTAAGAATATTGAATATTAACAACTTTTAATATTGTTGTGAGGCGTGGAAAAATCTTGAGCTTCATGTATTTTTCGAGCTGAGTTTGTACACATGGATGTGGTATAATGTAATTTAAGTTGATTAAGCTCAACGCTATGATTTCAAGTAATAATGAATTGAGTTCATTAGATTAGTTTGGAATAATCTTAGACTACTTTTATAAACAGTTTTGTAGGAAATCTTATAACCCATTAACATCTCAATACCCTGCATGTTTAACGGGATGTTTATTAAGATTTACTTACTAACTGCCATGGCCACTAGTACCCAAGCTAGTACTTTGGCCTCACCAACATGTCGGCAATTCTCTCTGTCCCCCAAATCTTCCTCTACTGGTCTAATTTTTTCCATATCTTTCCAGACTTGATCCCACCATCTGGCTTTTAGTCTTCCTACTGGTCTCCTTCCCCTCGGATCTCCCCTTAGTACCATTTATTGTTAACATTTAAATAAACTTGGTAATTCTGAGCCAAGTATTTTTCTCATATTACCTTTGATTGTTCTGTTGGTTAGTAGTAACTGGAAAATGCAATAATTTTTTGCCGGAAAACAAGTATTTGGAGCAGGTGACTATTTGAAGGTCAAAAGGCGTTCCGTGTTGTCATTCATTATCAGCCGCTTACAAATCAGTTAGGTTTAATTAGGTTAGGTTTGGTTTGGTTTGGTTGGGTTAGGTTAAGTTAGTTTAGTCAGTTATTTTAGGCTTCCGGTAAAAATATTTTGGGTTTTAAATACTGCTACATTTGCCTAACCTAACCTAACCTAACTGACTTGTAGCGGCTGACAATGAATGACAACGTGGAACGCCCTTTGACCTTCAAATAGTCCCCTGCTCCAAATTCCGCAGAAGATTCTTGCATTTTCCAGTTACTACTAACCAACAGAACAATCAACGGTAGTATGACCCATACTTGGCTCAGAATTACCGTAAACTTATTCCAAATCTTATCATAAATGTGTTTCATTAATATTTATTTGTGCTTGTCACAGAGTATACGATGTTCACACTGGAAGGCTGGAGAGTGCCGATATACTGGCTCCTGATACTCAGATTGTATACTGTGACTCTCCTGATGTCAGTGTGGATTTTCTGCTTCATGATGCAAAACTCAGCCTGCCTCTCGGTTTGGTCTCCAGAGAAACCATAGTTGAGAAGGTAACTAACAGGCTTTTAATTCCTGATGCTTATAATATTAATGCAATGTCCAATTTATGTAATATCACACTCTAACAATACGTCGAAACAAATAACTTACTGCTCTAAAATATTAGAATTGATGTTTATTAATTCTCAAAATGAAATTCTTCCCACCCAGGTATGCCTGAACAAACTCTTGTGGTAAAATTTGTTTTTTTCACACCCCATCAAAGTTTGAGAAATTCCTGTTTCTGGAATTTTAAAATCAATTTTAATTTTGTTAAAGTTAAAGGCAAACTGGATGTCTATTAGTCTTTTGGATTAAGTAATATATGAATTAGAAACAACGTCGTTATCAAACGCTTACATGTATTTTTAGAAAATAATCATACCTACTAATCAGTTTATTGTTATTTTGTTGGTTTAACCAAAAAATTTCCCTAGATGGGTGTGGAAGATAGTGGGAGTGCTGAAGGAGTAAAGGATACAAAAACAACACATCTGTCCATGTTACAAGATGCACTGATCAGTCAAGAAGTGGACAAAGTCAGGGTGGCTCTGAACTTGCACACACAAGGTTAGTAATAGCTACAAGACTTTTTATCTACGATAATTTTGCTCAAGCGTAAAATAGCACTGAGTCCCTATGTATGGGCTCTATGGAGCTACATTAAGTGTCTGTTTTCTCAAGTTGGAAACATTGTTACATCAGAGTATAAGAATCAGGAATGTTCCTTAGCTTTTCGGTAATAGGTGAAAAAAACTATTATTTTTAATCACCGATTCCATTTCAGGGTCATTTAAGGCGGATCACTGTTGAAAACACTTTCAAGTTACCAAGATATTTTTATAATGCTCGCTGTTAGTAACTACTTGATACCTATCAGCGTTATCGGTAATGACATCTACAACGTTATTTAACTCGCTCGTTCTAACAGTTCTAGTTCAGACGATGTTACAAAAATATTATCAGTAAGCTATTAACAAGAAATTGTTATTTCTTGATGATCAATGTTAATAGAAAGACGCAATCAGTAGGATACATATTTAATTTGTTTGTTTAAGCTGTTCAGATGACGTTATTAAAATAATAGGCAATAATCCTCCGTAACTATCTATACCAGGTTTAGACGACACTTCAGCAATAGTATTATTTAACCTGTTATGTTAGTGGCTTTAACGCCTACCTCTACTCAAGAATTCAATTGATACGCAGCTTCAATTAACAATAGCACCACAGGGTTCGTGAAACATTAAAGTTACATATTCAATAACATAATTATAGGACATTACAGTAAAGTCATCTTGGTTTCAGATTTCAGATCTAAACTGAGCAAAGATTCAAATTCAGACGAGTTGGTTGCCTCCACAAAACAGCTGTTTGAAACCATCATATTAGCTGAGGAATTGAGTAAGCAGGTTTGCCGCCTAGCGGTGATACACGCCAACACACTGCTGTCTCTCCTACCATCGCCTACACCTCAAGACCCGTTGTTGATTGAGGTAATGTTGACCCTTGCCTAGTTGTTGGCATCTTAGACGGACCAGTTATTACTAGAACGCTTCTTGGGTTACCTCCAAAGGATATTGTTCTATTGGGTCCGTTCAGGGTACTCGAGGGAAGCTCTTAGGCATTTATAGACTAGTTTGAGAAACATCATGACACAGAGTATGTAAGTGATGCAAGTACTCCATTCCATATTCACTGTGCAGTACAGATCTTATGGGAGATAGTCCTGTTATCAACATCACTGGAAACTACAACGACGGCTGTCTTTGGTGTTGTGTGTTTTGCATCAACTATTCTTGAGACTCTAAAAAGCAATAATTACATTTTGACCATTTCTATAACTCAAAGAATTTTATAGCTTAGTATTTTGACAGTAGTAAGAACAAAGTAAAAAGTTTGGGGGTTCAGATGTTTTCAAAACAATGAGTATCTTTTAAACTGCCTTTTCGAATTCCTAGCTTATGGACGCTCCATATACTGCAAAGTGAACATGGAATAAGAGGATATATTGAATATGGTAGCACTCAATGTAGGATATTACAAGTGAGCCAAATATAAAACATTGCCTACTAAATATTATATTCCATAAAGTAACACTGGGATTAAGGAGATCAGAGTAAATCAGTGTCTAAGCTCTAACGACTCTCTTAATCCCCCAAACAACGACAACAATTTTTTTTTCAGATCCTCAACTACATCGCATTGCTGAGAAGGAAAGACTTGACGGTTTCAGTTGATTTGCCAAACATCTTTGAATGGACTCCGTGGCTGCCATTGTCAGACGGTGAAGTGCTTTTGAAGGGAATAACCGTCTCTTTGCCTCTTGTACAATGCTTCTTGGCCATTCATCGCGGGTGGACGGAAGATGAAATCCGTGGGAAAAGATTCTACACACTTGTACAGGACGTAGTGACAACACTTTTGAAAGAAAATAAATTGGATCAGGCTTCGAATCTACTTACAAAAGTGGTAGGTATTGTTAACTGTAGAAATAAGATAGTATTAATAATTTGATCTAGGTGTAAAGGCCTTTTCTCACCGGCGTACTGGACGTACTGTACATTTTGTACATTTTTTTTTTTCAACAAATCGCTGCCCATGTTATCATATGAGCTCGTTCACACCGCGCGTACAGAACGTACTGTACGTACAGTACGTACGCGATGGTTTTGTATAAATCGCTCTCTTTTCTAAAACGTACGTGGCGTACATGGGCTCGCGCATGCGCAGTGAACACTTCAAAACCACGTGCTCAGCCAGTGTTACTTGTCTGACTGCAAACGAACAAGTGTACGTTTTGGAAGTTTCTGTGCGGTGTGAAAGGACCGCGTACTGGACGAACTGGCCGTACCAAACGTACAGTACATCCCGTACGCCGGTGTGAAAAGGCCTTAAGAATTGATTCCATGTTTTTTGTCTGTTAGACAAATTATTAAGAATTAAAATTTGTATCAATAACCACTCCAATCATAGAATGATTAAACCTTTTACAATTTAATTAGTTAATCACTTTACAGAGTCTGAATCCAGAAGAGGAGTTTTGCGCTTTGTGTCTGAAATGTAAAGATACTGCCCTACGCGACTTTTTAGTGGACAACTTGAGTAGTAGTTTGACTCCAGAATATAAAAGTGCTTGGCAGTTCCTTTCGCTTGTGGAGTCCACTTTGTTGGATCATGGGTAAGACTAGTTTAAGTAGCTATGTAATGTAAAGTAACCTAAATCCATGGTGTTAAGGTTTTGGAAATAAAACTTGTTTACATTTGTCAACTTAATAAAACGGCTTGATTTAAAGAAGTTTTAATTGGGTTAATTCCATTAAAATATCATTAAAGTGGGATATAGGGGAAGTGGTGTTTGTTTAACCAAATCTTAATAGAAATGCTCATTTGGTTTGTTTACAATTCAAATCATGAACATAAATATCCATTGAAACCTTGGTAGTAAGCGTAGTGGTATTTGAAAGAAAAACAAACGCATAATTTTACACGTTAAAGCTTTAGCTTCGTTTAATTTTAAGAATTTCTTTAAATATGGTTGTTTTAAGTACAAAGTTTTCCTTAAGTTATTTGTTATCCAGTTGTTTATCAGTATTGTATGTAAAAGGATTTGTATACTGTACCATAGGGTGCTTTTGGACTACTGGTTTCTATACTTTTAGGTTTTTTTTTATGAAATTAGGCCTACTTGACAGAAGTAAAATAACCTGTATTCTACTTACTGTTGTAGTCCAGAGGCAGTAACAAATAGTTTTTCCTTACTTATTTTGTTATTCAAGTATAATTTCCCAAGCCTCTTGATTCTAAATTATTCTATTAAGTCCTATCTGTTCGGTTTAAAATGCAACATTATTGTATGTATGTATGCTTTTTCCAGTGACCTTTTTCCAAGGTTTATCGACTCTCCCTTAGCAATATCTGATGTCCTCCTTATCTCTGAAAAAGGCAGGAGTCAAATTTTAGCGGACTTGTTTTTCACTACAGGCGGTAAGTTTTTACAGTAAGTTATCAACAATTTTGTAAAATAATCTGTGTTTTTAAAACACACAATTTCCCTTTTTTTCTGTCTACTTTTCAAATAGTAAGCCTCTATAATCAATGGTGGGTGTCAAGCGGGTTTTTACAGTATATTTCTAGAACAAAACTTCCGTGTTCTCACCCCCTTACGAAGCACAGGCAATGCAACTAGTCTGAAAACTTTTTAGAGGCTTTTAACTATCCTTTTTGAGTAAATTACTGGCTATGTGTGCAATAAATAAAAACTACAACTAACTGGTCCTAGGGATGACGATTTCAGTATCCAAAGTTAATGCTTAAACTAATCAATATTCATTATAATTTAGCGTGGAAAGCTAGTAAATCTCTAATGTAAATTGCATTGGTAACGATGTTGAACATAGATCTTTGAACTATACTCACTGTTTAAGATTTATATGCTGTTTATTTTAGAAAGTCAACATGTCATTAGGCATTAATGACCTAAGATTTTAACTTTATTATATCTCCCAACATTAAAACTCAACAATATACAGTATACAATTCATTTATTTTTCAGATTCCAAGCTCAAAGATTACTTGGAAAAAGACGTTTGTTGGGAATACCTTCTGGAGCACAACAATACAGATGGAATCCTAGCTTGGCTCTCCTTGCAGCGTTCAGACACGTTTGATTGGCCTTTGGAGCTATTTTCACAATGGAAAGTGGATCAGAACATGGTTGAGCAAGTTTTATCCGCTGACTGTACTGAGTTAACTAGGCACATCGTGTTTAATAAACTTGCAACGTAAGTATGATTAATTTCGGTTGGTGAAATGCAGTAAGATTTGAGTAAATGCATAGCCTCTTCTAATTCTAGGCCGCAGACCTGGCATACTGGACCAGCTGTTGCACTTTATAATGAAGCGTGTCTGCAATCTATATAATATAATTGTACAATTACCTCGTCACAGCTCCGTAGTTTCCGTATATATTACAGCCATTTCGGCATCAAAATGCCATCCTCAGATACATACATCCACCGGATTTGGCGTCGTCAAACTTGATACACACACATAACACAATAACAAACATTTAAAACATAAAAAACTAAAGACAGGCCTGTCGCGCACATGATGAGTACGTGTACGGAAGCTGACTGGCTTATATATACTGGCTAATATATACGGAAACTACGGAGCTGTGACGAGGTAATTGTACAATTATATTATGGTCATCAATTCAGCTCAGGGGCTAAATCATGTCTATTGGCAATGTTTATGTTTATATTTTGTTATTACTATGGCAATAGGCATGCGGTTGCGACGTTGCCACACACCAACACCGTCTTGTATTAGAGGAGGCTATTGTAAATGAGGAAAACCTTTAAGTCATTAATGAGATTATGCACACCATTGTCAAATGAATCAGTTAAGAAAGCGCTCTTATATAAATTGTTTTAAATTTTACAGCCCCGGGATGTATAGATTTTAAAAGGTGTCGGGTCCAAAATGTGATTTTCAAAGTTTAAACATATAATTTTTATATTAGGTCAAAATAAAATGAAATACTGTAGATGGATATTTTCTCAATTGTGCAGGCCTAAGTATCAGTGAACAGGTTTTTAAATATAACAACTCTTCACCTGTTAGTAAAAGACTACACTGATTTGTGTTGGAAAATTTAGTTATCGTTGAAAGTCAAAGTTATTTTTACTTCTTTTTCTGAAATTCAAACAAAAATATAAAAAGGCATAATAGCTTTAAACAGATTTCAGGCATGGGAAAATATAAAATTATTTAGGTGTCTAGAATTATTTAGGCATGGATAAATTAAAGTGATATACTTCTTAAAATTTATTTGATCTTCATTGTTTTTTTCCTTAGGGTCTGTAAATTTGTGACTCTAATAGCCACTACATAATATTGGTTGCATGGGGTGATTGTAGATTCTTGGACGATTTAAATTTGACAAAGTGTATTCTTGTTATTGTATTTTTAAATATTGAATGTCTGTATTTATTTAGTTTTATTGGTGTAGAACTACTTAAAACCAGATTCTTAGTTTACGGGTTATTTGTATTAAGTCACACTATTTTGATAGGTTTGGCATTTTTCCATCTACTGACCTACAAAATCCAAGCTCCCTGATGCTAAGGATGGCAAACGCAAACATATTCCCGGATGTGGAAGAGGTCTTGAATCAAACCACTGCAAATTTATCACCACCTCAGTATCGAAAGATAATGTTAGAACATGCAATCAACAAAGGTTTGGTTGAAATTGTTGTGAAGTCAAATCTGGATGAGATTAGCATAGATGATAATAATTGGTAAGCATTATTATACTGTGTTTGCTAATCTTAATTTTTTTTCATTTTATTATTCTATTATTCATTGTGACCCTTGGTTGAAATATATTATTGATAAAATAAAATTATTACCTTATCCAAGTTGGATAATCCAACCACAGTTGTTCGTATGATGTTCCTTAGAACTTGATCAGTTCATTTGTAAGCAACTACATTATCAATGCATTAATACATTGTGGTATGTCAATAAATTCATTAAAAGACTGTCACAATCACAGTACATAAAACTTGTCATGTTGATAAAATAATTTAAATGAAATAAAAATTGATAAAAATTATTAAAACCATACAGGCTGGCTAGCAAAGTCACTTATCACTGCCACTGACTAAATAAAACTGACTGAATCATGATGTTTCTTCTTCTCTCCAGTGCCACCTGTATTTCAGTTTGTTTTGTTCTTCTTATTTTATACTTCTTTGATTTGTAACTTGTCATATGTATCAAATATAAATTTTTTAGCTGTGATTTTTTTTGTGAAAGATATAATTTTAGCATTTTAATGACATTATACTGGTATAAAATTTACCCCTGTGCTAATCATGTGTTTTCCTTACATCTGACAATTTTATTTAGCAACTGTTGGACACTTATATTAATAACCACATTTGCTCATCTTGTCAAGGCATTTTATGTGTGCATCATATGTATAGGGGTCTGCGAGTTCCTGATATTTTTGGGTCAGGCCAGGCTAAAGCCCCCCATATTCTATCCTACATGTTAGACGAACATGTCGGGATCCAACGTCTTGTCGTACATATTGGACAGTGTGTGGGTTCCGACCCGACATGCTCGACGGATATGTCAGGTCGGATGCTCGGTCCGGTAGCACCACCCGACTCAAGCCGTTCGTCTGACATGTTGGACCAAGTGTGGGAAACCGTCGAAGTGCTCGCCCGACTAGCCACAGTTTCCAGTTGACTTGTATTTAGCAAATTGTGCGTTATAACCGTCCCATTTTTCCATAATGTCATTTAATGATAATAAACAGTTCTGGTCAGAATTTATTTAACTCTACAGAGACCAGAAGGCGTTGTGGGATGTCAAAAGTAAACTCTATTGCAACAAACATGCGCGTAATAGGGGCACGATATCCCCATGGAAAAGTGCAAGGAACTGTATCCAGAGTGTGATTTAAAGTTCGTTAAAAATAAACTTGAAAATCTCGTTTCGTAGGCTCTAAAAATCTCTAAAAATCATCGCCAAAAATCCCCCACAAATAGCTACAGTCGTCTCGAAATCCATCTCAGACCTAATATTTCACCCGACTTGTTGGGTAACATGCTACAATATGTTGAGATAGAACATTATAAATCAGATTTCTCAAGTAAATATAATTACATCCAAAAGTTTAATTCACAGATGCAGATGGTCATCCATGGAGTTCCGCAGGGGTCGGTGTTGGGGCCCCTCTTGTTCCTAATATACTTGAGGGGTCTGCCGGACTTGATGCCTGTGGGCGGGGCTGCCTGTTTGTATGCTGATGATACTAATATTACCATTTGTGGAAATTCAAAAGAAAGTATTGAGGCATCATCATTGGCCAGTCTCTCCATCATAAAAAAATTCTTAGATAGCAAAAACCTTCTTTTAAACCCTGAAAAATCTAATTTTGTATCATTTTCTACAAAACAAAACAAAAACAAATTAAATCCAGACATAATCTTAGAAGATTATAAATTACAACAGGTAGAACATACAAAATTTCTTGGTTTAATAATTGATAAAAATCTAGCCTGGGACAAACATGTTGATCATGTTATCAAAAAAATGTCTTCAGGAGTATCTGCTTTAAGACAAATGTATAAAGTTTGCAGCTTAAAAACATTAATATCAATATATTATGCCTTAGTTCATTCTAATTTAGCTTATGGAATCAGTATATATGGAGCAACTACATCAAAAAACTTAAAACGGATTTTATCGTACCAGAAAAGGGCAATTAGGGCAATGTTTAATTTGAAAAGGAAAGATTCGGTAAAACATATTTTTACCGATCTTGGAATACTAACTGTTCATGGACTATATATCTTGGAAACTATTATTTATGCAAAAAATATTACAAAAACTCAGGTATCAAACAAAATTAGTCATAATTATAACACTCGTTCTCAATCTCACATTGATAGACACAATCTAGAATTTTATAAAAAGAAAACAAAATTCGCAGGAAATAAATTTATGTCCCATCTTCCAAAAATACTTCTAAATGAAAATGATACAAAAAAGTTTAAAAATTGTCTGAAACAGTATTTGATTAAAATTTCCCCTTATTCTCTTGAAGAGTTTTGGGAGAACAAATAAAATAAATATTCTGTCTTATTTTTAGTTCTTAAATGTAAAACATTTTATTTTGTAATATCTGACTCTATTCCTGTACAATTGTACTTACATGAATAAAGGATATTTTGATTTGATTTGATTTGATTTGATGCTCGACAGTGTGTGGGAAACAACCGACATAAGGGAGGTTGGATGTTGGGTCCGTCGTCAGGTCAGGTTGTCCGGTCGAGTGGCATGTTCGATAGGGTGTGGGGGGCTTAAAAGTTGGCCCAAAGGATCAGTTCGGCCTGGAAATAATTTTCAGGCCAAACTTATCATTGGTTGAGTCGAGCTTTTATTTGACCTATGGCAGATTAAAAATTGAAGATTGTTGAGTGATGTTTACTGTTTTGCTGTGATGATGATGTTGAAGTGGACGCAAAAACGTTTACGATTTTTCCACGTGGCCAAAAATAGGCTATCTACTGTAATGGGGTCTACTGCAAATAGTAAATAAATCTTAAAAGTGCATCTACATTCTAAAAATAACATAAAATATACAGTTTTCCAATTTTTGAGTTTATTGCCATTTTGGAAAATGACCGCCATTTTTTAAATAATTTAATCAATATTCTTTACATATTTTATGGTCTACCCGAAAACATGATAAATTATATGGTGTTCCATAAGAAATTTCAAAGTTGGCCACCATATTGGAAAATGGCAGCTGATATTCAAAAAACTAAATTCATATTTTTAACTGCCACAAAAAATTAAGAATGTCTCCCATTAAAAGTTTTCTCTAATTCTTACCGTTTCTGATAGCCCATTGGTGGCCTCCTTGAGTTGATCACCCTGTATATAAACCAACTGTAGTGTTACAATTAATAAGTATTTTAAAATATCAATACTTTGCAAACAATCTGATTTTGATCCGGCCCAATCCGAAGGGAAAAAAGTCTGCCCCAGCTTCTATGTTTTTACTTATTTGTCTGTTTGTCGCTTCTCAACCATGTACCACTCACACGGAAGGGTTCACTAAAAATTTAATATGTTCTAAATCCAGCCTAGTATAAAACGTAATAATGTCCATAAACACGAACATAATATAGAAAATTGAATGGATGTTGTATGGTTGCTAACTTCATTTCATTACTGAAGATTTTGATCAGAAGTAATTAACTTAGTGATTTTATAGGCACTCACTCCTTATTTGAATTCTTTTAACTTTTATTTTTTTATTCACTCTCAGCCCAGACTGGCTGAAACTGTTCAAAGCTCACAGATTAGCTGGCAAGACGATGGACAACACAGATATTTTAGAAGCTGTGGAATACTCTTGTCGGTATCTGGCTTCTCATGAATCACTGGATTTAACAAGCTACCTTAAGCAGCATCCGTTGGTCGCAGTAGTGTTGGATCTTTTGAAAAATAAGGTATTTGAGATGGTATTCAGGAACGAGGGGAAGGCTCTTAACAACATTAAATGTCACATCACTAGATGCTGGTGGTATTAAAGCAATTCAATTGGGATTGATTGTTGGGATGACTGTAAAATAATTTATAAATAAAAATACTTCTTAAAAATGCCACGTTTTTAAACTCACTAAAAAGTAGAAACTAATTTTTAATTATGTTGAGAGAATAAAAACTTGTAAGATTTAAAACGAAAAACGTGGGGTGCATACTAATTTACAATTAACTTCACCTTTTGAACTATTATGATCTATTGCATGCGAATCATGTTTTTGTTTTAAATCTTACAAATATTACATCTTACAAATCTTTACCAGTACTTTGAAATGCTTGTTTTATATTTTTAGAATATCTCGGGATCAGAACCTGTACCTCTTAACCTCTACTCTTCGAACTGTCAAATTTAAGTATTTATAGCTGACTTACATTAATTGATATATTTACATTCTTTCAAAATGTAAACATGAAAAATTTGGAAGCCCATGGGGCGTAGCCCAAGGGAAATATGAAAATTAAATGATATAATATTGCATTGTCATCCATTTGTGAGCTATGTTTCAAGTGTCTAGCTCATTGGGAACTTTGTTTAAAATTGATATAAAAGTTTGTAAGAAAGCGAGTTAATAAAAACAAGCCTATGGGTCATAGCCCAAGGGAAGTATGAAAATTAAATGATATAATATTGCATTGTCATCCATTTGTGAGCTATGTTTCAAGTTTCAAGTCTCTAGCTCATCGGGAAGTTAGTATAAAATTGATTTCAAAATTTGTACCGGACAAGAAAGTGAGCTAATAAAAACGTTTTAAAATAAACAAAAGCATTGGGGTGGGGGAAAGGTTCTGGGCCTGCACATCCCACATTTCCACCCTATTACACAATCCATTTACAGTTAATATTTAGTCACATTTAAATATTAAATATAGCTAATATTTAATGTTTAAATACAACCAGATTTGAATATATAATAGGTACCTTGGTCCGTCTTCAGTCTTAGTTGCCCTTAAACTAAAAAAAAAACAAAAAAACAATTTGTCTAGAGAGTTTTGAAAATTTAGTTTCCTTGGTATAGTTTATGTCTTCATTTATTAAATCATCAATTCAGTTAAAGAACCAATGACAAAAAACTCGTGTGTTGTGGAACTTTAAACAGCTGTGGATTTGATTGCTAAACAAAAGACAGACTTGTATTTGTTATGACTATCCAGTATCCAGAAAACAATGAATCATGAAATTATCAACAGAGTTATAGATCATACAGTGCTCCTAATATAACAATTGAAATTTACACCTTAGTCTTAGTGGAGTAAATTTTTTGGTGATCTCAATATAAGTGTAAATTTTGTGTTAAATTAATTCATAATAACACCCAGCAAATATTTCGGTTCCATTGTATCAGATTCGCATGAATAAATGGTAAATGTATAATCAGATGACACTATATTTTAATTAACTTTATGTTAGTCTAAACTATTCTGACCCAATGATTGTGACTGCAGAACATTTGCGAGCTACATTCCCATGTCTCCCCACTGCTAGCCGCTGCGTTGCCTGTTGAACCACCGACGCAAGACATTGACCTGTACTCTGTCCTGTCTCACACTGTACCCTTCCACACGGACAACATCTTCAAACATCAACTCTCCAAGGAAAAGTAAGTTGATAGAAGCACTAACATACATTTGTAGCCGACCCCGTTCTGGTCAATTTTAGAATCAGCTGCCATTTTACTCCGCTCTTCTGAATAATCCTTTATCAACTCCAATTCCCTACGAATCTTCTTGTATTCTTCTCACATGTTCATACTACCCTAGTCCTTTTTTAATACTTTCCATCTTTAACTACTTATCTTATAAACTCTTCATTTATATCTTAATCCCACCATATTTTTACTCTTGGTATCTTTAAAAAAATCATATTTTTCTTAATTATTTTTCCTGTATGTTCCTATAATTGTTTTTACTGTTTTGAATGCATTCAATGAAACATTTTGAATGTTTGATACCAAAATGAATGTAGTCGATAATTTTTGGTTAAATTAAATTTGAAGAAACAAAAAATAAATAATAATTATAGGTTGGTTTTCAAATGCTGGTAAAATAATAATATTTTTATACGGATCAAAACTATCTGAGTTCCATTTGGAATTGTTCACTTTCCAAAAAATGTCAGCAATTTTAGGTGTGTAATCAATCACTGTTACTATTTTATTAGAAAATGTACTATTAGAAAACCATTTAACATTTAACATTTGAATCTTACATTGTAAAATGTCCAATAGTGCTTTTGAATAGCTAATTAAGTTTCTTCTCTAATCGGTTATTCCAGTAACCATAAATAATTTAAAGGATACATTTTAATTTACTTTATTAAAATAAGAGGTTTGTTCAAAAATTTGCAATAACTGTACCAAAGTTTTCCTTTGTGGGGCAAATGGATAAATTTGTTTCCATGTCCCTCAATGATTTTTATTTTTCAATTTACTTTAACTTTCTAATTGCATTACTTTAGCATTTCATTTTATGAGTACAAAGTAATTTCATGATGTTTTTTAACTGTGGAATTCTGGGTTTCAGAAACACTCCTCTACCAGACTTTACCAACGAAAAACTGAATTCACGCCATGGAACCAGGTTTTCCCTCGGCTTCAAAGAGTTTCTGAAGCAAGGAAGACCGGCCAGCGCCTTGTCCTTCTTCATGCAGAAAGAAAGAGGATCTGACAAGTAAACTTTCTTTCAATGCTTTGTTTCTTATGATTTTATACAGATCGAAATGGTCCTTTGTTACGTCATAATACAAAATTCTCCTTAAGGCAAACGCTTATATAAACTGATTGATTTACTTTTAGATACTTAGTGCTGGAGTATAGTATATAAGTGATAAGTATAATCATAGACAAAAGAATTAAATATAGACCGACAGCAGTGCTGCGATTAACATATATTCTGATGTACACCGCTTGAAGTGCCGTGTAGTTTCGGTGCACACCACTGCAGTGTCAAGCGCAGAGTTGGCAAATTGAAACTAATCCTCATTTCCTTACTTTTTGTTAAGTCTACAGAACTCTAGTTTTGTACTATAAAAATTAGCTGAATAAACTTAGTGAATGAACTAACTTAAATATACTTATTATATGTTAGTGGAACAATTTTATGTTGAGAAAAATACTACAAATTGCCAAATTGGCCATTATTTTTTAGCTTTGCCCTAATATTGACTAAAATTTAAGTATTTTTTAAAATATAAAAAAAAGCAAGAATTAAAACATTATTTCTTACAAAGAGGTTTTTTTTTAAAATAACTAACCAGATATCCATAAACATCAAGTTCAATTTTTCAGATAATTTTTTACTGAACTACCTTATCTCTATTTTTGAAAAATGTTTAACTATGAATGTTTAAAATAATTTGAGTCATTAGTTAAAAAATCTGTTCATTCTAACCTCAAAAATTACAAAAATGTACAACTTCCATATTTAAATTTCTTCATGACCTTAAACTAGAAAAGTGTAATGCAATTTTGAAGTAATGATGTGAATTAGCCAACATATCAATTAAATATGTTTGCTGTAGGAAGAAGGCAGCTGCTAGATTGGCTCACGGACTGGCTCTATGTCACGCTGAAGACACGGTAGTTACCAGCGCTTGTGTGGCGTTTGTGGAACTCCTTGGTAAAAACCCAAAGCCTTTGCGAGCTCACATTGGTGTTGCTAGAGAGCTCATCGGACATCTCAGCAAGAAGACTCTCAGTAAGTGCTTATCGAAACAATTACTTTCAAATGTAAGTCAAGTCTCAATTTTCAAAACAGTGCAGACATCAGGTTATCAGAGCAGTGGCTAATAAACAAGTCAGTTGGACTAGCAAGTTTAGTGTCAGATTATCTATGACATATATAGTGAGTGCTAATACTTACTTACTCCCTGTGCCCCAAATTTCGGAGGAGATATTTGGCCACAACAAAAATTTTCCACCAAGATTATCAAAAGTAATTTTTGTTGCCGTTTTGTTATTAGTGGTCCGATTTTTATTTTCGCGGCTAGCAAAGTGCGGAAGTTCCTATTGCACAGGGCTAAGGTTCTTCCTCCAGCGGAAGCGTTTTAGAATGTGAAGGCGAGGGGGAAAGGAGTGTGAGGGGCGGTGTTGGACTTTGCCCTGGATACAGTCGACTAGTGCTAGACATCACTTAAGTATATCATTGGTTGTTTCCTCTGTACCTTGCTTATCTGTGGTATAGCTTGGATTGCAGTATATGTATTGGAGACCTCTTTCTGTGAAACATTTTTTCAAGGCAAGGCTCTAGGCCAGGATTTTGAACTGTAGAAAAAGAAGGATAGCAGATAGCTTACCTTGAAGAAGTTGAGGTAGGTCAAATAAAAGAGACACATAATATTTCACACATAATATTTCGTCTCCTGGTGGACTTAGTCAAGTGTCTCCTCTGCATGTTCTATTTGGCCTACCTAAACTTCTTCAAGGTAAGCTAGCTGTTATCCTTTGTTTTTCTCTCTGTGAAAAAGTAATATAGTAGTATGAGCAATCAAAAGTGAGTTAATATTGTTGTATTTTACTGTAGAAGAGCACCTGTTCAACTTGGTGCAATGCAGGCCAGGCACAGCCGCACTACTACTGACAGAACTAGAGACCAGGTTGATGGCCAAGTGGAGAACCACCAGTCCCGGTATAGTGACGTGTCTGCAAGACTTCCACTTGGCTGTCAGGTTCTCTGTGTGTCATCAGCTACCCCCTCCCTCCTCCCTGCTACGCTACAGTCTGGAGACTGGCAACTGGCTGCTGTTCATACTGACTGCTCAGGTCTTCCAGTACCCGCTAGATCAGGTTAACATGTCTTCATTTGTCTGTTTAACCCACATTCTTTGGTTAAGTTCATTTTTAGTTATTTTTTATATAATTTTTATGTTATATTTTAAGGTAGTATTGTGGAAATTATACATTGGAATTGCTCAAAATAAAATTTTCTCAAATTTACAGGGTCTAAGATCTGATCCTGAACTCAGGTATGAAAGTAACAAGATTAGTTCACAAACCCCCAACCAAAGCTTTAAAAAAACATGCAGATAACTGTCAAAACAAGAAATAAAAAAACTCTGAAAGAAACCCCATAGCTGTACATGGGAGTGAATGGGGGTTTAGGGTACAAGTAAAGCTTCCCAGTTTGTAAGGATTTACCAAAAGACATCAACCATGCTGACCAAGTCTATCCTTCTTGCATTGCTATCCCAGTCCCACAATGAATCATTTGTTTATTTATGTATATTAGCAACTTACAATGAATCATTTTGCGTGCACAGCCTGCACTACTTATTCTCTTGATATCCTAGGATTGTATGTATTCTGTTGTAATTCTTTCTCCAATTTTAACATTCTTTATGTAGTGTATACAATAATAATGTACCATAATGTTGCCATTTTTACGATATTTAGATTTGTTTTATAAAGAGTTGGCAATATGTTTTGCATTTGTGTCCTGACTGCGATCAGGCGACTGTGACGTCATATCGTACGATTTCAATAAAGCTCCCGGATTGGCTACAACCCATCACGCCACTTTTCCCTCCACGTTTAACCGCCGTTCCAAAAGTTTCCTTGCTGACCAGTCCTCAAGATTCCAACAAACCGTAAACATGTAGTCGGCCGGGTTTTATTTAATTCCCCAAATGGTGTTTTATTTATTTCAAGTCATTGCACCTTAAACGTTCCAGTGGCGACAAGGTACGAAAATGACTCAACGCGTAAAAAGTTTTTAAGTGATTTAAGTGACAATCAAAGTGCACCGTAGCAAGGTACGTGTGTTTTTAAAAGTGACAATTGAACTTCTACTGCACCGTAGGAAGGTACGTGTGTTTACAGAAGAATTCGGTCAAGTTAACTTCGAACAGTGCGTGTGAGTGTAAACATTAATGCCGCTTGATGAGAACCTTATTGATAACTTTGGAACTTTATTAAATTTCAAGATGTCGTTCATCGGTGCGATCGGTCCTTTTGATAATTCAGAAGAAACGTGGGACTCATATATCGAGCGTTTTGAGTTGTTTGTTACATGTAACGATATTACCAACGCTAAAAAAGTTAGTACGCTTTTGACGGTTGTCGGAGTGAAAACTTATAACCTGCTTAAAGACTTATGTACACCAGACAAACCTGCTACTAAGAGCTACGAGGATATTGTACGGATCATTAAGGGACATCTTCATCCAAAACCATCTTTTATTGCCGAAAGGTACAAGTTTAGTCTACGAACACAATTAGAGCATGAATCAGTCGCTGATTACATCGTCAACCTGAAGAAACTCTCTGTCAACTGCGAGTTTAAGGACAAACTACCGGATCATCTTCGGGACAAGATCGTAAGTGGGTTGAGGGACGACGCCACCAAGAAGAGGTTGCTGGGCGAAGAAGATCTCACCTACGAGAAGACGGTCCAAATAGCCACATGGAGTTGGCAGCGAGAGACCGGGGCCCTGACCTACCACAACACGGGGGGAGGAAGTCGTCTCCACAACGTCGCTTCGAAGCAGCAGCAGCAGCAGCAGCGGAAGCCGTGGCAGCGCTCAAAAAGTGAAGTAAAGTGCTATTGTTGTGGTAAATCTGGTCATTTAAAAAGTGAGTGCCGTTTTAAAAGTTTATCTTGCAATTTTTGTAAGAGGAAAGGCCATTTAGAAAGTGCGTGTCTGATGAAGAAAAACAATGGTGAGTCACAATCTAAATTTGCATTTAATGATAAGCGTAAAGATGGACAAAAGAACTGTACACCTAAGTTTACCTCTGGTAACAAGTCTCATAAGTATAAGCAAAACTATGTAGAGAACACAGGGGTCAATGACAATGACGATGATTATAGTGATTTAGCTAACTTATTTTCCATAAATGATGAGGAAAGTAAACAGAGGGATAGAATAAAACCTATCACGGTTAATCTTAAAGTAGAACATACTGTATTGCCATTTGAGGTTGACAGTGGAGCATGCGTGTCAGTAATTTCTGAAAAGTGTTATAACGATAATTTCTCTGATCTCGAATTAATGCCCACTAATTTGGTTTTGAGCTCCTATACAAACCAGCCGATAAAACCTGTAGGAAAACTTAACGTAAATGTACAGCATGAATCTGAGCATAAAAAGTTAACATTGTATGTTGTGTCTAAAGGGGCTAATCCTCTAATGGGAAGAGACTGGATTAGGGAACTAGAAATATCGATCCAAATCCCTAAAGAAAATAGTTTGAACACGGTTGAAAAGCTAGATCAAAAACCTGTAATTGTCAGTAAACTGTACAGTAAATTTCCTGAGGTATTTACTGATGCGTTAGGTTGTTACAAGGGAGATGCAGCTAGATTAGAGTTGAAGGAAAATGTAATTCCTAAGTTTTTCAAACCCAGACCTATACCATTTTCGATCAAAAATAAAGTGGAGTCTGAGATTGATCGATTAGTAAATAATGGGATTTTAACTCAAGTTAGCAATAGTGAATGGGGAACTCCAATTGTGCCTATTTTGAAAAAGGACGGAAGTATAAGAATATGTGGCGATTTTAAAGTAACGCTCAACCCCTATTTAATAGTCAATCGCCACCCAATTCCAAGGATTGAGGACATTTTTAATAATTTACAAAAAGGGGAGACATTTTCAAAAATCGATCTTTCTCAGGCCTACACTCAGGTAAAGTTAGACGAGGAATCAAAGAAGTATTGTACAATAAGTACATCGAAAGGATTGTATATTTACAATCGAGTTCCATATGGTGTAGCATCCGCCCCGGGAATATTTCAGAGTATAATGGAACGCATTTTAGCTCACATTCCCGGCGTTGTTTGCTTCCTAGACGATATTTTGGTAACAGGAACTGATGACAAACAGCATTTAGAGAGGTTGATTCAAGTGTGTGAAACTTTAAAGAATCATGGTTTAACAGTAAGTCAAAATAAATGTCAGTTTTTCTGTAAATCTGTTGAGTATTTAGGGTACATTTTAAGTAAACAAGGACTAGGCACATCTCTTAGTAAAATTGAAGCTATTGTAAACGCCCCAGTGCCTACCAATGTAACTCAGTTAAAAGCTTTTCTAGGTTTAGTCAATTATTATTCTAAATTTGTGCCAAGTATGTCTACCATTGTATCCCCACTGTATCATTTACTCAGAAAGGACACTCCATTTGAATGGAATTTATCATGTGACAAAGCGTTTCAATTAATTAAGAGCAAATTAGTTTCAGCTCCTATTTTGGCGCATTATGACCCAAATTTACCCTTGAGGTTAGCTAATGATAGTTCTGCCTACGGGGTCGGAAGTGTGTCAAGTCAAATGCAATCAGATGGATCTGAAAAACCTATTTGTTTTGCGTCAAGAACATTGTCTAAAGCCGAATCAAACTACTCTGTAATAGACAAAGAAGCTTTAGCTATTGTGTTTGCTGTTAAAAGATTTAATCAGTATTTGTTTGGTAGAAAATTCACACTAGTAACAGACCACAAACCATTGTTGTCAATTTTTTGCCCTAAAAAGGGACTTCCGGCTTTTGCCGCTAGCAGATTACAGAGGTATGCTTTATTTTTAGCCAGCTATGATTTTGACATACAATATGTTTCCTCTCAGGGAAATGCTTCTGCAGATTGTTTATCTCGCTTACCTTTGCAAGCTAAACATGTTAACGAGCAGTATGAGGAAAATCCTTATGTAGGAACCTATTTGCAATTTTTAGCGGAGGGAGATATTCCAATTAATTTTGTTGATATTAAGAGGGAAACACAAAAAGACACCGAGTTAAGTAAGGTATTTGGCTATGTCTTGTACGGCTGGCCTAATGAGGTAAATGAAGAATTACGACCTTATTTCATAAGGCGGAGCGAACTAACTATTGAGCATGGCATATTAATGTGGGGTTATCGGGTTGTCATTCCAAAAATTTATAAAAGGGACTGTTACAAGAATTACATTGTGGACATTTAGGGATAGTCAAAATGAAGGCTCTAGCCCGTTCTTATCTATGGTGGCCTTCAATAGATAAAGACATAGAAGAACTTGCCAATAGTTGCTCGCAATGTCTCATGGAACGTCAAAGCCCGTCAAGGTCATATTTACATGTATGGGAATACCCAAAGTCAGCGTGGCAACGATTACACATAGATTTTTTAGGCCCTATTAATTCAAAGTTGTATATGGTTGTAGTTGATGCTTATAGTAAATGGATAGAAGTAGAGGAGGGCAGTTCCACATCTGCCAAAGTAGTCATAAATAAATTGAGACCTATGTTTGCAAGGTTTGGAATTCCGGAACAGTGTGTCACAGACAATGGCCCTCCTTTTACATCCTGTGAATTTAGCAAGTTTCTTAAAGCTAATGGGGTTAGGCACACGCTTACACCACCTTATTTTCCCGCTAGTAATGGCCAGGCGGAAAATGCTGTAAAAACAGTAAAGAAAAGAATAAGAGGGGCTTTGTTTTCAAATCAAAATCCAGACTTAGCTTTAAGTAGATTTTTGTTGGCATATCGAAATGCAGTACATAATACAACCAATGAAACTCCAGCCAAACTAATGTTCGGTAGAGTATTGCGAACTACTTTAGATTTGATACGTCCTTCTGTTAGTAAAACGGTTTTGTCAAACCAAAACAAACAAGTTGTGAACAAAGGGGGAAGTCAAACTAGAGAACTGTCAATAGGACAGCCTGTTTTAGTTTGTGATTACAGGGGAAGAAATAAATGGACACAAGGTGTAGTGATTAAAGTGTTAGGTCCTGTATCTTATTTAGTAAAATTAGACTCAGGTATTGTATGGAAGCGCCATATTGACCAGCTGGTAGGGTTAAACACTAAGGTAAATTTAAATGATCAACAGAATGACATTACTAGAGAGGTAGTGTTGCCTCCAGCTGAACATATGTTTGACCAGGATGTTGGTAACAATGCTCAGTCAGCTGGTCGAGCTTCACCCATGAGACCGGAAATGCCGAGTACACCTCGTACTCCAGGACGTAGTAAACGTAGTAGTACGCGCTCATCGCTTACTCCACCGGACGTGACCTTTACATCACCTGTACGATCAGCTGATCGACCCAAACAAGCATCACCATTGAGGCGATCTGCCAGAGAAATAAAACCTCCTGAAAGGTTGAATTTGTAAATATTTATTTCTGTGTTTTGTTTTCAATTTTATCAAGGTTGCTTGTTTTAATGTTTATTGTTTTGTCTTATTTGATTGAATCATACAATATTGTTTTATGAAAAAGTGTTTTTGTTTTAGGTTATTTAATGATTATTTAATTGGTTTGATGTGTTGATAACAATTGCGTATTTTAAGAAAAAAATATTTTAAACTTAAAGGGGAGGAAATGTAGTGTATACAATAATAATGTACCATAATGTTGCCATTTTTACGATATTTAGATTTGTTTTATAAAGAGTTGGCAATATGTTTTGCATTTGTGTCCTGACTGCGATCAGGCGACTGTGACGTCATATCGTACGATTTCAATAAAGCTCCCGGATTGGCTACAACCCATCATGCCACTTTTCCCTCCACGTTTAACCGCCGTTCCAAAAGTTTCCTTGCTGACCAGTCCTCAAGATTCCAACAAACCGTAAACATGTAGTCGGCCGGGTTTTATTTAATTCCCCAAATGGTGTTTTATTTATTTCAAGTCATTGCACCCCAAACGTTCCACTTTAAACAACTTAAGTAATGTTGGTCGAATTGCTCACGAAATACACTGTAAACTGGCTTAATTATTATAATTAAATCCTCATCAACTATTTAGTTGATTTTGAAATAATTTTGACTCCAGCTGGTCCATCCAGTTTATATGTCTTTCTTGGCACCTATTCAATAATTATTAACTTATATTTTTCTCAATTTCAGGTGCAAAAGGTCTGCTCAATGAATGGCAACTATGTGATTAGTGAACATCTGTACCACTCACTGCACAATCAATCAGAGGTTACTACATTTCACTTTTTAAAACTATGTTTTGCTTTAGTCCATTTCTTACTTTGCCCCTTTTGCTGTTTTTGCGGTAATTTGTACTCAATTCACCATTCCATCTGAGGGCATAATCAATAACATGAATTTTAAAATATATTGTTTAAGGTTTAGGTACTTAATTGTTAGATGTTCAACTATTATTTTCAATGGTTCTCTAAATGTTGTACATAATAAATCATGTTGGTGTACATAAGTGGTACCGCAGGTTGTATATTTATTTTGCAGTGTCTTTCTTAGTGCTCGACTAATTTACCTACCATAATTCCTAAATATATTTTATGAATGTAAGACTAAACTTATGGCGCAGCAGCTTTCTGATGGTAAACATTCAGTTTTCTACTATCTTCATATTTTTAAGCATATTGATGACAGAGGACGGGTTAGTTATTGTTTCATTTTGCTAGGATGAAGAGAGCAAGAGTTTTGAGTCTGACACCAACTTGTTCGCGTGTCTGGCGCAGTTTGGCAATGATGCAGCCAAGATGTTCATTCTAAGTAGACTACACAATAGCCCTGCATTGGCATTGCTTGCTTCGACACTACAGGCGAGTATTACAATTGTGTATTTTTTATCTAATCTAGATTAACCTAAGATATTCTAATTATAGTTCGGCCGCTTAGAAAGCGACCTCCTCCAGCATTGGTTTAGCATTAGCGCGCAGATCGTTTTCGAAGCGGCTGAACTATAGTAACTAGTCATGTTGTAAGTTACCTGATGACTGCCAAAACGATCCATTGTAATAATTGACAGCTGTTTCATGCTGTTGGAAGTGGAGTGCATCATCACTTCTGTTGAACAGTTACTGGCTGTCGGATTTATGGGATGTTAGATTTGAAATAAATGGGGTTTGGAATCACGTTTTCTCAATAACAATTTATTTGGATTTTTTAAATGTACCTAATAAATTTGTCTAATCTATTGCAGCCTCGCCCAGTAGAGGTAGGCCTGTGTTGGTGGTTGGTCGCCGCACTGCCCTCAGAGGCGACTCCACAACATCTAGATGCTCCATGGACACCTGACAGAGTAACCCAGCTGATAGAAATTGTCATCAAGCTGGGATACATACGCACACTCGCACACGCCTTTGCTATATTTCAACCGGTGAGTAACTATTTGGATGCGGATTGATTGATAATCTGTAATTGATGGACCTTGAGGAATTAAAAAATAGACATACAACTAAGCAATGTATACACAACCAATTGTAAATAGTCATAGGTCTCAGCTGAAGTGGTATACATTAAGTCTCACAAACTTTACTCTCAATTAACTACACTTAAACTTTTACGACTCTTCTACGACTTCTACAAAAGTAGAAAATAAAACCAAAAAGGGGGAATGATTGTTCAATTCTGTACAAATAAGTACTTATTAATGAAATACAGTTCAATGTTCATATGTAGTTTTTGTATGTTTAAATGGATTAAAGAACAAAATTAAGAAGTAAACAGTTAACAGTTTTGTTAAAGTATTACCTGCTATGATATGTGATAAACACGATACGAATAAGTGTTTTATAGAGTTCAATTATTTAAACAATTTTTAAACTTTTCTAGGAATTATATTAAAATAAAATAAGCAAATTACCAATGCAACACAAAAAAATCATTCAGAAAATAAATGTGTAAAACTGGTTGGTATTAGGATTTTTCAGTTTTTAAATTAGAAATATTCCAATTTATTGAACTTGATATTCTAGCATCTGAAATTTTAAGAACAAGCTGTATTCTTATTGATTGATGTTTTCCAGGCCAATCCATTATGTGCTCTGTCAAATTTCCTGGTAAACAGTGTGCTGGAACACAAGTTCAAAGAAAGTGTTTTGAACTTGAAACTCTTCATGGCAGTATTCTCTAGCCTTACCAACGAGGTAAGGTTAAAATAAAATATAAGTCAGTACTAAGCATTTTATACTAAATTTAATTTATTCTTAAAACATATGTGCTGTATTTTCATTGTTCTGCACAGTTAAAGCAAACATATGTTGTTCTGATTGTTTGGAAGCAAATAAGCACATGTGCTGTAATGCAAAGGATGAGCTCAGAACTTGGATCATATATTAAAAATTAAGAATAGTTTAAAACGTGTTTATTTGATCAAGGAATAATCAGTGGAGATAAAAATGTTAAAAATATATGGAGAGTAGACTTAATACAAAATCAAACTATTTGAATGAAGTAATAGCTAATCAATGTTCATATTCACAGGCTCATCCAGAATCAACATTTCTGTTGACCAAGAGTTGGGTGAGTGTCTGTGCCTACCGTGTCGTCTGCAATGCTCTCGCATGTTGCTTCCCCTCCGGCTACCTCAGACACTGCTTCCTGCAGACCCTGTGTCAAGTGCAGTTCTCTGAAACTTTGCTAGGTAAGTTTAATCTGCTTGTAATCTTTACATCCTAGAGAAAAACCAAGGTTCACTGATTTATGTCCCCTTCATCCTGTAATTTAACTCTGCTGTCAATTTGGACTCTTATAGATGGCTATTCCAACAGTACAGTCTCTTAATCAGAATAAAGGGGGGAGAGCAACCAAAGTTTCTATTGAAATTAATATAGTTTTTCTTCAGTGAGAACAAGGCACTAATGTAACCGAAGTACATGTAACAGTTACAAATTTAATAGTTTTATAAAACTAATGTCAACACCTAATATATTCATGTAGATTGTATACGTATTTTTTTTAAATTACTGCTATTCATTGTAGTGTTAATTTTTTATGTGTTATTACTATTTGTATTTCACATTTTCACAAAGCCACCACTTTGAACAGCAGACAGACATGCGTTGTAAACCATAGTAGCAGGGTGGTCACAGACTGGCAATTCCGGGAAACCTGTTTTTAGTGCTATTTTTTTGTAATACTGTGTGGATTTCAGACGAACTCAGAAGGTTTCAAAACTGGGGAATTGCTTGACTAAACTCCTGTGAAACACTGTATTGCAACTTTGCAAATGCTTTTTGCAACGGCAGAAGTATAGTGTTGTTTTGGCCCTAGCTTGGTCTGATAATTATTTTCAGCTCAAACCGACCCCTCAGTCTAACTGTTGGCCTGAACTGATACAGAATATCTGGAACCAGCAGACCAGTAAAAGCTCAAACATCCTGGGTAGGTAGTCTGTGTTTGGGGTGTGTATTGTGCGGCAGCTAATTGGCACACACACAATAGTACCACCTCTCTGTGTTCTGAAGGCAAGTTCAGGGTGCCTGTTGTATGCATGCAAGAGAAGAATCTACTATCGGGGATCTTAGCCTTACTACTGTCACATAGTCAATCATTTGTTCTTGACAAAGCAACAAGCAGTTTTAAGTCTGTTTTCTTGATTTAATGTGCGTAGAAAATGATAAAACCTAGATAAAATCATTATTAGTACAGAGTATGTGTGTTCTAGCTGACCAGTCACTGCCGCTGTATCTTCGGCTGTCCGAGTGTCTGTTGTCCACTCAACTACAGCTGGACTGGCGTCGTCTGTGTCTAGACGAGGATTTGTCCCAGCTGGCACAGATGTTGCACAGTCTGACAGACCAACACATGTTCGACACAGCGTTCAAGTTTGCTCTCATCGCTGGCCTGCCTTGCGACAATGTGCTCGTCACTCAGGTGGGAACAGAGGCGATTGTGTTGCAAACATTATTTATATACTAGTTGACTATTGAGAGAAAGAAGCTTTAAGATAATGTCAATGTGTATGAAGTTGATTAGTTACATACTGTTCAGTACTTACACACCTTAACCTATCTATGGTGAAAGAACTATTCCATGTAAAACATACCACCGACTTCAAATGATGCCCACGCCTTTGCCACCTGATGCCATTCTTGCAACTGTGGATGTATCCTAACTGTACAGTGTACACCAACATTCCCCACACACATGGGCAGCTTTGGAACGCTTTCTTGATCAAAGACCTTAAAACATATTTCAGTTTTGTATTTTTATATTAAACAATTTTGAAAATTTCCAACCTACCTATCATTTCAAAAACCTACATTTCAACAAAAGTAGAATGGGCGATTAAGGATTTATAAAAGGGATCAAGTTTAGCTAGCTTACCTAAAAAAATTTTACTCCTAAGGCTAGATGTCCCAAAACATAACGCTGATATTTCGTCTATTATTCGATTTCTACTTACAGTAGATTGATGAAGAAAGTCACTAAAATGATTACTGAATTATCAGTTTTATGTTTTGTGACCATTTATTGTGTGTCTATGGACTATAAATTTTCTATGTTTATACAATTTTTTTAATTATTGTCTATGTGTATAACGGTCAAATAGTAGAATAAGATATTTAGCATAGTAACGAAAGTTGTTCTAAAAAGCTGGTGTACCATTGAAAAGCTAAATAAAGACATTTTTATTTATTTATTTAATTAATCTAGCAGAACCTACAGTCTTGTTGATAGACTCTTTCAACAAATTTAAATTTTCAAGCATTAAGTTTTTTTTACTTTCAAGTTTTTTACCATAAACACAGACATTTTTAACTGCTTATAAATAACAATGAGACAGTTTGTATTGTATTAGAAAATTAATTAGCATGTGGTAGTTTGTGTGATGTTTGTATGAACTCAATTTACCTTACATTTTTCCCATTCAAAGCAAGTAACAAACACTTTTAATATCGTAGATTACGCAACGATCGCGTAAGCATACTATTTTAATTTAATAAGAAAGTATTAAAGTATTTAAACATGAGTAGAACATTTTAGGTCCGAGCCTTTAAACAATTCTATGAGTGTCGTAAAGGCTAATTACGTGTATTCCATACACTACTTTACCTACGACAGATTTTTAATTACTAAAAAATATCACTACTCATAACTTCTAAGAGAGGTTATGTTTCATAACCTCTCATAGCCACTGATTGTGATGCAACAACTTATTGACCCAACCACTCAATTAAATTGGTCTTAACAGATGATAAGTTGAGGTTCAAAGTATTAAAATTTGTCTTCTTTTCTCTCTATTCTTGAACCACATTGGTCCAAACTTGTACTGTAAAGTAACAAAACAATACTGTAAACTAAGTAAACAATACTGTTAAATAATCTTTTAAATTCTAAGAACTGAATTGAAAAGGCTAGTTTAAAAAACGACCGTAGGTAAAACTTTTAATTACATACATTTTATGAAATTCATTTGGCAACTTTAAAGACCTACTTAACTTGTTTCAGTGGTCTGTCTTAGCATCTTCTACAGAACCTAAAGAACGGGAATTTTGGAAAAGATGTGAAGCAGCTTTTCAACAGGCAAGCATTGATCCAGAGATCGCTGTCAATTTTTATCAAAGACAAGCAGCTAACTCAGATGACTTGCAGGAGAGGTAATGTCTTGTTATTGTTTGTAAAAAAATTAGGTTAACCTTGAATTTTAGAGTGCATATAAATTATTAACACGTTCGCTGCGGCCTACTGCTATATCAGTAGTGTGCTTGCCTGCCAAATAATATGTCTGTCTGAGCCCAGCACTCGGCCGGCGATAATGTGATTGTTGCCAGGCTGTTGCTTAGAATACAAGCGTTATTTTGGTGTAGGTTGGTACTAAACATTCCCGTAAAATCCCGTCTGGCAATGCTTTTGTCCTGTTTTCGGGGATTTTCTCTATTCGAGCCATATTACAAAGACTGGTTATTGATCCAGGCAGTGCTGCTACCTTTGGGTGTTTCAGTGAACTACGTCCACTTTCGGGGTAACGCAGAACAATCACCACTACTCTTTTGTGATTCGTCTTACTGAGATATTTCAATGCCAATAGCGACCGCTGATTCAGTAGCACGCTGGGGCTCCGCCTGTGCCTCGCCACAGTTTAGGAGCGCCTGTGTAAAGGTTTTCAGCAGCGAACATGTTAAGTTTGTTCATCGACTCCCATCTTATTTGAAACATTGACCGGTATTTTTGCCAGGTCAACAACACAGTTATGCTCCAAAGATCAAGATTTGACAGGCATAAGCATTAAAATACAGGGTCTCCCAGATCTCTGTATTGATCTTTAGAGGTATCATTCCTGGACCAAAGACACACTAAAATATCAGGTTCATAATTTCCAAGACTCAAAAATTACCTGTACAGACACCATTTTGTTTTTTTACTATTTTCATCCATTCACACCCAATGAGCGCAGATTTTGATGTACACATTATCTTAAAAATGAGTTTACTCATTTATTTGACCCGATTTTCTTAAATTTGGTCTTATTAGAATTGAAAAAAAATTGTCCAGTTAAAACATTGCAATAATTGTTTTGTTTACCAATGTAGTTTTTATGTTATTTCAGTTGCGGTCATTTTGGGACTAAACATGATAAATAAACCACATTTTTTCTCTAAATAGGTTTTTACGTTGTTAATTTATTGGTGAAATTTGAATTTACTACAAAAATCCGTTGTCAAAAAAAATAGTTTTGTGAAAAAACAAAATAGTGTCAGTACAAGAATTTTTAATTTTTTGAAAATTTAAAACGTGATATTATTGTTTGTCTTTGGTCTAGGGATGATACCTTAAAACCTTAAAAAGGTTGGTAGAGAGTTCAGGGACACCCTGTATAGCAGTGTTATATACAGTAGAACCCCTCATATCTGACCTCAGAATAACCAACTCCTCGGGATATCCGACCTATTGTCCGACCGTCTACTTGTTTCCAATTTGGGGCGATAACTCTGAGAGCGATCGGTTGCCCGAAAGGCAGATTGCAACCGGTGACTGCAGGTTATGCTACTCCCGATATCCGGCCTTTTTGCTGTTCCGACCATGGCCCGATTCCGTAGTGGTCGGATATGAGGGGTTCTACTGTATTTATAACTTTATCGTCTAATTTTAATATTTATCATATGACTGGATTAATTTCATATTGTAAATAATTCAATGTTTACAAGAATAAGTGCAAACGTTTGAATGTTCAATGTTATTGTGTTGCATATATATTTTGTATGCATTACACTTAATTGCAGGACTTAATAAGCAGGACAATTTGTTTTTGCTGTCTAGATATTTGCTTCTCAAGTTTGCCCTGGACTGGATGCTGAAGACCACCACAGAGTCTGACATAGTCACCCAGCTACAAACAGAGTTGTACACTACTTGCCTACAAGATAAATTCAAAACTGAGGTGAATCTGGGATAGATGAAACTGAATTGAAGATAACGGTTGGAATAATATTATAATTTGATTAAATATTGCTAGGATTATAAACACTTTTAAATATTTCATTGACTTTAAACAATTATGTAAACAAAGCTACGTCATTAAGGGCCACTGAAGAAATTCATTTATTGCACATTTATTTCAGAAATTATCAGTGGTTTAGTACACCCTGTTATGATAAATAGTACCATAGACTAACAAACTCAAGTAGACTTCTTATCCCATTGTAAATTTTGAAGCTTTTTTTGTGTCTAGTTCATGTCGGTGACACTGACTGCTAGTGTTCACAAAATTTTGTTTCTATTTTAAGGGTTAGTTTCATGATTTGGGCATTATTGCTCGGTTTTATAACTAGGAGACAAGTTATTGTTTAAGATTAGATCGTTTTATTTGGTTAAATGAGGTTTTAAATTACTGAAATAACAAGAAAGAAATTGTAAACAAAACACGACCCCTTCATTCCACCGGAAAGAACTAACAATAAAACTGGCTTCAGCTGTTCCATAAGGATGAGAAATCAACTAAGAAAGTATGCTTTATCTATGATAGTCCTCAGTACTACATAAACATAAATTTAAATTTTAGATCACAAATTTCAAGCTCTAATATGACTGTTAAACTGAGCAACCAACTGTTATTTATTTTGTGTCACGTACAGGTAATCACAGAGGGTGTTACACCAGTATCATTGAGGTGTCTGTCACATCACCTGGTCACATCACATGTACAGTCCGCACCAAAACTGACCAGCAGCCAGTGTCATCAGCTGGACTCTATCATCCACCAATTGCTGGTTGTTGGAGACATCAAAACTGCATTTGTGCTCCAGTCCATCTTCAATCATGTTAATCAGGTTGGTGATGTGTATTTGTGTCATTTATAGAACAGGGGTCTAGATTCTCGATATTTTCAGGCCGTGCTGGGATAAAAGCTGGCCCCCCGATTGGTTCGGTTTGGAAATAATTTTCAGGCTAAACTCGAATCAGGTTGAGCCGAACCAGGGTATTATTTTTGTGATTGCAGAAAGTGTCTGCAAAGAGGTGCAATAGAAATATTTGATTTTACTACCATCACAGGTGATATACACGGTTTTGCCGCAATTTTGTGAGACAATAACAATGCCGGTCATGGAAAACCTGGAAAAATCTGGGAATTTTGTTGGTATGGAAAAGTCAGGGAATCATGGAAAATTCTGGAATGTCTCTTGAAAGACTACCTTTTTACAGATATGCTACATTTTGCTCTAAACACGTTTTTAACAGGGTGATGACTACCCCCCACCTACCTAATGGCAAAAAGAACGACATAAGAACTGATGCACATTTTTATATTGATGGTTAGTTATTGGTACGTGGGAGGAATCGATTTGTAATTTATATAGTTTTAAAAAAGTTTTGTATTTGTAATTTTAAATTATCTTAAACTGTGTAAGTGTGGTACATATCCATGTTGACTTTTTAGTTTTTAGTCTAGAATTCATGCTCCAATTACTAAGATTGAATCACATCCGGCAGTTCAAAAGAAAATTATATTACAGTGTATAGCCAATTGGAGAATCCACACTATTTTAAAGAAACATTTTCGTTCCACTAATAGAATAAATTTTACTGAAAAAGTGTTACCTTCAAACCACCTGAAATACAAATGTTGCAGTGGATTTTGTAGTTAAAACATATTATTCTTAGTTTGCTTGGACTTGCTTTTACAAAAAAAATTATGTAAAAGACAGCTGATCCTGCTTGCGTACCATATTCGACATAGACAAAAAACAACCAATACACTACTCATGAAGGAGAAATAAAGTAAGCAAGAGTTGTTTGATTCATCCCTGTTTGTGCCAGGATTGTGAGTTGCTGTTGGCCTGTATGAGGTTGGCTGAGAGAGTCACGTCTGTCAGCCAGCTGCCCTCCAGAATACAGGAGTATCTAGCTGATGAAACTATGCGAAAACCCAAGATGACTTTGACCTCGCCTATGCCAAGTACGTACCTTTCAGTGTGTTTTGAATCATGAAATACCTCTAAGAATGACTTTGAATGGAGAATATAAGTATTTATGTTGTTGATAAGCTTATCAGACTTAAGTGCTCCCTTTTGTTTGAGTCTGTTTAGTTGAACATTAAATGGTTTGGGCGGTCACATATGTTTGGTAAAATCTGCTTTTTTACCTAGCCAAGCAAACAAATCACTACCTGCTTGTCAAGTGCTGTTTGGTTACGTGTTGTTATTGCTGCATTCCTTTTTTATTTTAATTATGATGGTTGTTTTTAATTTAAGGTCTTCAATGAGTTCTAGCCGTCGGAAAACTACAAGGTCATGTTCTTTACTTTATCCTCTACTATTCTATCTGATTCCATCCCTTAAGTGAAGACAAGCCTCGTCATAGTAGCCTATGAAGATGTGAGGGAACTTTCTGGGGAAATTTCTGTGAGAAGGGGGGCCTTTTGAAATCAATCACCAGTTGATGAAATGTGGTTGCAGAAAATATTCATAATTCATTCAAAATATTCAAGTGGCCCAGGGAGTTCACAGAAAGTTCTACATATTTACACAAACAGGCTGGCAGTGGTTGTCCATAAGCTTATATTGGGACAGGGATTAAAATTGAGAAAACCACATTTCTGATCTGCAGGTTTAAGATTACTAAGGTTTACCATCATCCAAAGTCAAAGTCACACCGCGATTCCCATGCAGAATCACGCTGACCTAGTCATTGCCTCAAAATGAGACTGATGAATGACCACAGTCGGCCTACACCATGCACAACATCGTAAACATTGTGCAAATGTGTATAACTACTATTGAACTCCCTTGACCACTTACGCACATTGACGTTTTCTATACTCCAACACTGGTGATGGACTTTAATAGCGGTTGAAGCTTTACTACAGAAACTGAATCACAGAACACAATTTATACTTTGCAAGAACATTGATTTTCCTTCTCTTTATCCTAATATGACTAGTCTGCGATGGAGAGGCTTAGTTTACAGACAACCCTGGTAAAATAATAAATTCATATTACTGGGTGTATTACAGAGATGCGTTCTAAGAACAACCTGTTACTTAGTGACAACCAGAGTGTGTTGAACACACTGTACGCTCTACAGGCCAACCAGACTTGTACTACGGCCCTCTTTTCCAACATCATCAATGCATTCAAAGTCTCCTTGGCTCTGAGCTGTGATTATAAGGTAAGCAATTATTCTCATTATTCTTATTTATAGGGGTCTGCCTCGGATCTTGTGCCTAAATCCTGAACGTCTGAACGTTATGGCAAAATGGACAATATCTTCCATAGTCATGGCAAAATCATGTTTGTCTTCCGCAGTCGCGGCAAACTCGTCAACATCTACATTCATAGATAATTCGTAAATACCTTCCGTGGTCATAGCGAACCTGAAAACATCCTCTGCGGTCAAGGCGAAATAATCATCATCTCCCACATTCACGACCGTGAAAATCACATGCAATCAAAGTGAAAGCGTTAATTTTTGATTGTACAAATACGCAGACGCTTTCTGAAATTGTGAAAATAAAAGCTCGACTCAGCTTAACTCAAAGGTTTTTCCTGAAAATTATTTCTGGTCCGAACCGATCTCTAGGGACAATTGTTGGCCAAACCTAATCCAAAAAATACCGGGGACCTGCAGATCCCTACCATTTTGCTTACTATTTTACTCGTAAAATTGCTAACACTGCACTCTGTAAGTTTTTGAGAGATTATTGCAATCCATTTCCATCACAATTGGTTAGAAAGTAAGTAAGAGTAACTTGTAAAATTAGTTAACTCAACAAGTATGATTATGTTTTATAGGAGATTATTCTAGACAGTGAGCCCCTCGGCAGGTTGAAGGTGGAACATGACTTTGAGGTAGCTTCTGGTCTGCTGAACCTGGCCGGCCTGACACGGTATGAGGGAACTCAGTACGTTTGTTCTCAGATAGTGAACGTGTTAACCACAGATCCAGGTGAGGAAACTGTCTTAGCTTTAGGCCAAAAAGTGTATTGTAGAAAAGTTGTTTGGCGTTATGTAGCCTATGTCTCTATTTAAGTGTCTGATGTCCTCCCAGATGGAATAGATCTTCGAATCATCGTTTAATTTTTTCTTCCTTAATTTTGATCATTGGTTAGGTCCCTAAACAGTACAGGAATTTGTAATCCTATTATATCATATTAATTGTATATACATTGTGTTTTTTAACGGAAGTTAGGAAAATATCTCTAGCTTTAGTGTCAGACACGATATAAATATGTGTAATATTAGAAGTTATAAGTCATTCTAAGCTTGATCTACTGTAGGCTAGGCTAGAAAATGAGCAAGTAGCTTTGATAATGGACAGAACAAGACATTCTGTTCCCATGTTAACAGTAACATCCTCATAAAAGTAACAAAAACTAGCAGAGGAAATAGAATCTTGGACAGTATCACACACTTTTGAGTGGCTCACTTAAGTTCCATATGAATACAATTGGCTACATCTAGTATATGGGATATCTAATCAATGGTCTATGGTAGTAGTAACTAATACAGAGTTTCTTGTGTGGTCAGAGGACGTCAGGTACATGTTGTGGGGTTGTGACCTGGACGCAGAGTTCTCGTGTATACTGGAGCTCAGTGGCTCTGCTCTACTGTTGGGCAACTTGCTGCTGGCCTCTGATCCTCTGGCATTCTCTCACCCCTCCACCTACAGACAAGGTAGGGTACCCTGTGTGATGACAAGTGTTTGTTGAATGTTATACAGGGTGAGTTTTAACTGTCCCCCCCCCCCCCCAACTTTTTTCTACATTTTTTCAAATATCAATCCCATAGTCGAGGCGCTGAGGGGGTTTGAGCATGCAAAAAATTTTAACGAAATTTGACTTTTGATTGTTGCTATGGGTACCTAGTAGATAAAGAAAATCGATGTCGTCGCATTTTAAAATGACTCTTATTAATTACAAAATAATTAATAAATGCACGCATATTAACTCAACACAAAATCTATTTCATGGATGTTTACAAAACAAAAACAATAGAAAAACATATGATAGTAAAAATATGTATAAATGAATTATAAACAGTCTTAGAGAAGACATAACAGTCTCCCCCACTATTTTGAACTTGCAGTGTATTATTATGAAAGCACAAAGTCCTTGTATCGGCCCGGCATTTGCCTTTGTCGCCTTGATCTTTCTTGATTCTCAGGAATATGGCGATTGTTCGTTTCTGTTCCCTGAACTACTGGAACCTCTGCATTGTTTGCTTTGGGAGTTGGTGGTCTTTCGGAAATTGACGGTCCTTCGGAAGTTGATGGTCCTTCGGAAGTTGATGGTCTTACAGAAGTTGATGGTCTTTCAGGAGTTGATGGTCTTAAGGGAGTTGATGGTCTTTCAGGAATTGACAGTCTTTCAGGATTAGAACAAGTAACAGCCTTAGAATTTTCTTTTGTGCTGTGTTTAGAAGCCCGTGGAACATCAAATATGTGGATTGGTCCCGTGGTAACAATTTTTGGTTTTGGTATCAAAGTAGACCGCAATTGATCAATGTGTCGTTTAACAAGTCGGCCTGACTTGTCAAGGGAAACTAGATAGTGTCGAGTTCCCAACTTTTTGTTTACTTCTCCAAACTCCCAAACGTTCTTGTTGTTTATGAAGAGACGAACCTGAACTCTCTCCCCCTCGTTGAATGAACGTGCAGATGGAGCATTTCTAGTTGAAGCTTTTTGTACGTTGGGAAAAATGGCATCCATTCGTATTCTTAACTTCCTGTGGAGGTAAAGTTCAGCCGGTGATTTGCCACATGCTAGAGGAGTTGCCCGGTACCGCATTAAGATCTTCTGGACCTTTATTGCCATTGGTATGTTTTCCGAAGCTGTGGACTTCAGGCGGTTCTTCAATGTTTGAACAGAGCGTTCTGCTAAGCCGTTTGTTGCTGGATGTCCTGGAGATATGAATTTCTGGAAAATGCCGTGCAATTTGCAATAAGCTTGGAATGTATCACTTTGAAAAATTGAGGCGTTGTCAGATACCATAACATTCGGGTAGCCGTGTGTTGCAAAAATCTGTTCAAGCAGATTTATGGTATTGGAGCTGGATGGTGCATCTTTGATTACTTTTATCTCCGCCCATTTTGATCTAGCATCAATACACACGAGGAAGTTGAAGCCTTGAAACGGTCCTGTGTAGTCAATGTGTATTCTTTCCCAGTTCTCTTTTGGGATTTCCCACGGGTGATTGGGAGCTTTGGGCGGATTTGACCGTGTTAGTGCACAATTTTCACATCCTTTCACAAGATGCTCAATGTCCTTGTCAATATTTGGCCAGTAAACATAGCGCCGTGCTAGCTGTTTCATTTTTGTGATTCCAAGATGACTTTCGTGAAGTTCATTTAGAATCTTGTTTCTAAGTAGTGATGGAATGTAAACTCTTTCTCCCCGGAAAATAATGTTTTCGACCAACGTAAAATCAGAATCAGTTGAATTGGTGAGTAGGTCTTTCAAAATCTTAGAGAGCACTGGATCTTTGGCTGTCTCGTTCTTAATGATTTCAGCTGTGATTTCATGGCTTGAAATTTGAAAAATAACTTGGCTGCAGATTTGGTGTACCTCTTTTCCGATTTTCTTGTCTTTAGTAGAGTGAGTCTGTGTAAGAGGAGCTCTTGAAAGACAATCCACGTTTTTATTTTCCATGCCCTTTTTGAACACCAACTTGTAATTGAAACCTGACAGATATGATGCATATCTGAGTAAACGAGCTGAAGTCATTTGTGGTAGAGCCTTGTCATGTCTGAAGATCCTAGATATTGGCTGATTATCTGTTACAAGTTGAAATTGAGTCCCGAATAGGTAATAATAGAAGTGGGAGACACCAAAAACTATGGCTAATGCTTCCCGGTCTAGTTGACTATAGTTACATTCGGCATCAGTGAGTGAACGTGAGGCGTAAGCAATTGGCCTCTCAGTACCATCTATTAAGTGGCTAAGAACTGCAGCTAGTCCAGTAGGTGAAGCGTCTGTGGTGAGGACTAACGGTAGTTTTGGATCGAAAGGTACGAGTATCCTGTTACTGCAGAGCTCAGTTTTGATTCGTTGAAAAGCCTTTTCACATTCTGGTGTCCATTCCCATTTCTTATTTTTGCGTAACAAACGTCGCAAAGGAAAAGTGACAGTTGAAGCATCTGGAAAGAAACGAGAGTAGTAAGAAACCATTCCTAAGAATCGTCGTAATTCTTCAACTTTTGATGGACGTGACATTTCTTTAACAGCTTGAACTTTGGTAGGAGATTTCTTTATTTTGTTTAACTCCACCACTCGTCCTAGATATTCTATTTGTTCTTGAAAAAATGAACACTTCTGTTTGTTTATGTGTAAGTCAAAATCTGAGAGTCGTTGAAGACAGGCCTGTAGATTTCTTTTGCACTCATCCATTGTTGAGCCATGGCAAATTATGTCATCAAAGTAGGCCTCGGTTTTAGGCAACCCCTTCAAAATTTGTGTAAGAATTCGGTTGAATTCAGAAGGTGCTGTCTTTATTCCGAAACTTAGACGATTGACACGATATGTTCCACGGTGTGTTGACATTGTCTGGATAATACTGGACTCTTCGTCGACCTTGAGGTGCAGATAAGCTTTGTACAGATCAAGTTTACAAAAGTAACGAGATCCTCTCAAACTATCGAGTACATCGTCAATTTTTCGAATAGGATGGTTTGCCTGGACTATTTGTTCATTCACACCACACTTGTAGTCGACACAGAGACGAACACTTCCATCTGCCTTAGGTATCACGACTAGTGGTGACCCCCAATCACTTGACGTAACAGGTGAAATGATTCCTTCATTTTCAAGTAAATCTAGTTCCTTGTTGACCTGATCAATAAGAGCATGAGGTACGTTCCGTTCACGATTGAAAATAGGCTTTGCTCCTGATCGAAGATGTAATGATACTGTAAAGTTTGGAACGCATCCAATTTTTGGCTCGAAAATTGGCGCAAATTTTTCAAACAGTTCCTCAACTGAATTTACTGGTTGTAATTGAAGGGTAGTAGCTGGTCGGTTCATTTCAGCGTCAATTTCACACAGTTCAATACCCAGTCCTCGGATCCATTGGCGCCCTAGAAGTGCATCATGACCTGAAGGGACGATGTGAAGGTCACCTTTGAACTGTTTACCCTTGTATGATACAGAAACTGATACCTTTCCCTCTGGTTTGATTATGTCTCCAGAGTAAGAACGGAAAGCTAGCCTTGATGGTTCTACAGGTACGTTCAGATGTAGACGTTCAAAGTCATTCTTCGCAAGGAGAGAAAATTTAGCCCCACTGTCAACTTCAAAACATTGCAATTTTCCATTTATAGTGACAGAAACAATGTACTTGTCTGAATCATATCCAACTTCAAATAAATCTACGACATCAAAGTTCTGGTAGATCGAATCAATTTTGTGCACTCCGTAATCAGAAGAGTCGTCACTAGAATAATCGTCATCATTTGATCCTGAATGTAGGTTGTTGGTTGAATTTAACTTTGATGTTGATTTCTTAGTCCTTGACATCAGTGTAGTTATGCAGACCGCAGAGACATGTCCTCGTTTTAAACACTCCCCACATTGGAGTTTATATTTGTGTCTGTTACAATTTGCAGCAATGTGTTTGTTACTACCACATCTAAGACAGAGGCCTTCTATTCCGAGGGCATTGAAGTCAGGTCTTTTGTTATTTGAACGTTGTTTCCAGTTGAGAGATGTCTTGTTGGATGAGCGATTGTTAGAGAACTGGTGGGATCGTCTGGAAGACCTTGTAATTTTGTGCACTCCAGCCGAATCCATATTAAAGTTGTTAGAACATGCATGTTGGTGAAATTCTTTGCTTTCAACCTTTGATGCTTCAAGAGCAATAGCTTTCTCTAGAATGTCATCAAACTTTGTGTAAACGGATTGTAAAAGGTGTTCCCTAAGCCAATTGTCCTTCAATCCTCGTATGAACTGTGCCCGCAAGAAAACATCAGCAATTGACACAGATGTTCCACATTCATCGTTGGAGCATTCCACTGCAAATTCACATTCTTGAAGATCACGTCTGAGGTCGGCCACAAACTCTGAAATTGACTGGTTTTCTTTTTGAAAGATATTTAAGAAATAATGTTGAGCAACAACAACACTTTTCTTTGGAGTCAATAGTTTCTTGAAGTCATTCAACAGAGTTTCATAATCTAATGATTTGAGTGGCTTGTCTGGGCCCAAAAATGCAGATAGGTTGTTATAATGTTCACTACCTATAGAATTACACAAGAGCTGAGCAATTTTCTTCTTATCAGTCAAACCTTTCATTGTATAATAGTTTTCGAAACGTTCTAAATAGCTGGTAAACTTTTCTTGTTTGGCATTGAAGTTTTCGAATGTAGCAACATTTGACATTGTAGATTGACAGCTTTCTTCTCTGGGTTTTACAATTGATGTAACAATTGTTTGAATTTGAGCTTGAAACATGTTTGACATCTCACGTACAAGTGCTTTTTGTTGTTCATTGAATGTGTTTAGAAGTAAGGTAAACTGTTGTGCATCCATTATAGTTTGAACTGTATAAAATATTAATGTATCTTGAAACTAGAAATTGAATGTAATTTTTAAAAGTAAATGTGTTGAATTTTTCAGTGGCTAGTTGATTTTCACACTCGTCGCCAATTAAAATGACTCTTATTAATTACAAAATAATTAATAA